ATTAAAATGAAGTTTTTTCTATGGTTTTCTATTCATTATTAGTCTGTCGCATGTCACATTACAAGCCGTTACGTTCCTCAATAGAAAGGCTAAGGCTAAGTTTATACTAATATAGGATACACAATAACTTTCAAAAAATTACCTCGTGGTTTTGATATTTAAATTTTGAAAGAAAAATCCCGCATTCGTCTTGATTTCTCAAAATTCTAAAATACTTATAAATAATACTAACATAATTACTTACACTTTTTTCAGTCTTTTTTTTATTAACTATCACACTTAATAAAACTGGTCGATTCCTTCCTCTATATTACTGCTTGTCACATGACTTGTAGTAGTAAATAAGGCAAATTTATCGCCCTGTTCCTCGAAGATATAAGGTTAGGACAATTAATAAATACGTTTAGTTCCGTACTTACATAAAGAAGTTACAAATTATACAGTACATAATATTTTAGACTACTGGATATATTACCAATATTAATTAATTATTAAAATAAATCTAAAGTCTTTTGAATTGATATGATTCCTTTTCAATCGATAAATACCATATTAAACTATCCTATTTATTTTAAAACTTGCAAAATGCGATGTCGTTCATATTTTCTCATTTGGCGAGACTAAAAGATTATAGCTATATTATAGAAAAGCTTTACAAACAATTTTCTAAGTCCCATTAAAATCCATTCACCATTTGTATTGGAAAAGTTATTTTAAAGAACAAATACTTTACTTCCAGACACACATGTGTTAGTGATAAGAACTTTAAAAAGGAGAAAATCTAATCAATGAATTTCAGATAATCGTATGTTAGCAAATGAAAGAAACGAAGGTTTAATTAAATTTAAATAAAATCCCCAAATGCTAAGATAAATAAAATGCTGAAGCTTCTGTATACTTTCAGAGCAACCTTAAAAACGTTAAGCAGGTCGGGTAAATAGGAATTTATGCAAAATCGTTCGAATTTCATTTTAATCCGAGCTCCGGTTCCATACTTTCATTTAAATAATATCTTTATCTTTTTCTTGAAACTTTTCGATTAATATTTCACGGAATAATCACTGTAGATTATGAAAATTATCTGAAGTAAAGAGTTATTTTTTCTTTCACTATTTTTAGTCAAGCTTAGGTTAACAGGAGGTAAGCTCTACCCTCTATTTTGAAAGTCCTTTCCTCTATTCCTTTGAAGTGTATGAAAATTGAATAGTAATTATTATATATCTAGTTAAGTTCAACTAGATGGGAGCACAGAACCTTATTAGTTCGATCTTAAAACCAAGATTATCTATGCTTCTTTATGTATGATTACCCTTCTTATATTACCCCGAAAATAAAGTGTTTAATACTTAAAGAATTTGGATATATATTATTACATAACAGTATTATATATAACAGTTATATTTATGTACTATTGACTAAAAGTATCTGAATTACATACTTCAAATTAAGGTTAATCAGAATAATTGGATGAACTTCGTAGTAGCCTTTTTAACTTTCCGAACGCTTCCTTCTTACGAGTAGATGTATCGCTCTATTAAGACTAACTTTCTTTAGTAAATAAAGCTATAATTGCTTAGTTCAAAGATCTTCTTTGTAACAAGTTAAAATAGTCTATCCAGATTATTTTATATAATCGATTTATCTTATAATGACATGAGTTATACATTTAAGTTTTAAATTTACTTTTAGATCTTTACTATTAATAAGTACCGTTACAGAATATTGTACATTAATATAATGTTTTTGTATTTAAAATTTTTAACCACACCTTAAAATGTATTAACTATATTATCTTCTTCAAAACAACACCGTAAAGATATTCACAAAACGCTTCTTCCAATATTATCTATATTATACGAGTACATTTCAAAAAATTACTTTAAAAATCGATTCTAAATATAAAATGTAGCAATTAATAAAAATTTATTCATTGATATATTTTACAATTATAAATATTTTGATAAAATGTATTTGACGATTTAAAATCACGTCCTAGTGAAGAACCTTCACATATTTGGAACTAAATTAAAAAAAGTTTTATAAAGGCTCTATTCAATAGAAATCTTGGAAGTAAGTTTTGGTTTAGGAACAAAGTGTTAACATTTCTGTCAATATCAACATTTGGTTCATTTTACGACAATTTATATTTAATGAGGACGAAATGTACAGTACTGTTTCAAATACTTACCATAAGCTTATCGACCATAATGCAAAGTTACTTTCGATATTCGTATACACTTTGCATTCACAATAACCTTCCTTTATTTTGACCGTTCAAGTCTTTTAAAGTACTGAATATAAATTTATTTTCAACACTTACCGCTTACTGCTGTATCGTTTGAAAATATTTTTGATAATTCTTCATCTTGTAGATAGTATACGTCTGTGAGGAACTGTGAGTCCACTTATTTTGCGGTCACTATCACTATTTTCAACAGTCGAATTATCCATTACACAAATAAATTAATAACAATCACTTGCACAATTTTATTTCAGTTTTAAATTACACTTATAACAAAATAATTTACCTCGTAGATAGCTCCACAGTCAACATATTCGATTTTTTTTAAGTCATGACATTTATGTACTCTTTTCATTTTAAATATTATGTTATAATAAATTATCTTAGTCATTCAAATAATCATAAATCACTACATAAGTAATAATAATTACCTATAAAATCATCCAGTTTTTATTTAATATTTTATAGAAAATTGTATTGATTAACATTGATTATAAATTAGTTGGCATTTAAGTTCTCGCTTTAGTGAAACATATAGAATGATTTATCTAACATATTATACAATAAAATATGATTAATATCTATTATATTTTATGCAAAGCGTATATAAGAATAATAATATAAACAAAAATAATATATAACTATACATTGTTAAAGAAATCACTAACACCGCGACAAAACAAATCTGCCCTCTAAAACAAAATATTTATCAAACAACTGTCCTTTATAAATGGCTATAAATGGTATGCTCCGACATATATGTATTTTACTAATATATATATTAGATTAGATCTATTGAAAGCAAAGAATATCTCCTTAATATAGTTATAATTGAAAGAAATCATGGAAATTTAATATTTTTATTATTAACTAGTAAACCCGGCGAACTCCGTTTCACCACCAGAAGGCTTTTATATAACATTTCGTTTAGTGATTAAAAGATAAAGATTTTTTTTTGTTTTATATTTGAAAAGGAAAATTTTTATTTCATTTCACAACAGTAATGAATTCATTTCGATTACAAAAATGAAGTGTTATTTAGTTGAACTTCTCTAAGTAAATGAAAGTGAATCCAAAGTAGACACCGAATGGAAGCGTTATACGTGTCCGAAAATTATCCGTTTCATTGAAGTGGTCCTTTGTAAACCACATTTTTTGTTTTTTGGTCTAACTTTAACACAAATAAAGCGTATGGTTTCCAAACTCGTGAACATACAAAATATAATCAACATGTGAAGAACAATTATTTTCTAAATTTATCCCGCAAATACTAAATGGTTTTAAGAGTTCAAACTACAAACATAATACCGGTTTGTCACATGAAATTAACTGAGAAGAGAACAATCAGTAGCTGTCAAACAATGTATCATGCGACGGCACCATCTACTTAATAATACTTAATATTGATTTGTAGTACATGTTATGTATGATGGCGCTGTATGTGACAAAAGATTTTCCCCCTTTTCTGTTGAAATTTTTTGTTGTCACGGAGCCCGAGACCTTTCCAACTAATGCAAAACCGTGGAAATTGGTTCTTTCGTTCTGAAGTTATAGCGTCAGGATGGAAAACCAGACTTATTTTTATATAGAATATATATATTTCTTATATAGAATATAAGAAATCTTTTCTTACAAATATCAAATTGTCATCCATACGTCATAACATATCTGTCATTATACGTCAATTGCATAGCTGTCAATTGTGTTTCGTTATTCCACGTTTTATAGTGACTGACGTTTCATGTCAAGTCCCACGGGAATGCTTTCCAACGGGATAAAAATTGCAATTTCCTGGCTCTAGACTACCTCCCTGCCAATTTTTAGCTAAATCGGTTCAGCCGTTCTTGAGTTATAAGTGGAGTAACTAACACGACTTTCTTTTATATATATAGATACATATGTATACCTACAAATTTCCTGTACATATATCTTTTACATATTTTTATTTGAAGTTAAAATTTCATAATAAGATTCAACTAAATTGAAGCGATAAATTCATTTTGAAACAATTCTACTATTTTTGTTCTACTATTAATGCACTTTCTAATTTGGTTAAAGTTATTTTCTTTATCTCGAGAGATGATTTATTATTAGACTATACCCCTTTATTATTATTTCACCGTTAAGCATTTCAGCCAAAATAAACAAATAAAAAAGGCTTTAATAGAATTAACACTTCTAAATTTTTTATCTTGACTCCCACATTATAATTTTATTCTCATAGTTATTGTAAATGTAAATCACTGAACCCTATGAGACGATCAATATAAAACACCATACAAACAATGGTAAAGTTTCCAAAAGATCGCTTTGTATCGAAGTTTAATCATTTCTTCCGGAATTCCTTGTTTTATGATACTACTTTATAAGACTTCTCCACAACCCCTAGAACAAGTTTCATTAACTTCCAAACTAATCGTAACAGTATTAAAATCCAACGAAGTGTGTAATTTTACCGTAAACACTTAATGCAAATAGTTTTAGCTTGCAACTGATTATTTTACTTAACTTTCTGTCTCCTAACATTAAGATATCAAAAGATAAAAATAAAAGATACAATATTATATGATGCTATATTTATTAAATCAAAAAATCATTGTAACCAAAATAAAAAGCCGAGTCGTTATATGAATATTATATTTACATTATAATAAATATATCTATTTCAAATGTTATTATATATTCAATACATAAAAATTGTCCGGTTTATTGCATTGTTTGTGTGAACATGTGATATAGATTATATGAATATAGGTCTTCAGTATTGTACTCTGCCAAGAGCCCTGGAAAGAGCTGCTTTGGCGTTTCCAGCGCTTGCGTTGACATTTCCACCACTGGCGGCTGCTCTCAAGAACTGACGAACAAATAATATTTAAGATCATATTTTTAAAGTATAGATTTAATTAAAAAATGAAGAATGATTGTATTACCTCAGCGAGTGGTCCAAGAGCATTCTGGCCGATTTGGTTGACGTAACGGCTAAGGGAAGCGGTTACTGTGGCTGCGAGATTGTTGCTTCTGATGCTCGAAGCGGTGTACATGCGCTTAGCTGCACAGTATTCTTCGTTGAGGAGACTGTCGGATATAATACAATATAAATAACTTCCTACAAACATATATAAAAAACTACGAAGGTGTTAAGCTTTAAAATTAAAAGTTTTCCATAGAATAACAAAGAAAGAAAGAAAATCAATTACAAATAAAATTTAAAATCGGTCAATTCAACATAAAATTTTAAAGAAATAATTCATAGTAGTAAATAATGATGTAATTCACAACATTGAATCATCCTAAAAATATAATATTGAATGCAACTGATTATAAATTCTATCATATTTTTAAATTTTTATAACATACCCAATCTGGAATGGATTAGCGTTGTTTAAGATGTCATCCCAGGCTTCCTCAAATTGGTAGCTTCTGCCTCCACCGATGCAGTTACCTCGTGGTCCAGACTTCAAGGAGAAAAAATATATATTAACTTTAATACTATATGTCTTCTACTTAAATCAATTAAAAATTCGTGCATGGTTTTAATACAAAGTAAGATTCAATTTTATTTTGTATTTCAACAAATTTAAATGTGAATTTCATTCTTTTCTCTCACACAATCAATTAGCACACAGCATCATCGATATCAATAACAGATGAATCGTTGTTCAGTTAGACAATACCCTCTGTTATGATTAATGGAAAACTTTTGATCGACACCAGAGAATGCAATTCATGGCCATCCTAGTGTTTAGTTTGGAATGATGGATGGGAACAAAGGCTTGATATAACAGTTGCATCTCTATTTGCTTTTTTGGATATCGAAATTCATAACCATTATATTCTTTCACCAATTGTTGAATAAACAGAAAGATTCAAAATATATCTATGTAGTTTTTAGGGCGTAAAAATTGCTGTTTATTGAATACATACCGAGTATCGGACGGAGTCAGGGTTGTTGACAAGTCTCACGATTGTGTCGATGTTGGCGTTGATGCGTTGTACGTAGTTGATAAGAGCTGATCTCAGGCCAGCATTGTTTCCAGTGCTGACGGCGTAGGCGTAGGCGTTCACTAACTATAATATATTAAAAACACATCATAAGATATATTGGTAATACTTTTTATGAGTCAAACTAACTGTCCATATTACAGGGAACAGTTACCCAAGAATATCTTGTAAGTCATCATTTGTGTCATTCTAATGTGTATAGGAATTAAAAGTTAGCATTAATATAGAAATACTGAGACCCTTAAAACTTCTACTCTTTTTAATTGTAGAAATGTGTGTTCCATTGGGAACACCAATCTTCTAAGAAAGGTGCAGGTTATTTTTTCATTTTCTTTAACATTACCTTATCAACCTTCTACCACAAGTCAAATTTTTGTGCTTTTTTTCCAACAAGATTCTGCCACAGAAACCAGATCAGCGATCCATTAAGATGTTAGTTTACCTAAACTCCTCTTAGCAGTTAAGTGGTACATACAATTCGAGAGCCTTTAGGCGTTATAAATTCTTAATGCTATTCTAACAAATGTTACAGTTATCCTCATATTCTTTTTATCGTTTCATCTTTATGTATTCTCCCCCAAGAACATAATACACCAAACTAATATTCACATGGAAATTAAATAGTTTCAACGTAATCTAGGTAAGTACGTACAGCAGCAGATTCGCAAGCATCACCAGGGATGCCACTGGCGAGTTCAGCAATAGCGTTGATTGCAAGAACGACAGCGGAGGCCTGGGAAGCAGCGTCACCACTGTTGGCTTGGTCATTGACGCTCTGGATCACCATTTGAGCGTACAGAGGAATATCAGCTCCATCGATCAGCTCAAAGGCTTTGTCGGTCATTGCCCTATTGTATTAAAACAATTTAAAATATTACCAGAAATGAAACACACAAAATCTATCAAGCCGTTTGAAACTACAAAGCATCATCATCATCAGCCTATCAGAGCCCACAGCTGAGCAAAGGCCTCTTTCTCACATGGAGAAGGTTTGAGCATTAATCACCACGCGTGCTCAAGACGGGTTGGTGATTTCAAACTTATTATTATGAAACTATAAGGCCAGGTTTCCTCACGATGTTTTCCTTCACCGTATATCAGTGGTGTCTAAATACACTCAGAAAGTTCATATGACTACGAAAAATCACATTGGTACTTGCCAGAATTGAACCCACACCCTCGGCAACGAGAGGAGGGGCTTTAACCACTGGGCCACTACTGACATAACTACAAAGCAACATTCTTTTTTTATTCTTTATATTGTTTTAAAAAAAATTAAGTGTGTATTTACTTGGAGACAAGTTGGCCATTGTCAATGACTGGTCTTGCTTCATTGACGTCTACAAAGTTGACGAGTGCCGTTGGCAAGGCGATTGCGCTCTGAAAACATACAAAAAACATACCACTATTAACTACCACATAATCATGAATTTTAGCATATCGGGTCGTAAATATTACCAAAAAATCTTCTAGAAGTACCAAGTAAATTAGTCTTGTTTTCATATGACGGGTGATCTTATATTCACACGGCATACACAATGAGATAAACCATTAAACTTAATGTGTTCCACGTTTTCTATTTCCTTTTGTTTTATGATTCCATTTTTCGTTTGTCACAGACTGGATAGTATGAGATCAACTTCCTACGAACCGCAACCCTATCTTCAATTATAGTTTTAAGTGCGTGATTTAGATACCCTGTTACATTTTGTATGGGACAACGTTCTAATATGACATTAAGTTTAATAAATGTGGCTTATTTAATGTGGCCTTAGCAGCTTTTGTCCCTGGGATAAATGACGTAAAATTTTAATAAAAAACTCAAAAAGAATTCTGTATTCAACCAATATTAATAGTATTAATTTTAATTAATTTACGTAAATTCTGTCAAAAACGAATATATTTTTGTAACTTCTATTTAATTATTTGAAATTGATTAGTATTTCTCTCTCGTAATTACATCCATTTTTGTTATTAAAATCATCTGATTGCTATAAACTTACATATTTTTCGAAAAAGGACTATATTTATGTACTTGTAAACTTTATTTTCTACGTAAAATTTAAAACGTAAAAAAAAAATCAACAAAAACTAAAAGTTACAAAGTTCCATCAGGATTAAAAATGTTTTTTTACTTTCATATCTTTTATCTGTTACTCGGTAAAACAATATTCTATTGTGTATATCAGAACAATTGCCCTAAAAATCGAAGTATTCAGTTACCCAATTAATAGCAAAAAATATATCAATTTGAAATACAAAATATAGTATTTATTTCAATAAATGAGTTTGTTTATGAGATTACATCAAAGCTTCAGAGGTAATAAATCGTGACCGTTCGTTAACAGTGCTATGACAGTTGTATTCCCAAATGTATTGCTTCTGACAATCCAACAATTTTGAGTCTCGGTACCCGAGATGCAATTATCTAGTAAACGTATTACATTTCAAAGGTTTTGCAACGATTGACGGGAATACAGATCCCCTTTACTCTAACGTCCACAAGCTACAAATGAAATTAAGCTAGCTCAAACCAAATGCCATTTTATATTCCGTTTGTGGCTGGACTGGGAATATATTTTAATATAAACGTTCATACATATTTGAGTTTTTTTTTTAACTTTAAACGTTGCATCCATATTTATAGTTGAATTTAAAAATTATGTTATATTTCATACATCGAGTTCGTGTATTAAAGCAAACAGATTTATATGTAAATGTCTAAATCCACGACTAAATATATTGTGATCGATCAGTCAAACCCAAACGTAGTACTTATCATATCGTAATGGAATAAAATATCTCAGTTGGTATTTTGAAATATGTCAGTACAAAGTTATTGATGAGATTCAAGCGAGTAGTAGACATTTATTTAAACGAATTATATTAGTTATATTTAAAAATACTTCATAACTGTTAAAATGAACTTCTTCTTCTTCTTTTTTTACCTGGCAATAGCCCAGCTTTAGCCAGGGTCTGCCTTACATGTTGTGAATAGTTTTGACTAATTGTTTTTACGACCGGCCGCCTGCCTGACATCAACCTTCTTTTGGGAATCAGCATTAATCAGTGATGTCTAAATACTCTTATAAAGTACATATGACTCGGAAAAATCACATTGATACTTGCCCAATTTACTTGTATTTAATTTTACGATTTTTTATAAATAAAAGCTAATTATTTCATTATATCACAAGTATATTAAAAATTCTCACCTGGGCGAACAGATATACCAAAACGAAAGGCAACATGGTGCAGGTCATTAATAGACCTAACGGTATTAACTATACGATTTTAACCAAAACTAACATGTATTTATACTAAAATAGAGACAATGAGATTAAAATCACATCTGTATAAATACACTTCACAAACATAATTATTTGTAATCGATTGAAATTCATTCAAACCTTATTGTATGTGAATAAAGCATGAAAATGTATGAATATTATAAAACAATTATAAGTAATACAAAATAGATTCCAAACAAAGACTTTAATTAAATTTGCGCTTTTGTTTTTGTGAGTATTGTTTGCGTCGTTAAACAATTGGTGAATTAAGATGTTCTTCGCTCGAACGTCACTTGGTAATATATAAAAGTATTTGTAGTGTGTATATAAAACATATGTTGTTTCACATACATTATATTTGACGGTATAATTTATATATATATTACGATAGTTTTTATTATAAAAACTATTGTATTTTATTGGTTTGTTATTTGAGATGAATTAAAAATTAAGACGTATTAGATTTAAATACAAAAATATAATTGTGTACAGTCTCTATTTTTACTTCAGAGAATTTAATATAAATCATTATTAATGCTGAAATATTTTTATAAAAAATGGTGATCGTAAACTCATATTTTGTTTACGAAAGAAATTGTTTTAAATCTTTTATATTTATCTATAATATTTACAAGTATATAGTTAATTTTTCAATACACATTATCTGTCTTAAACCTAGATCTAGCAGTTTTTATATCCATACCATCTCAACCTCTCGTATAAATTATAACTGGTGTCAAAATATATGAAATATATATTAAAAATAATCAATATGTAAGGTGATTATATTCAAAATAAAAAAATATACTTATTTACATAAATTAAATATAATTCCAGTCCCATTTGGAGATATTTATTTCGCGTAATTAATACATTATAATATACATATACATATATACATATATATATATATGAGAGTATATCAGTTTCATTTATTATGTTATTACCTCGAGATGAGAATTCAAAAAGTCATACGTAACATACATTTGTTGAAAAAGGTAGGTATAATATATTAGAATAAGTATTAGGGAGTGAAACAATGGAGAGATGTTTTATAACAAAACAATTTCAGTCTTGATCCTTCAGATTTATGAAACATTTGTACTTCGTCGGGAACAGTGAAGTCAAATACGTTAAAGGTAAGACCGTACCATTAACTTAGCGGTTTCATAAGCTGAAGCGATTTAAAATAGTTTTAAAACAATTTGTTTTTGTATTCGTTGGTGTTTAATCAAATTGTTAGGTTAACTTTATACAAGGACATACAAAATAAAATCCAACTGTATATCTGTTCAAAATAAATTAATTTGTTTTATATATATTCTAAACAAATATAAAGATGTTTTGTTCTCTATTCAGTTCAACATCAGAATAAGTATCTTATAAGTCTGTATATCTAATGTGAACGTGGTCTTAAACTGTAGATAAATGTGGAAGAAAATCTTTTGTTTCCAGCGAGTCTTCCACAGCAAATGGGGTGTTTGCTATGTTATGAGATGCATGCGTGGATAAAACTGTTGCATATACCGAAATGTGAAAATATAAAAATATTATATGCATATGCAAAGTTTGTTTCATAAATACATATACCATAGGGATAGAAATTTGAACTATATCGTTTAATTTATAAATATATTTGTATTATAATTCTCATATACATTTTAATTTTATTCCATTTTTTTCATCTGACATCATATTTATATTAATAACTAGCTTTCCGCCCGCAGCTTTGCCCGGGTGGAGTTCGGTTATATCGCATTTCCAAGAGAACCTTTCAAAAATCTGGGATAAAAACTATTCTATGTTCTTTCTCAAGGTCAACTCTATCTCTGTACCAAAGTTCATAAAAATCAATTCAGTGGTTTAGGCGTGAAAGCGTAACAGCCAGACAGACAGTTACTTTCGCATTTATAATATTAGTAGGGATAATTCAAATTTTGTAATAAAATAATATTGAATTATAAATAGTTACAAACCACAATAAATCTGTATTTAGTAGAGATTAATTTTTAACAGTTCGCAACAATCTCACTCAACAGACAAATCCTATTTCATGAGATTTCAATAAATAATTTAACGAAAAAAAAAATCAGCCTGCGGGGGGAGATAAGAAGATCTTATAAATTATTTATTAAGTTCAGTTGTTAGAGGCTTTGTCCGAGACATTTATTCCGAATAACAGAATGAGAAATATTTTTCTGTAGGGTGACCATGATTTCAACATTATAGAAAATCTTTAGATTTATTTAAATAACTTCATGAAAGAATACTGTTTTACATACACCTTATATTCAATGATATAGCCTTTTAATCTAGACCACAAAAAGTATCTTTTTAACTGTTTTTTTTCTATTAGTCGTAACAAAATCGACTATTAAATACTTGATAACACTAGCTACCCAGATTTATGTAACAACCTTATCTCTTCTTACCTATCGGTCTAGCTTTGCATATTCTTTTACGAATTTAGGATATGTAGCAATATAAAAAATACTATTGGAACTGAGCTGCCAGAAATAAAGCGTAAATCATTACAGCGTAAAATAATCCATATTCCATATATAATATAGGTCTAAATCCTATAATAATATTATATAATGGTCACTCTAACTTCAAGGCGCTTCGTATGATGTTGATAACAGATGTTAGAACGGCGATCTGTCGCGTCCAAATAATAGAGATATTAAATTCTTTCAAATTTTATTATATTTTTTAAGTTTTATACTTTAATTTTTTTATAGTTGAATATTAGAGTTATGGTATTTGGTTTTTTTATTAGTAGTTTTTCAGCTTTATTGAAAGGTTCGAGGAAATTCTTTTATAAAAATTTATATTTAGTAAAAATTGTTCAATGAAGTTTCACTAAACAATTTTTAATTATTGATCTATTGTTGAAAATAATCTAAAAAAATTCATTACAATAGCATTTATACATATGAAGGGAGGAGATGAGTGTTTGTCCCTTTAAACCTACACCTGGGTCGCAAGTCCCAGTCACTGTTGAAGCTCCTCTCACTACAACGATGGACCCGGCACCCGCACGGTGAATCCATTGATTGCTGAGAGGTTTCGTCTCTTCATATACACATGACGTACTTACTTACATTACGAATATATTACAATTAAAATCTCTTATTAATTTCATTATAATTACTTTTAATTGTTTTTTTTTTCACAAACTCACCGTCAAATATTTACTAATATTTTAAATTATCAAAAATTATTAGAAAGTAATAACAGTATTGTAATTATTGCGTTTATTGATATAATTATTACAATATGTATATATAAATGTCTTATATCCAGTGTATCAGTAAGAATTAAAAAGGGTATTTCACTTATTTATCTTGTTAATAATATTACTAGATATTCAATGCTCGCCTATAATACTAATTAATTCATTATTTTAATATCAATGGAAGAACAGAAACATTGAGAAATCTTCGCGAGTTTAAGTAAATAAAATGTGCTTTTTTTTCAATATAATTTAAGTAATAATAAAGATATAATTTTAAATAAATATTTGAGAGCGAGAAACAAGTTTTGGCTTTACCTCTTAATGTTATATTTTTTGTTAAACGATTTCAAATGATATGTATATCTGTAACATATACTAGAAATGTGACTAAGGAATGAAGCCTAGAAAACAACATGAACATCTCACAGCCAGCAAAAGCTTTTTTCACATACCTAACACCGTAGATAACCTAATTCTGATATTTGAAGTACAGCAATTTAATCATTAAAAATATAATACCAATATTCCAAAAAATTTTAAACAAAAAAAATAAACAAAAAGGGCTTTGTATTTAATATATATATTTTTTATAAAACTCTAAAGCAAGTATTAATTTTTTATGCTTAGAATTATTATATAGTATGTTTGCGTTCAATTGCAATGGAGAAGTATCAATACTTTGATCCCTAATCTTGGTATTAATAAAAAAATATCACTTATCGTTTAAAATTCATTGTATTCAACAACATTTTTTAAGTTTTCATCTCGATAAAAATCTTTAAGAGCCCATTAAGATGATCATATTAAGAGATCAAGTCTTAAACAATACATTCTACTTTCTAGTATGTAACAAAGTTAAAATGTCGTTTGATAGTAAACATAAAATATGTAATGATGGCGCACTATAACTTTATTATCACAGGTGTTCACTCAAGTGGATAACATCATTGTAGTTTTTATTTAACTGGTCGTTAAAAGAAGTTTTTTTTTGAGAGTTTTAAATAAATTACTTTTCACATTTTAGTTTGTGACTAAATTAAACCTGGTAATATTGGAAAAAAGCCTCAGAGGGTACTAAACCAAAAGCCTATTCTTTTTAACTTAAATAATGTCAAATTGTAAGTGATAAAAGACAAAGATATTTTTTTTGTATGAAAAACTTCATTATTTTTCTTACTTCAGAAAGTAATATGAGAAATCAGCTGGAAAATTGTAGAATAGGAACTTACCGTTATAGGCAATATTCATATGATGTAAAAATTAACAAAAAAAACTCATACGTAATCTTTATTACTAAAGAAATATACATAAATATTTTTACAACTAAACCCTTTTTTATTAAAATGGAATTTTTTAAAGATAATAATTTTCAAAACGCTTTGAGGTTTCGGAAACGCTTCACTATTGGTGGGTCAAAATATGACGTTACATTCTGTAGTTATCATATTGTAAGTTATAACGTAAGCTGGATGTATGAATATTGCAATTATCTGTGACATGCTAAATATAATAAGTAGCAGGCAAAATAAACCGAAAAATTCTTTAGAATTTATTGAGTTTTGTAAACTAAAGATATATAAAAGTTCTGGTGAGGAAACTGAACTAGCAATAGTTGACTAAAACGTTGGTCCGTTGCATTACGAACTTAGACATGCTCGTATTACTATTTCAAAGGCTTATGAAGCAGCCTACTGTAAACGATTGCATGGTACGTTTACTGAATCTATATTGGGGTAACTAAATTATTGGATACATAAGCTATAAAAAATGTGTTCTCGAGGAGAAGAATTAATTGTGAACAGCTTAGAAAAATTAAACTAAAATTATTGTAAAAAATTAAGTTAAACTCCACAGAGTATTGGAAGTTTAAATCCAGAAGTTAGATATAGAAGAAGCAAGGAGTTTAAACATGAGAATCATTGAATAGTATGTATTTTGTAAGCGGAGATATAAAATTTGCAAAGCGTAGCAACTATCACTGAATAAATCTTAAGACAAGCTGATACGTTTATCTAAACCAATATCTTTATATCCGTTATAACACCTAAAAACATGTTTACTTTATATATTCCTTATTAGAGAGAAAATATTTTGAGAATTTCTTCTTTTTTGGGATATTCTTTGTACATCAAATATATAAAAAGCAACTACAAATAAAGCTTGTACAAACAAACTTTATTTGTAGTTGCTTTTTATATTTAGAAATCTAATGATGAAGATTAAAAATAGAATTTGATAGGTAACTTGATATTTCACAATGGAAGTGGCGAATACAAGTATAATATAGAGTGTAGAATAAATCACTCTCATTTCGTAATTCATATAAATATATTATAAATGAAGTGAAATCTTGGTTTAAAGATTTTATATAAACTTTAAAATTTCAAACGCTATCAGTGAAGCCACCGCCTCTTAATAAATATACAAGAAATATAAAAAACTAATTCACTAAATCACGAAACAGGAATGTTCTTAATTTATAATACTTACCTAGCTTTGTATAAAAAATATTAGTTTAAAAGTACTGTATATATTGTGTCATTCCCAAAGAGGGTTGATGTCGGGCAGGCGGCCGGTCATAAAAACAATTAGCCAAAACTATTCACAACATGTAAGGCAGACCCTGGCTAAGGCTGGAAAATTGCCAGGTAGAAGAAGAAGAGAATATATTGCGTTAAATCGCTGCAACTGCGACCAAACTCGTACCTTAAGCAATAACCAGAAAGCTAACGCTATGCACCAGATACTACAGCTTACACACAAAAACTCTTTCAATTTAACTTAAACGTGACACAGAATACTGCAAAACTACACCTAGTCTAAAACTTTGTTCAATTCCTTGTTGTTCTTTTGAGAATTTTTATTATTCTTCTATTTTTCGTATATAATATCGACTCACATTTTGTGCTAAAGTTACTTTAGTGTAATTTCTTTTTAAAGTGTTTAAAATGTTACACTATATTAAAAATGTTAAGACGACTGGTGGATTCAGTAACGAATTTCATTGAAAAGCAATCTATAATATTAATTTAGTAAGATAAAATCGGATTTTATTATTTCTATTGCTTTTGAGTCTCAACGGAATTCGTTATTTTGATTATTGCCCATTTATTTAGACTATCACAAATATTTTCTTTATGAAATTCGATATTAATTTTAAAGAATCTATACAGATTTTGAGTTAATAAACAAAAAATCTTAACTTAGGGGAGAGTGAATTCAGAAGGGTGCATTTTAAGTGAAGTATTATAACAATGTTGCTTTAATATTAAAAATATAATTTATCGAAAACCAGGCAATTTTGATCTCTTCTTTTAGTAAATAGGATGTGATTTCTTCTAGTAACCCTACAATACTTTTAGATAATAAAAATCAAACTGATATTAGGAAAGTATTTTCAAAAATTTATTAAATGAAATATGTAGTAAGTACTAGTCGTGGAAATTATAAGAACTACTTCAAACTGAATTGTTAACAATGATTACGAACTAAAGAATAATTAAAAAATATTTCAACAAATAGTGAATTGTACTGAAATATTATTAAAAATATATAATCAGTTTTAAAGATATTAATGGTTAAACTCTTTCTCTCTCTTTCTCTCTCATTCTCTTTCTCTCTCATTTGTTCTGTATGAAAGCAGTTAATTCACAACTTTGAAATGTCCATCATATTATCAATGCTTTAAATATTATTAAGCCAGAGAGCAATTCATGCAAATGGTGTCATAGTCGTACTGATCGCAATATTCATCAGGCGTAGTGCTGACTGTAGTTTGTAAAAAGTAATAGTTACTACATGCATCCAGAGTTCCTCACAAATATTGTTCAAAGAACAACGATTATTTAATATTTAGTCTCATATTTTTATATTATAACATCATTATGAATATATTAGTATTATAGGTTTTATTTTAAGTAATGATCTGTTTAGATTCAGATTCTCAAATTTCCAAACATATTTTTTATATCTCAAAAAGAGTTTAGAATGAGATTCTAGACTTTCTTCTTCTACCTGGCAATTTCTCAGCTTTAGCCAGGGCCTGCCTTACATGTTGTGAATAGTTTTGGCTAATTGTTTTTACGACCTGCCGCCAGCCTGACATCAACCCTCTTTAGGTATGCATTAATCAGTGATATGTAAATACTCTTAGAAAGTACATATGACTCGGAAAATCACATTGGTACTTGCCAGGATCGAAATCGCGCTCTCATGCATGAAAAATGGGGCTTTTAACCACTAGGCCACCACTGACTTAAACAGTTTCTAGACTATGCTTCCTAATTTTCTTCATAATATTTTCGATACAAATAACTTACCAAACAATATTTTTGTTGAAAAATAAAATATATATACGGAATCCTTTTTCCATGAAATATTATTGTAGGTAATAACCTTTATGGCACGTGAAATATTTGTTACCCGACTGCAGTAACGTCGGTATGTAATTGAATATTTAAAACTAGACGTTTTTAAGCCAAAAATTTATTTGAATTCGTGCTCGGAATGAAAAATTTACTTTTTGGTAACGCAAAAAAAGAAACTGATATTTCTTCTTGTACCATACCTACCAAGGCAGTAATAATTCTTTGTTAATATTTTTTAGTTTAAATATGTATAAGTATATAAACGGCAATTATATAAAGTTTTCAGTAAATGATATGTTATATAAATTATGAAATAAAATAAGAGATAATTTAAAAAAATACTTTATTATAATTTAGTTCAAACAAAGGACGCTTTCACGATACAATAAAATAAACATATATTTATATCGCTCAAAGACATTGTCAAAATTATTAATATAAAAATTCATCCAAGATTTTTAACGAGCTCTTTAACGAGCCGAATGTCTTTTTTATCATTGAATTCTTCTTCATCCAACTCAGGGTAAGAAGACGTGGATTGAGCGCGAGTCGATGGAAGGGGCAACTCGAACACAAACAGACGGATCTGTATAAAAATATACATATAAATTATATATTTACATTCTACATACTACAGATTGTGTTATAGACTGAATTTCTCCTGATTAATCCATGCTTTTTAAACCTTTTTTTCCTTCAGATAAATTTCTCGCTTAAAGTTTAGAGACAAAATTATCATGACAAAAAAATTAAAGTACTTTCTCAATCTATAAACGTAGATTATTGAAATAAGCATATGCCGTACTATTTAAAATATAATCCTTAGAATTATTATCATAACTGTTTATAAGTAATTATAATACTGAACCATAGTCATTTTGTAATGGCAACATTAAGGTTTTAACATGTATTTGAAAACTATACATAAAGGCTTCGGCCATTTTGTAGAACATTACTGGAAGTAAAGCTAAACATTAAAAATTAAGACTGAAAGTGTACTTCGAGCACATAATTGGAGAGTCTTTAAAGAAAGATAAACATATTTTAATTAAAGAAAGATATATGTTACAGCAACGATTTAAAAAACTAAACACAAATTTTTAAATATATCCCAACTTTCCTTTTGGTAGTTCTATCAATATTTTTTGACAATATTAAATTTGATGCAGTAAAATTATATTTAAAGTAAAAAATTATAATAATTAATCTTAACGAAATAATATATCGTAACCGATATGCTTTTTATCGTACACAAACCTAACTAACTGAAGCTAAGCCATATTTTAATATAGCATCCAAAGAAAAAAGTAAACATACAACGCATTGAAACGAAACTAGTCCAGACGATAAGTGGAAAAATAGCTAAGATAGGATAAGCGATATATAGCTTGCTATAGCAAGTTACCTTGTGATTCACAGCCCTAAAGTTCTGAAGCAACTTGAGGCCAGAGCGCTTTTCAGTTGGATGAGAAATTTGAAATAAACGCAATGCCCGATAGAACTGGAAAAAAATATTCTCATTCATATAAATTATTCTTCTATTCTCACAATTTTGGTAAAAAATATTAAAGAAGATTATAAACTTACGAAATTAAACTTTCAATACTTAAATATTACTATATTTATATATAAGGAATTTATTTGTATGATATATTTTTTCAATTAGTTAAGACCTAAGTTCCTGACGTGTTTATTAAATGTGATATAAATATAAAAAAATGTCTACTAATACACACGAATTAATATTCTTTATTAACTTTAACATTATATAAAACATCTCAGAAATTATCAGCAATTATAATTACTAAATTAAGTCATATCTAGACTTTGTGTTAGAAAAATATATAAAGAAAATTCAAACAAAGGAGGTTTGATATTTATTATCTTCATAAAATTGTTCGCAATTAAATTGACTATAAATTATATATTTTAGAAAGAAATAAATGTATATAATGAAATAGATACATTTATGTTAATTAAATAAAAGCCTAGTTTTTGAAAGAGCAACATTTTGGTGGTTTGATATAGTGTTATCGATTTATATAGAAAGTAGTGTGCAGATGCAGGCCTATCTAATGAAAATATACTGCGGAGGCAGAATAACAGAAATATGGTTTTCAAAAACACATATTTTGATAACTTCGACAGGGTTTGAACAGTTATAAATGGTTCACCAATGTGTATAAGCTAAAAGATTGAAAGGATAGACTTAAGGGAGGTTAAGTTTAAATAAAAATTTAATCTTAATATATGTATATGAAACTACTTTCCGCCCGCGTGGAGTTCGGTTATATCGCGTTACCAAGAGAACCTTTCAAATGTCAGGGATAAAAACTATTCTATGTTCTCTCTCAAGGTCAACACTATATCTGAACCAAATTTCATCAAAATCAGTTCAGTGGTTTAGGCGTGAAAGCGTAACAGACAGACAGACAGAGTTACTTTCGCGTTTATAATATTAGTAGGGATATTGTTTGACTAGAATTGAAACTAAATTGACAAACTATTGGGTCACGGGTCAAAAAATATATAGGATTTGAAACGCTCACCCGTTGCAATAAACACCAGGTATCCTTATAGTTCTGAAAGAACACCAGAGGTGTGAGAACAGCTGCGTAGTATGCTGCTTCTCTGTCGAGAGGATCCTCACCTTCCGACATCCCGTACACACGAGCTCGGTACTTGTGAAGGAACTCCTTATTCGAATGGTCCTTATCGAAACTACATACAAAGATTAATAGTTATGCACCTTCCATCAGTAACGCAAACAAAATATAAATATTATCTTTTGTGAAATAAATTATTATCATTCAAAAAAAAATGTTTTAATAGCTGCCACAGATTACTTTTCACAAAAAATCTGGACCAGTAAAAAAAATATAATCAAGACAACTAAAAAATTTTAGTTTTTTTGTGATCATGAAATTTAAATATTAATTAAAAATTTAATAATTGAATTCAAAAAGAATAGGTAGTTGATAACATCGAAACTATTACCGAACATAAATTATAGCAAAATGGTTTATATTTTTATGAAATTATAATAATTCCTTAAGCTGCAATGAAATAATACTCAAAATAAAGTACACTTTTATCAGCCACATGTCAAGACATATTTCTTTGCCACTTAAATACCACAAGTTTGTGTTATGAGATCTAAGACTTTCGCGAGTATTCATTTAAATGAAACTAATATTTTCAGATTACTTCGGTTATTTTATTATTTTTAATTAACAACTATATGTATACTCTCGAGGTTTCAGTTACTTTGCAGCAACACAGACATACGATATGCCGTGATCACGGTGTAAAAATAATAAAATGCGCGCACTAATCCGAAAATATTAGTATCATTTGTTTATTACTATGTCAATATAGCGTGGAAACGCTTGACTATATCCTTGGTGGAGGGATGGATCTCCATACAAGGCTCCCTGATCTCCGAACCCTTGGAGTTCCTGTACATCCACCTGTCCTCCAGAGTAAAATCTGGTGTCAATTCCTCCAAGTCATCTCCTAAGGACTGACACTGCAATATTTAAATATATCGGTTGGTATTAAATTATTAACATAGCAAAATTCTTTTTTTTTGTGAACAGGTGTCTTTCAGAAAAAGATCTGCCATTGGAGATTTCTTCTGATACATGGGAAAAAATGTTTACATCTAAATATTGATTTCGAATACGAATGAAGGATAAAATTAAGGATCTATTTTACGTCTGCTAAATATCGTCACATACTAGTTAAAATCGAATATTTAATATAAGCTTTAATTTAAAACAATTATCAAATAATAAAAAGGTTTCATATTAATCTAGATCAAATTCAAATTAACGTAAGCAGACAAAACTCGATACAATTAAATTGAGTCTCGCCAGTTATTTAATGTAATTTTTTAAATAAATTTTCACAGATTTATATCTATTATAATGCTATCAAACCATTATCTCACCACTAACGCAAACCATACAAAAACATTAAACCATTTTCCCATATTTTCTGTTTAATTTCACTCATTATTTAACTGTTTAATTTCACATTCACAAACCACTCGACTTCTAACACATAATTTAAAGATTGAAAATGTTTTATAAAATTTACATATCCGATCTGATATTATTCATTTGGAACACAAAGGAAATACTCTGTCAAAATTTACGTATCCAGCCATTTTCTTCTTGTTTGACAGTATTTTCATGCAGACTAAATTTTCTAACAAATTTTATGTAAAACTTCTTTTAATTTTTGTAAAACCATTTATTCATTAAACCATATCCCACGTAATAGGTTGTAAGAAAGCCAACAAATAATTAATTTATTTTCAATTAAAATTATTATTTATATTAATTTAAAAACATTTCTACAGCTCATTTATATTGAATATGTGTATGTTTCTTATATATATATAAGTTTATGCGATCATGAAATCTCTCATATATTTTACTGTTACTGATTATCTGAAATAGATTGTTTTTTAGCAAAAAAAACCGCTAGGATTGTACATCTTTATCAACGACAATTTTAATAGTTGTTAATTTAAAGGTTTCCAATAAAGATCATTAGTATCACCGTCATTATTCCTATTATTATAATAGAATTTAATCTAAATACAAAGTCTTATATTTTAATTACTTTTAACTACCGTATAAATAATATGAAAGAGGTTCAAATCATGTTCTGGTTGTTGAAAATATTGTTTCTTATTATTTAATTTTTAAAAGAAACCTTATTAAGAATATTAGAAGCATAACTATATGAGTATTTAGAGGCGAAACTTCTCATCATTCAATATATGTAGGTATTCACCATGCGGGTGCCGCGTCTGTCGTTGCAGGGAGAGAAGATTCAACAGTGCGATTATAATGTATTATGTAAAGGGTATATTAAATAAAATTACTGCGAACTGAAATATTTATTTAAGAATACATAACAAATAAAGCGGTACATCCAAAAATAATTTAGCAGCGCTATTGGTGACGACAGCGACAGTGTCATCTAAAACTTCATATCCCAGTGTTGTCTGCACATTATTTGCAGAAATCTCGAAGTCAAACTGGTAAATAAAAATATATGTATACAAAATTCTACTTAAAATAATTTGCATAATTGCTTTTACGTACAATAAAAGCAATTCCAACAATAGAAATGTTATTACCATTATATTCTACAATGTTATACATTTTTATTTAAATTAGAAATGGTTTTTTTAATTAGTATTTTTCATATATTGTTACCGCACAAAGCTTTTCGCTCTCAGTATAACATTCTATACAATTTAATTAAAAACATATGCAGAAAGACAAAGCGATATAAAAACTCAGATTCTAAACGAATTTACATTAGTTAGAATAAAAAGAGCATTCAAATTCAAGGAGTTAAATTTTAATATGATTCAAAATAAAATTTTACTAACTTTTTGATGAGCGCGAGGTTTCATTGCGTGTTTCTGTGTAGTCGTGTCTGTAGGGGCCGGCTGTAAAGTTTATTTTATGACACAGAGGTCGGATAACATCGGAAACTTTGTTGCAAACTACGACTAAAATATACAGTGAATAAAAAAGATACTTGCATTATATATAAATGAACACAAAATCAAAATGATCTGTTGCTACAATGTATACCTAATTACACAGTACACGGTACACTTCAATTAATAAAATGGAACGGCTCAAAATCGGTTTATAAGCTACAATGCCACAGACAGACAAACGTCAAACACATAACACTCTTTCTGTTTCTGGTGTTAAAAATAATTATTAAAACCTCAACCTTATTTTTCTTGGGCGGTGTGACTTTCTGATACATGTTCATGGGCGTTATGTTCTGTATGAAGTCTTCCATGATGAAGCGAGCTCGCGCCATCACCAATTCTAGAGTCCGCATGCGTTTGGCGATCTCATGTGGCTTGGCGTTTGACAGATATACATTCATCTTGACAAACCACATATATATACTTAGGAAACATATACATACTATTGATGTTCTACCCTAATTTTGGATACTCTTTTAATATACTTATAGTGGCTTAGGTTGAAAAATTCAAGTATAGTAACTAAGCTATCCAGTTTTTAATTAAAAATATATTCAAAATCTCTTTCAGAAATATTAATTTACTTCTTGAGAATGAAGAAACTGTTTTCGTTATCTTAAGGGCCCTATTCAAAGTATCCATTGTATATAAAAATTGTACAGAATAGAGCGTATTATACAAATATTAATCTTTTAGAAAATGGACTATAAATGCCGATATAAATAGTTAATTGTTTAGTACTATAAGATATCTAATATTGCTAAAAGAAATATGCAGAATTTACCGTATTAATGGGACACCAGCCATATTTTCTGGTCAACGAAGGGTCAGTTATCAACATCCATATAACAGCGATGATCTTTGGGAAGGTCGCATGAGGTTCACCCATCATCATAGAGGGAGTCTTCACCAGAGAATCCAAATCGGGTTCAGTTTCAAAGATCGATGTTTCAACCAGCAGCTTAGCACGTTTCAATACTTGGACCAATTCAGGAACTAATGCGCTATCATCTCCTTCTAGATTTCTACGTATAGATCATAAACTAATAATTAATACGAGAGCATAAGTCCTAAAACTTCTACATTAGAAGACTTCAGTTCTGAGAGAGAAGTTAATGCATATTGTTATCAATATCACGAGAGTCTATGGCCATAAATTTCTATCGCTGAAATATTTATAGTACATATTTCTGTGGAATTTCATCAATGATCAACCAATTTCGATATTTTTCTATACGATGGTACCAAACTAAAATACTAACTTCAACAATTCAAGCATAAGCCTGCCGATTTTGCCTGCAGTCGGTCGCGGGTAGCTCATACAGTCTGAATTAATAACTTTTATAGATGGTGGTTCAGTTTCGAAGGCCACAGCCAGTTCTCGTTGCCTCGAGTCTTCGGCAGCCAACCAGTCCAGGGTCAATGATGAACGGTAAGCTGCTATCCCGGATAATGTAGATCGAGTCACATTATACCCATGATAGTAATATTCCTCAGTTTTGCACTAGAATAACCGCGAAAATAAATCAATTGGAAGACAATTCCCATTTTGAGCAACTTTAAACAAAGGGCTATTAAAAGAAATAAATAAAAATCCAATATTTAATACCAAAAAAAGAGATCAAAGACGACATTAATGTTATTACTTTTAAGAATGTAAATATTACTTAAAGTTAGCTCGGGTACTTAATGAAGTACATTTTTAAAAGTTTTCTTATTACTTGCTCTTTGTTAAGATAATCCTCTCAATAAGCAAGAATACATTTTAGGCGCATCTTCAGAAATTATAATTGAACAAACTTTTTCAATTCCGTTTTTCTTTTCAAGTGAAATGACGGCATAAATGACTTTATATAAGTCTACGTTAGGATATAACAACAAAAGAAAATTGTTTCTTTGTTAACAACAAAAAAAATACCTCTCATATTATTGTTCCGAGGATTCGTTAAGTGATTTTTTAAAACAATACAAATAAATGCTCAACGTAAAACAGAACTTTGTCATATAAATTGGTATAACGACGTTATAATATGAAGTTAATCGAAAAAGAAATAAACATTCCTTGTTTTTCCCAAACACTGTTTGTGTGGATAATTAAATTGCTTCGATAGCTCCATTACTACGTTAGATTTGGGTAAAAAACTTGTTTAATCAACAATTCTTTTAGAGCCATCCATTCATTTCCCCTTTTCAATATGCTACACGGAAAATTGTCATTGATGTGTTTCCGACATGTAATAAATAAGATAAAAAGAGGGCAAATCCGAAGCATAAAACAATATTGGTTTAAATATAAATATATTTTACTTTTTGTTTAACGTCTAATATCTTTTAAAATGCCTAAACAGATTTATTTGTTTTCTCCCGCCATAACGGCCACCCTAAATTTTGTGGATGCCGTACTTAAATTGACATTGAATTTAAAAACTAACTTTTGACCACTGCTTCGTGCTTTTATATATATATATATATATATATATATATATATATATATATATATATATGTATATTATATCAATAATTTCATTTGTATAGTCAATTATACAGTCAACAATTGTCATGGTGAAATGCGCAGTCCACAGATTTAATCGGACCCACAGAAATCTGATTTTAAAACAAAACGATTAAAGTTTAAACTTCATATTAAAAAAAATGCCTTAGAGCATGGGCCATCACAAAAAGTTTTAAAGAAATAGACGGATTTTAAAGACGCTATAAGAAATAGCAGAAGAAAAAAGACGCAATTTAAAGATTACGAACCAATTAATAGATTTCTAAACAGACAAAAGAAGTAATTATTTTTGACATAATAAAGGAGGCCAATTATGGTTTGCTAGCTAAAATTATATGGAAGGCAAAAATATATTAGTGTATTTAAAATTTTTCAGATATGATCGATAAAAATAACTAAAAATTAATAAGCATTGAAAATTATAATTTGGTTTAAGGTTTAATTCTATTGCTCGGTCGGTACCAACATTATACATCAACATTATCAAGGAAATGTTGCCATATGCAAAATTATATCACTAAAAGATTCTTTATAAAAATCAAATCGAAACCAAAGTTATTTCATTAACTTATAAAAATGTTATTTGAAATTCAATGCTAGCGTTTCCTTTTTAAAATGTTATGAATTGAAATATTTTCTTTCCATTCTCTCGCTACCGTCAATGTTTCTTTTAACAAATAGGGTATGAGTATAATAATTGACTTAACAGCAAGGGGTTGGTTTTGAGGAAATAAACAAATTTAGACCGTAAAGTTGCTTAATGGGCCATCACAGAGGATAGCGTGTTAGTGGCTGGAAGCAAAAGAGGCTTTATTACACACATAAATAACGCTTTCGCATCTTATTTTTCGTTTTTATAAAATTTATGCAATTTAATTAAAGTTCACGCCGCCATATTGGATGCGTATTAAATTTCAAGGTCGGTTTATTATCTGTTATACAGTATAGACAATATAGTAAAAATAATTTTCATTTCGTCTTCATTTGGACAGTCTTAACAAAATAATATTTAATTTATTTGTCAGTTCTCATAAATAGTTACTTAATAGATTGTTTGACTGCTACAGACACATTGCTACACAATACTAGGTACTCTATAAAGCCGCAAACGCTCGTATAAATAAATTATTTACCTCACATTAGCGATTGCCTGCGCCATTACATTAATAGTAGAAACGTGCTTAACTACGGAATGAATGGTTAGTAGAATGTTGAAATGTGCTGTTTCAAATTTAGATAATGTGTCTGGCGTAATTATGATTATAAACGGTAAAAAATCCAAGAAACTATAGAATTATGACTTCAAAATAATTTTAATAAAATAAATCTAAACCCAAATGACGTACAAAACACATTAAGTCTTAAAATCCGATGTGCAAACAAGTGTACGTATCTGTACATTCAGATTCGTTCAATCATTTCCGTTTATTGCGTCATCATTCACACAATAATTGACAAAAAGGGCGTTGGAATCCATTAGCAGGCAGGTGATCCCAGCCATACATTTATGGGGCTATAAAAGCGAGTAATCGTAATTTTTAGATTACAATCAGAACATACAAAGGGTTGGAAATAAAATGTTTAGCTACAGATCGTTATTATAATAACGCGATGTTCTCTGACACATTGTGTAATGACAGTGACGGATGACACTCGAAATAAAAAAAAATCTGCTACACTTATTACTGAGCACTAATTAATAATTACCTATACATTACATAAGTGGCGTCTGTTTATAATAGTTGTTTTTTAAGAGAAATTTTCATTTTAATAGAAACGGTATAGATTATTATTCACTAGCTTTCCGCCCGCAGCCCGCGTGGAATTCGGTTATATCGCGTTTCCAAGAGAACCTTTCGAAAGTCTGGGATAAAAACTATCCTATGTTCTTTCTCGAAGAAAATCTATCTCTGTACCAAATTTCATTTAAATCAGTTCAGTGGTTTTGGCGTGAAAACGTAACAGACAGACAGACAGAGTTACTTTCGAATTTATAATATTAGTAGGGATAATGTGACAATTTAATTTGAATGAATAATTTAAGAAAATACCCTTACAGATAATATGAATTTGCAATTCATTAATTCTAAAGTTATTACTGGAACGTGATATTCGAAAAGTCATAGGTTAAAATCGTGCTTCAATTAATGATTATTTTTATTGTATATTACCCATATGTTGATTTAATAAAAACGTTATTATATGAAGCAAAATAGTTTATATGCTTTGTATATGATAACTTCAAGAGGCAGGAATTTTATTAAGAGGCATGAATTGATTGAACAATTAAACCTATAAATTAGAAAGAAAAAGAATCTTTGTTAGTTTCTTTAAATTTTAAGTTTGTCAAGAATACTTCTCTTTACACGTTCCAAATACGGTAAATGATGTAGAAATGCTAAATCTTCCTGAAGTATGGATAGAGTTAACCTCGCTGACCAGTGATTGAATACAATAGGAAGAGTTGGAAAACGTAAACAACAGAATTTGTATATAACGTTGTAATAACAACAGATGGTTCAATAAAAAGGTTAAATTGTATCCCGAATTAATCATAACTGTACCTCGAACGTCGTTCGAATTAAAGGGTTAAAAATTGGTGTGAATTGTTTTTATTTAATGCCATGCCAAGGCATGGTGGCAGATTTCGCATATTTATTTGGTTACGCCCTTTCTTTTAAAAATAAAAGAACCAAATATATCCTGACTATTATATCATATCCAAATATGTATATCAGTTATTTGAAAACTTACCAATGCAAAACATGACAACAAAACAATCACTTTCATGTACATGTTTTCACCATAGATTTTGATCAAATCATTTAAAATAAAACATACACAAATAAATACAGATTTCGTGTTTCGTCACGTCATAATACAATCATTCTGACAATTTATGGTTAAGAAACAGAATATAAATAAAATAGAAGAATAATATAATTCGTCCAACAAATAAAAACGTTGACATTGGCAAAATAACACAGAAGTCCCATGCTAATGAAGCCATAGTTAGAAAATATTAAAGCAGGTGTACTTTAGACCACACGATCACACTTTTCGTAACGCCTTTACTTCAAAAAAATAATTTTGCGTGCAGTTGTTCCGAACCAAAGAAGTGAAACTTCGTAATATTGGATGAAAACATGTAGGGGCAAAAAATTATTTGTAAGGAATTTTTCAATGTTTCTTTAAGACAAACTTTATTAACACTATGAGATCTAAGATTTTCGCGAGCACTCATTTAAATAAAACTATACTAAAAACTATAAACTACATACTCCCGACGTTTCGGCTACTTTACAGCAACCGTGAGGACGGACAGACGAGATGTCAAAAATAAAAAATCGCGTAATAAATCCTAAAATATTAATTTCATTTATTAACAGTACCTATAAGTCACAACTAATTTCGTGCATTTAAACGCCACGCATTCCCTCTCGCTCTGAATCTTTTTACCCAAACGAGCCTTAAGCGTTTAATGCAACCTTTTTGGAAGTCCCATAAGAAGTTTCACTTCTCTTATATATATTACTAGTTTTTGCCCGCGACTTCGTCCGCGTTAATTTCAACATTAGTAATATATGTATAGCTGACCGGGCAAACTCTATTCCGTCCTAGAGGCCATAAATAATCAGGTTTTTCCTGTTTCAATCGAACAGAATGATTGACATATTAGTTAGTTGTCAAATCTAATGTCAAAGAAAACATTTGTATGGGAAATAGAAAAGGGCTGTTTTTAGTGTTTTTCCGAAAATGAATCAATTTTTCTCACCTTTTAAACCTTCCCTGAACCTCCACGAACATTTCAAGACTAAGATAAGATAAATCCGTTCAGCCGTTCTCAAGTTTTAGCGAGACTAAGGAACAGCAATCCATTTTTATATATATAGAAGATACTTAGTATATTAAATTAAGTATGGAAGAAAAATTGTAAGCATTTGCTATCATATAAATCCTACGTTAAAAATTATATTTTAAGTTGATCTGATACAATAAATATTATTGACGATCTTAAAATAGTAATAACGTTACATACTACATACGAAAACATTTTTCGTTTCTCATTTAATAACCTACTTAATTCTATGTGTAGATATCTTAGACTACGAATACTAAGAGATTGTACAAGGCATTTGCTCGATAGATTTAATACCACCCATCAAAAGCGAACGTAGCATTTAAGCAGTATTTATTTATATTAGAGAATCGGGAAAAGCTTTGACCTCTGATTTTACTTTTTGGGAAATAAGGCTGTCGTATAAGAAAACAATATCAAGGCTCGAGGAAAAATGTAGATTATAGGGTTTTAAGTATTTTTGTGGTTTACTTCTTATCAACTCTACCCGTAAATACAGTTAATGCAAATATCGGGTCAGGTAAATATGGAATAATAAAACGAGCTAAACAAACCCGACGAATTAATATTTATGTGTAGTCGCCAGTCATAGATTTTGCATTATATACATAACAAGTTATTTGTTTAATTTCGTTTTTTTTTGTCAGGATACTTATTTTAGTTTCTCAAGGATGCCATATAAAATTTGTGTCTCATATAATCGTTATAAACGAAATTGTAAACTACAATGTCATATACTTTTCCTTACAAATCTTTTCTTGGCTTTATCAGACGAAAAAAAACAAAGTCGAAAAGTAGATTTAAAAAAGACACTTACTCTTATAATAATAACTATTAATAGCTACTAAGTTTTACGATTAACAGTTTTTAAAGTTCAAATTTATTACTCATTCATAAATCTTGAAACATGATACTATCAACATCCATTTATGACTGAGAAATTCGAAACGCTGCGTTTATAGTTTGACCATATAAACTTGTGATAAGATTAGATGATATTCTTTTATTATAATAGTATAACGAATATATATCTTTTAATAACGTACGAACAGCTGCGAAACCAAATGAAATGTGTCGGTTGGTGTAAATGGAGCCGAAGCTTAATAACTATAAATTAAAAACTTAATAAAACCTCCGACCCAATTAAAAAGATGATGAAAACCAGTCAAGACGAATTCAACGAGCCCAAACTCGATAGGTTTACGAAAAGGCAAGCCAGGGTTACGTTTCCTACCTTTGAGTCCTAGCAGCAGATCACCTAGTGGTTCCAGAAGAAATTAGTGTTTCAAATGTCTCATCCCACATATGTTTGCAAGCAAACAGTGCGTGAAATGTTCCTATCACACCTAACAAACGACTTGATGACTTTGAAGACCTGAACCGATTACCACCAAACAGCTAAGAACACTATCTCGACGGATATACCTCTCAAACAACAAAAACCTTATTAAAATCGGATCATCCGTTTGAGAGCTAGGATGCCTCAGACAGACACACACACTGACACGTCAAACTTACAACACCAAGTCGTTTTTGCATCGGTTGTTAAAAAAAAGTAGTGCGTGGAGTTCATTCGCGCCGAATACGTGAAACTTCGTAATATAGAAATGAAGAAAAAAGTGTATCAAATCAAATTAAAAAAATCATTAATATTACATATAAATTAACCGATATGGAAAAACGAGATTCTATTTCAGATAATTTCACGACGCTTTAACACCGTTTACTTCGCTGCATAGCAAGAATACCACGCCTGTTCTTGGAATACAACGCCTGTGCTTGGAATACTACGCCTGTGCTTGGAATACCACGCCTGTGCTTGGAATACCACGCCTATGCTTGGAACACCACGCCTGTGCTTGGAATACCACACCTGTGCTACCGACTGCCTCTTTTTCCCTCTCTTACCTTCTACATTTGTGTATCTTTCTTTCTCTCTCTCTCTCTCTCCTGCGTTAAAATATTTGTCGCTATTTGTAGCTAACGCACACGCTGGCCTGTAACAAGTACAGTACCTACATGCGTTTGAGCGCCAAGAATTCCCTCCCGCTTTGTCCCTTTTTATCCCTCTTTCCTGTGTCAAACTTTTAACGCGACGAAGTAAGTCCCATAAGAAATTTCACTTAGAAACATAATTCTCGTTCGAGCCGTTGCATGGCTAGGTCCTTTTCCAAATAAAGTATTCGTCAAACCATCTACTTCTAAAAGGTTACGTTTAATAACCTGATATCCTGATTACAGTCAAATTACAGGCATTCCTGACATCAGTTTTACTGACTTTTGACTGAAATAATGATAATAATGAACCATTTTAATTTTGTAATGTCAAAATTTAAGCAGCAAAATGTATTTGAAAACAATAAATATTGACTTCTAGTCCGGTCAAATTAGACCTTCGAGGTTACATAAATTCCCACCAAGCTGAAAATCGGTAAGATTGTTTGAAATATCATTAAAAACAAAATTTGAAAGTTCCCCATCTTTCCCCTGTTATTATTTGGTCTAATTTGACCGGACTATTCAGCCTTTTTGTAAGACATTACTCGAAGTAACGATGAATATTGAAAAACATATCTCCAACTGTATCTCGAACAATATATCATTGTTATTCTGTATTAAATGTCTTTTCATAGTATATGCTTTTTTTAGTATACAATTTTTGATTAAACAGAGTTAAGAATTTAATCTTTATGAAACCTTCGCAAAATAAAGGAATCTGTTACTTTTGAGGTTATTTGGAACAGAGGCACATTTAAAAAAATATATTATTTCAGTATAGTTGTCTAAAAAGATATTATAAAAACATGTGTATAAATGAAAAACATTTTTAATTATTTATTTAATTAAATGTTCCTAAATAAAACTATTCTACTGAGGTTGTATGAGATTTTTATACAACTATAAAATTATTATGCTTGTATAAATTATGTACATAATAAAGTGTTACAAAACATTGTATATAAGTATTCTTTGTATACAAAAATATATTTCTCTTCAATTATTTCATACACTACATACAAACCATGATTCTCACTTGAACACATTAGTTGCCGATTATATACATTTATGTAAGAAAATATATAAATTTATATCATACTGTGTACATAACTTAATATATTATATACTTATAAAAAATATAACATTTGGTTCATTAGAATTAGACTTTATGTAATATACAATAAGACACTTATTTATCAAAATTATGAACAAAATTTTTTTCTTTAATCTCATGTACATTCACTGTATAGAATGATATCTATTGTTTTTTATTTTATATGTATATATGTACGTTTGTCTGTTCCAGAATTTTTCATATATATTTATATATATTACATTCCGTTGTAAGCCGGGCCCCCACCACTCTCCGGAACAACCCAGTTAATGTTCTGCGAAGGATCTTTGATATCACATGTTTTACCTGGAAATTAAAATAATATTGTTAAACTAGTTTTTTAATGTGACTTCGTCTGTTTTTACAAAGTGTTGCGTGACTAATGAGTACTGTATACCAGTAAGTACTAAGTAGGCAGCGACATCTATCGTTTGTGTTAAGTAACTTCATACAATATACTGCAATAATGTAAGCAAATACTTAGGGAAAAATCCTATATTTCATTCTATACAATTGTCATTTATAACATGTTCAAGAACTTGTGACTACTATGTCAATGAGTGTCGGTTGGTATAAATAGAGGCGAGGGTACAGATTAAAAAACCCCTCTCGGTGACGCTGTCAAAGCCACTAGGGCTAACAGCATATGTCAATTCGAAAAAAAAAAAAAAAAAAAAAAAAGATTAAAAACAGTCTCGCTCGAGGCGTCGCAATGATCAGACGTCTTCGAAATAAAGGATTCGTTAAACCGTGTATGAGATTTCCTTCAATAGTCTGAAATAACAAGATCAAAGGCATTTGTGACGTCAGTTATGATGACGTCACTCTTTATAAATGACAGAATTTCCATATAAATGTAACAAATATAATACTCACAATGTATACAATTCTGTGCGTTTATCTGAAGCCTCTGACCGTCTCCGGATTCCATTGGAACAAACTCATACACACCTAAACATAGAAACAATACATTAATTATAATAATTAAATTATAAATAGGTATATTAAAAAAAGAAATTTAATATTTATTTATCATTAAAGTGAATTAGATGTTATAAAATAATGTATAGAATGATTATTATCTATAATAAAAAATAATGCAGTCATCTTAATTGATATATAAATTGTGTTCGTACATATGTGTGTGTGAACATCCTATATAGTCCATAAGTACATAGAATAGTGTGTATGTGTGGGTGAGTGCGTGTAAATGAGTTGATATGTATAATACCATTCATATGTACATAGTATAGTGTTTATGTGTGAGTGAGTGCACATACGTGTGTGAGTCGTTATGTATGTTTTCATATGTGTGTGTGTGTGTGTGTGTGTGTGTGAGTCACTAACCCGCGGGACAGAACCTCGCCTCCGGTCCATCAAACTGTGCTAGATTCCTCTTAACAGGTATAGAGTCATCCTTCAATGTAAGGTGAGGCGGCTGGTCGGACTCGTGATTGGTACCTTAAACAATATATATATTAAAATAGACGCAATATGTACTGTATTAGTTATAATTTGACTTATTACTTGTAAATTTTTACATTTTCTATGAATATCAAAATCAATTTTATATATACAGGGTGACTGGTGAATTATTATCAATATTTAAGGAGCATACTCGGTACATGATTCTCATTCGAATTATGTAAAAAAAATAGGTACTTAATTTTTGACCAAATTTCCGTATAAATAAATAAAGTTTGGACACGTACTCAGCGTTGCCGGCGCCAGTGTGTCGCTACTCCCCAACCCCCGCCCCGTGGCTAGCGGGCCATTAGTCGGCTATTAGTCGCGCGAGCGCCGCCGTAAGGTCCGTACGTTCGTCTTCCCGCGCGCGCGCCTAGCGATCGATCTTACGCGTATACCTAATAATAATCTGTCGTGTGTGCGTGTGACCCGTTATTACTTATTAGTAATTAAATATGGCTTTTCAATACACAAATGCAGAATACTTGGACATGGTTCATGCGTATGCGCGTGCAAATGAAAGCTTGCCGGGCGCAATCAATTTGTACCGGGAGATGTTCCCCAATCGTCGAGTACCTACGGCCAGCGTCATCTTAAACGCTAATCAAAGATTACGAGACTTCGGACAGTTCCGTGTTCCAACACATGCCCAAGGAAACGTCTTGTGTATGCTACAATGTATGTCAACAGAGAGGAGTTGAAATTAAAAATCAATAGTGCTTTCGAAACTATTAAAAGTGACCCATTCGTATTAAATCGTGTGAAAGACAATATGTGTAAACGTGCCGAACTGTGTATCACACGAGAAGGAGCTCGCTTTGAACATTTGTTAAGGTTAGTGTAGTTATGTAGGTAAATAGGTAGTTTAATGATTGACAATTGTTGTAAATAAGAATGATTCCATTTTTAAATACGCCGGAAATACCAAGATAGGTAAACAGTTCATATTATTTTTCGTGTCAAGGTCACACCATTTACCTAGTCAATAAATTGGTTGCTTAAACGAAAGAAATATCTTGGTATTTTTGCCTGTCCTAAGCCAGGATTAAAGTATGAAGGGAATTGGATTATTTTTGTTTATCTAAGGTCTAACACGCAGCGGCGCGCGGCGTTTGGATGTAGGTAAACTACCGCGCGATAACTACATATACCTACGTACATAACTGTTTTGTGTCGATAACGCAGCTAGGGTATCCACGCGATCCGTAATTAATTACATAACTTTTGGTTAACTTTACTTAGAAGTTTATTAATATTTATGTTATATTAATTTTTATTTTGTCATATATGATCGTCAACTACCACGTCCTTAAATATTGATAGTAATTCACCAGTCACCCTGTATATACTAGCGCTCCGCGGTGTTACCCGCGGATTTCCGGATGTAAAGTAGCCTATGTGTTATTCCTGGACGTCAGCTTCCTGTATACAAAATTTTATCAAAATCGGTTCAGCCGTTTGAGCGTGAAGAAGTAACAAACATACACACACACTCACAAACTTTCGCAATTATAATATTAGTAGGATGACGTCACTTGCTTGCACGCGTTTTTCTTATATCACGTGTTCAAGGTCAAGCATGAACATTGTATAATATAATGATATTATATAAAGATGGTATAAAAGTTAGTCAAATAAATTTGTTCTATATTAAATACTGTATTTTACTGGAAAATTATTAAATTCATACCTGTGAGTGCGACTGAAGATAAAAGGTCAAACGTTAAAACGCCATCAGGCTTGGGATAGTCAATAGGTTTGAAATCTTTCGCCGGCTTTAATTTACTGTGATCGGCACCTGAAAAAAAGAGAGATATTGAAATAATTATGAATACTGTGTCTTTTTAAATCTTCATGAGAAAATATCTGCGAGAACCCTATGAATAAATAAATCTAACAGTCATTGATATAGTTATATTATAGTCAGAAAGCTTTAACCACTCTCTGAAAGTTATTCTTTCTTTTAACAATGGCTTCATTTGCACTACATAGAGTAGTGAAATGTATTGTCAATGTCAATGTTTCTATTTGTTAGACTATTTATAATCTAGAGTACTTTTCTTATAGGTAGGTCTATAGTAACCACACATACAATAAACATTATTTTACTGACAAAATATTCTCACTTTTGCTTCTGACAGATTGCTTTAATAAATAATACAAATTTTCTAATATACAAAATTAATAAACAAAAAATATATAATACAAAAGTAATTCCCTATATGGTATTGACTGAATAATATGGATATTTTAGATGCAGATTAAGCACAGATAACAAATTGTTGTTCAAAATAATTGATCCATATTTTCCTTCATATAGTAACTCATGAAATATGATCTACCTCCATGGCTGAATGTCCAAGGTTCCTTGCCACGGACCAATGTTGAAAAACCAGAATAAGCCACGCCTCCAAACACACCCAGAGGACTGTGGAAAGATGGCCGACAGTTTCTAACTTGCTGTGGAATATAAATAATATATTACAATATACAGTTAAATAAAGCTATTACATAAAGCGATAGTTATAGACAGCTATATTGGAGTAATTCAGAGGTATAAAATTCGAACCTATTTGTGTTTCTACATATTTTTCATACTATATTCTAATTTAATTCAATATACAAATTATACCTATTTGAAGAAAATTCCAATTAATGAATTTAAAATTCATAATTATGTTATGGCAATTAATTATTATTATTATTTATAATATAGTTTTTACTTAACTAATATGTGAAAACCTGAAGAGATTTTTGTAAGCATAATACTATTTCTATATACATATAAAATACTTAATACCACATCCTAGTCATCACTATTTGTTTGCAAAATATATATTTTCTTATAAATTATATATAAATATTCAATATTCTAATTAAAAATTAATACTGAGACAATTTATAACATAATTTCTAGTACCTTGAGCTCTTTATATACATATGATTCTTTTAATTTGTCTTCATATATATTTGGTACAACTCCTTTATCGTGAGATGCTTCTCCTGATACAATGAGCTCCACGGCTGCCTCTGCTGCTAACATACCTGGAAACAGTCATATGAAAAGCAACTTTAAGACTATTGTATTTAAAACTCAAAAACATTCTATGTGTACTGTTTTTGCTTACTAGGAAATAGCATGAATATATGTATTTATATATTAATTATTTGCTAATTCGTTAAGTCTACTATTCATTTAATCGCCGTGAGATTATTATGAGGGAACATTTTTCATGATGCAATAATTGTTACGCAATGCTGCTACCAAAGCAAATCTCCAATTTTAATATATTTAATATATGTATAATATAGCATAATAACTGACCAAACAAAATAGCATAATAGCCTTATTTTGTTTGGTCAAACTAACATCCATCTCATTTGTAACTCTATGGTCTATCCACCCAATTCTATCTGCGACAGCAGGATCTACCTATAAAAATTTAGAGGCGACAGTCGCCATTTACCATACAACGGATTATCTATCCATTAGTAACTATGACTATAATCGTTTAGAGGTGGCTATGGTCCATTAACAATAATATGGACTATCTCCTTCTACTTCTACCTGGCAATTTCCTAGCTTTAGCCAGGGTCTGCCTTACATGTTGTGAATAGTTTTGGCTAATTGTTTTTACGACCGGCCGCCTGCCTGATATCAACCCTCTTTGGGAATGATGATGATGGACTATCTATCCATTAGTAACTCTATAAATTTAAGGCATCACCCACCACTCTTCATAGCGTTATGAGTTCCCTTTATCCGCGGTACATTGAGGTAGCCCGCCGTGTCGCCAGCAAGGCATCCTCCTGGGAATACAGGTACCGGCAGACATTGCCAGCCACCTTCAACTAATGCTCTAGCGCCATACGCTATACGAGTACCACCTGAAAAAAAAATTATTAAATGCATGAAGAAACTTGGGTATACTTAGAAATAAGAGCCATATTAGTATAATTAATATATTAGTAACAGTTCATCACTAAATAACGTCTAGATTATTTGTAATGTTGAGAAAACCATAGAAAATTATCAAAATATCAAATTTTGTACTAGTTTTCAATAGCGACTTCCTCTAAATTTTATATAGCATTGCAATCAGAAAGCAAAAAATAATAATACTTAATCAAGAATAAGTGACATCTATCATGTATTGAGAGACTTAACACTACATACAACGTTTATGAACTTTTCCTGTATTAATTATAGCCTATATATTACAATATGGAAATCTCAGCTACATTATTGCAATAGTTTCATTTAAATCGGTTTATCATATTTTGCATGTATGATCAATAGACATCCATATATTCTTACAAAAAACCACATTTATCATATTCATAGAATAATCTATTGCTATTTGGCTATAATTTCACATCTATAAAATACTAGATTTCCGCCCGCAGCTTCGCCCGCGTGGAGTTCGGTTATATCGCGTTTCAGAGAGAACTTTTCAAAAGTCTAGGATAAAAACTATCCTATGTTCTTTCTCAAGATCAACTCCAACTCTGTACCAAATTTCATTAAAATCAGTTAAGTGGTTTAGGCGTGAAAGCGTAACAAACAGACAGACAGAGTTACTTTCGCATTTATAATACTAGTAGGGATATTTCTATTAAACATTTCCATTATAACTCAGAATATATTGAATTTTAAACTACCTTCGAACATGGGTTTCACATAAGGGTGAGTCTTGAAGCGTTGGAATTCCCTGAATGGGCTGATATAAGGATTAGCGTAGTCGAGCCCTACCACATACCCCACCGCTACCAAGGGTGCTTCGCCCTCATCTACCTTCAAATGATATATAAAGGAGCCCCCATATGTATTTTTGTCCATAGGCCAACCTATTGTATGCTCAACGAGGCCTGGATTGTGTTTCTGTAACAAAAATTATTCATTATATTATTATCATAAGGATTCTTCTTCTACCTGGCAATTTCCCAGCTTTAGCCAGGGTATGCCTATACCTATATGCCTATAAGGATTGCACTTTAATAATTATAAATTATAGTCATATTTTGACAGTTGAACATTTTGTATAATAATTCTGGTTATAATAATAGTAATAAATAAATGTAATATAAATGTAATAATAGATTAACTAGTTCATACTGTGACTTTTGTCCAAATGTACTTTGGAATTGAGAACTGAGATAAATTTATAGTGTTTAAATTAAATATATGTAGAAATCAAGTGTCAGCGCCATCTATATTTGTTTTTAGTAACTTCAAATGAAATATAACTTTAATGTATTATTTTATTATGAACTGCATTGAATTATGGGATAAAAATTATTCTAATATCTAAGCTGCATTACTGGAAGATTTTTTTTCCCTAGGCATACCTATTAGTAAGAAATATATATGACGTCAAAACATTTGTTCAATGAATAACAGTATACATTATTGGAATATATTATTTGACTCTATGGGACAATTTTATTAAGTATGTACTTAATCTATACTAATATTATAAAGCTGAAGAGTTTGTTTGTTTGTTTGTTTGTTTGAAAGCGCTAATCTCCGAAACTACTGGTTCGAATTGAATAATTCTTTTTGTGTTGGATAGTCCAGTTATCGAGGAAGGCTGTAGGCTATATAACATCATGCTATGACTAATAGGAGCAAAGATATAGTGGTAAATGTGTAAAAAACGGGAGAAATTATTTCATCTTTGAAGCCTTCCGTTGCGTGCGCCGTGAAAACGGTTCAAGATACACAAAAAATATGTGTTAAAGAATAATAGCTCTTTTAATGATCTAAAAAACAGTCCGCGACGGTATATGTCTATCTTTTAAGATTAACTCACAAAAACCGTTTTTATGGTACTTAATTTGGTTGAAATAATTTGTTTAAGTTGTATCAACATAATAATATTAATCTTTATTCAAATAAACAAAGAAATATGTTGTTGGTTAGGCGTACTTTATTGTGAATAAAAAAAACAAAGGTTTTATCCTGAAAATTCTGCGGGAACTCGACAATTCCGAAAACCCCGCAAGAACGGTGGGAAGAACCAAAAATCTGCCGGAAGTCACTATTCCACGCGGACGGAGTCGCGGCAAAAGCTAGTAATAATATAGTATATTATAATACCTCAGGTGCAACTTCCCATAATTCCTTGAGTCCTATCCCATAAGATTGTGGTTCACTCTTCTCTTTAAGATTGTATTTATTTGACACCATCTTTGTCAGATGACCATGACAACCTATAAACAATTTCAATTATATTAATTATATAAATAAATACATAATAAAAGCTCAATATTCACATTTGAGACCTTAATTTTTCAAGAATAAATAGAACAAATAATTACATTTACATTATGTACCAAAAATATATACATTTAAGCTAATATATTATGTTATAAATATAAGTTTTATTCTATAATATATGTAATCCCTACTATCCCTACCATATCATATATTACATACTAGTAAACCTGGCGAACTCCGTTTCGCCTCCAGAAGGCTTTGTTTTATGTAACATTTCGTTTGGTGATTAAAAGATGAAGATTTTTTTTTTGTTTTGTATTTGAAAAGGAAAATTTTTATTTTATTTCACAACAGTAATGAATTCATTTCGATTACAAAAATGAAGTGTTATTTAGTTGAACTTCTCTAAGTAAATGAAAGTGAATCCAAAGTATAATTATCCGTTTCATTGAAGTGCTCCTTTGTAAACCACATTTTTTGTTTTTTGGTCTAACGTTAACACAAATAAAGCGGATGGTTTCCCAACACACACAAACTATGTAAATGTGAAAAACAATGATTTTCTAAATTTATCCCGCAAATACTAAATTACATAGGTATCTGTCATTATACGTCAATTGCATAGCTGTCAATTGTATTTCGTTATTCCACGTTTTATAGTGACTGACGTTTCATGTCAAGTCCCACGGGAATGCTGTTGAAGGGGATAAAAAGTATCCTATTGCAATTTCCTAGCCCTAAACTACCTACCCGCCAATTTTCAGCAAAATCAGTTCAGCCGTTCTTGAGTTATAAGTGGAGTCACTAACACGACTTTCTTTTATATATATATAGAAGAAGAAGATATATTATTAATATCATAAATGCGAAAGTAACTCTGTCTGTCTGTTACGCTTTCACGCCTAAACCATTGAACTGATTTTAATGAAATTTAGTACAGAGAAAGGGTTGATCTTGAGAAAGAACATAGGATAGTTTTATCCCAGACTTTTGAAAAGTTCTCTTGGAAACGCGATGTAACCGAACTCGACGCGGGCGAAGCCGCGTGCGGAAAGCTAGTCATACATATTTATGCCTGATAAACAAAATACATATAATGTGTCCAACCTTCAGCGAATATTGTGATCTTTGAGTGAAATTCCATGCCACGTTCAAACATGTCTTTAGGACTTCCATCCTTAGCGATGCCAACATCTCCTGTGGCTACACCCTTCAAGGAACCGTCGTCACGATACAACAACTCCGCCCCGGCTGTACCTGGCCACACCTAGAATATATGTACATAAAAATAATTGTATGGAAAATTTATATTAGTACAAAAATATACATATATTAGTTAAATTGATGTCTGATTGTATAACTAAAATAATGACTTGCAACTAATAGTGTAAATGTATGCATAGTATATGAAAGTTTTACAATATTCATCCATCTGTATTTAAAACGGCTGGACCAATATTGAGGAAATTGTCAGTTTTTACTTTCTATAGCTAGCTGATATGATGAAAAGTGAATCTATTTTTATTGATGATTGCTTATTTATATACTAATATAAATATGCACTATGCATTAATATATAATGCCTAATTATTTAAAATTTGGCAAGCATCCAATTGCTTACCGTATTTCATAACATTTGACAATTATCGTCTTTTGACTTGTCAACATATGGGAATTTGTGGATTTGTTGTTGGGCATGAGAAATATAAAGATAATTGATAAATTGAATTAAAATTACAAAATAATGCAATCTTTTAAAAGGAAACTATAATTAAGTTTTTGCTAAACAATGACACACTTTTATTTTGTTTGCCAATGCAAAGCTGAATAATAGTCGAAAAGTCAATAAAATTTTAAATAAAGTCACAAAATAACTTAATTTCATATTAAATATATACTCAAAAAATTTCATATATCATATTATCAGTAATCACAATATTTATGCAAAGTGATAATAAAGATACTGAATATAAAATTGTCATCTATATAAATAGCTTGTTTTGAAAACAAAATGAATTTGTGCAAATAAAATTTATGCAAATAATATATATTTGACTAGAATTTCTGCAAATATTAAATGTATATAACTAATTACCTCTGCTCCTAACGCCTCAGCCTGTTCTGACATCCATCTCACTAAATGACCCAACCTCACCACATAGTTACCATGGTTATAATGAGGTAAACCTTTGAATGAAACACATTTTATAGTGACAAGCAAAATAAAAATAAAAATCCTTTATATATAACCTCTTTGCTAAAATATATAAAATAAGAAGTGCCAATAAAATTTTAAAAAAAATTGGAATATGTATTTCAAATATTTAAAATTACTATCAAATAGAATGCCTTTATGTTTTTTTAATAAATAAGTGTATGGAGATTTTATATTACTTTATTTTTTATTTATATTTACCGGGGAAAACAGGCAAAGGTATTCTGCCACTTTTAGTTAAGTAACCAAATTTGTCCGATGTTACTGGTGTGTTCATTGGAGCTCCTTTCTCTTTCCAATCAGGTATTAATTCATTAAGGGCTTTGGGATCGACACACGCTCCCGAAAGTATATGGCCGCCCGCCTCAGCTGCCTTTTCTAAAAGGGTCACTCTAACTTCCTGAAAGAAAGATATAATAAAACATAGATAAATTTTAATTTGTATGCAATATTGATTCCAGAAATTTCTGATAGCAATGAAACCTTAATGACATGTATTTATATATTTTTTTTAATGTATAATGCTGGTAGCGTTGTGGCTTTTACAACATCACTGGAAGAGTGTTCCAATACTTGAATATGTATGTAATGACGACAAATATTACAAATAAATTATATGAGTAACTACAATATACAATCAAAACCGTTTATAACGACATCGTTTACAACGACCTATCGGTTATTACAGCCAGATTGTATGGTCCCGTCCGAAATCCTAGTAAACTATTCAGTAAACAAACCGCTTATAACAACATCGGATACAGCGACATATCGCTTACAACGACGAAAATTTATCGATATTAATCGACTTTAACGACCGACCGCTCCTTGTCCTTACCCAGTTGCAAAGATCTACTGCTATAGAACAAAGAATTGACATAGAAAAATTGATTGGAATAGTAAATGTCGCGTTAGCGCCTTAGCTACTGAGGAAGAGATTCTTGCAGAAGCTAAAAGTAACAACCCTAACACTAACGAACAACACGAAGACCAACAAGACCTTGAAGAACAGTTTCAGCCAACAATAATTTTCGAGGCTCTTAATGATGTAACAGTTTTGCAAAAATTTTTTGCCTTTAACAAACACTTTGATATTGATGATACTCATACCTTGAGTATGAACTGTAAAATGCTAAAAATATTTGAGACTAGGCTAAAAAAATAATTCTAAAATGACTGATTAGTTTAAAAACCAGTGTAGTTTTATAACCCGTAACTGTAAGCAGCTAAGTACATTTTGTATTCTGATTATTTCTTAATAAATATTTTTATTTCTTTTCTGACTCGTTTACATACATAACCTATACCTATACTAGATATGTGACTACATATGTCAATATGTATAACTACTGTAGTTGTGTATATGACTATTGCTTATAACGACTATCGGATATAACGTCGAATATATATGGTCCCTTCAATGTCGTTATAAACGGTTTTGACTGTATATGTATATAAATGTTATCATTAATTAGTGTGAAAAAGGTTACTAACAGCGCCTTTTTCTTCAGCCAGTTGCCGAGCCCTAATTGCAGCAGCCATGCCCGCTGGACCACCACCAATAATGAGGATATCTGTCTCCTCGGCATGACGTTCCATGCTTACATCTATAATACATTACGATAATTATCATTATTTAATGTTATACACAGATTATTAAGTTATATTATTAATCAGTTCCACATTTAAAATGTAAAAAAAAATATAAGTAAATAAAAATTTAATACTATGTATAATTTTTCACAAATTGCAGCTGCTAATTTTAATATCTAAAATTATAAGCGTTATCTTTTTCTTCGTTATCAGTCTTACCTTTCCATCTTGGATCGTTTTCCCGAGGATGTATCGTATAGTGAGTTGTGATTTTAGGATAATCTGAGTATAATCGTCGCACAGCATTTGTCAGCCTCCCGACTGAAGAAAATTAAAAAAATTGGAACCAATTATTACCAAAATATAAAAAGTATGTCATTTGAACTTTGAACTTCTGTTTTTGTAATAACATTGCGTAACGTAATCATTTCTTGTTTATAACAAAATATTACTTTTACGAAAATAGAATACGTATTCACTTATACATTAATCCTAGAAAAGATTATATTTTGAATTTATTTGAATTAAGTTCTAGAACAGCTGATAGGTAACGTCACTTAACAATGTATTTTTATGAATTGAAATAGTAATAAATTCTGTAACATTATTACACTCCACTGCCACTTATGATATTTGTCATAGTAATAAATCTTAATACGTCTATATTTTATTTAAAAATATTACCCTTGCGAGCCGAACAAACAATTGCCGTCGCCATTTTTAACAAAACAAAAGTTCAGAGTTCTGATATCAAACATACAATATGACAAGTGACAAGCTGACAACAGAAAACTGTCATTGTAACTAGTATTTTATTTATCTGTTAAATATTTCGGTTAATTACCTATATTATGTTGATTCTAAAAACTCTTCATACAAAATTCTGACCTCATTTTATTATTCATATTTATGTTAAGGAGTATAAATAGTTTGACATAAATTTCCTTAATCTACAAATTTAAGACAACTGCTTGCTCTTTCCGAATCTAGCAATTATTTTAGTAACAAGAATACTAAGTAACTTAACTTGAGTACTAAGTTGAATGTGTACCCGTAATGAACGGTTTTTTAAATAATTTCAATTGATAATCGAACCCTTCTCTTTTAAAACTATATCTCGTTCTAGTTTCATTCCCTTAAAATCTCAAACATTATACCATCTTCTTTTCGTCTCTTATTAACTTGAATGCTTACTACTTTACTCTAATTCAATATATGCACCTTCTAATCTAAAAGATATTCTAACAAATTCTATTGATATGTTTATCTTTCACCCACAAACTACTTAAGACTTTGATAAAACTTTACAGTAGGTAATGTAACTTAGTTATCATAATAAGACATCAATTATATATTGTACCGATTTTCCGTGTGGGTATCGCAGGATAGCCACATGCCAGAAGTATTTTTATACAGTTACTAAGACGATTATAGATGTCACTGCCAGTTGATTGCCAAACCTATAATTTTAATACACTATAAATTAAGTATTCTCGGAGGGCTAATTCCTAAATTCACTAGGATGAAAGGCACAACCTAGTTTATTGATATCATCTGGTTTTTTATATCTAATTCGTTTTAATCTCAGTCTCTTTCTCTATTACTCAATGATGTTTCTTTTTCCAAATTCATATTCCAATTTTCACGTAGTTACTTCTATTTACAGTCAGGCTAAGCAAGAATAAATTTATTCTCTTATAATTCCAGAGGTACCAATCCATGTATGGAAGGAATTTTCTTTGAAATCACTTTCATTATCAAACTACATGCAGTTTTCAATTATTCAGTCATAAATTGTAGTTGACAACGCAAAGTTGTTGTAAAAATAGATTGGTCTGTATACTAGTTCTTATTAGCTACTACTAAATAATTAAGTATTAATATGTGTATTTATAATATTTTAGACATAATGTTCAAATTTTCAACAAATCAGAAAGGAGTATCACAATAACAATCACAATTTTGTAGGTGGTAGAGCTTAGCTGTGGTCTGTTACTACAGCTCGAACATGGGCTGGCTCGACCGGGGAAGTACCACCCTCTCACAGAAAATCGGCGTGAAGTAGCCTTTAATGGCTGCGTTTCGTCTGATGAGTGAGAGAGCCGGCTGCCCTTTCCCTATTCCCACCCTTTCCTACCATTCCCTTATTCCCATCCCTCCCTATCCCTAAAAAATAAGGTTGGCAACGCATCCGTAACAAACATGTTGCGGATGTCCATGGGCGACGGTAACCACCTTCCATCAAGTGGGCCGTCTGCTCGTTTGCCACCTTTCACATAAAAAAAAAAAAAAGGTTATTAAAATATGTAATAAATAAAAGTCTTATTATGAAATAAAGCTATTTATTGTTATATGTATTACAAAGAAACTTAAAACAATTTTAGTAAATGAAGTATAACTAGATCACATCACTTCACTGGTTTCATCTGCCATAGACCATCGTTCAAATAGTGACAGTTCTCTATGCCGACGCCTTTGTTGACTTTCGCTCTGTAAATAAGAAAATATTTATTAAACTATTATGTAATTGTTATTAAATGTACAAATAAAATGTAGTGCAATGTCAAGATTATCTCAAGTTAAAGTTACATGAACTATAAGGTTATCAATGATGAGGATATTGTAGAAAGCTTTCACGATTTCTTTACATGACTATCAAACCGTATATACAGGGTGACTGGTGAATTACTGTCAATATTTAAGGAGAATACTCGGTACATGATTCTCATTCGAATTATGTAAAAAAAATAGGTACTTAAATTTTGACCAAATTTCCGTATAAATAAATAAAGTGTTGACACGTTCCAAGTGTGGACGCGTGCGGCGGCGTGCTGATACAACACCACGCCGCCGCACGCGTGTGTGTGTATACCTAATCTGTAGGGTGTTCACACGATGCGTAATTAATTACATAACTTTTGGTTAACTTTACTTAGAAGTTTATTAATATTTATGTTATATTAATTTTTATTTTGTCATATATGATTGTCAAATATCACGTCCTCAAGTATCGATAGTAATTCACCAGTCACCCTGTATATGTACTTAATATTATCTATTAATTTATTGTTCAAAACTGTATTACATATCTTATACTGGGAACAAAGTCAGATCAGTTTTTTACATAGAATTTATACGAAAAGTTTAGTGTTACCTAGGATTGAGGAAGTTATTAATAAACATATATAAATAAACATAAGTTATTAAAATCTGTCAAGTTGCCAAATCTGTCGTGTTACTAACGAATGCTATCTTGTTCTATCAAGTTGGCAACCCTTTTCTATAATAGGTAACAATGGTTCATAACGTTTTTTCTCATAATATGCAGTAATTGTTGACAATACAGAAAACAAGAGAAAAAATTAATTTACATAACATTTAATATTCCCTAGTACTAGTCCAATTTAATCTAAACATATCACATATAGGCCATTTAAAATGGACTCAAAGAACATAATCATACTTAATTCTTAATTTCTAAAATCATTACTCACATATCATCAGTGGATAGTGATGTTATACCAACAGCCAACGCATGTTGTTTCCCCTCGGCCATAACAGCTACAACACTGCCTTTTTCCACACCCGACATACGAGCCCCAGGTGAAGTTAGTCCGGGGCACATTATATTAGCACCACTAAGAACAAATCTTATAGCACCTTTGTCCACTTGCTGCATCGGTAAGAAGAATGGATCTGAAATTATATATACAATATGGTTTTATTTTGAACAATTATACCAGTTAATGTGCAAATCTTTCTGCCAAGTTTATGTGGAATGAAGTAAATTTAATTAAGATTCCTAATACTGTGTGAGAAACTTTGAATTTAGATAATATTTAATATTATATATATGTCCTGTAAGAGTATAATCTTTTTTTTTGAAATTGCAAAAATGTTATATGATGTTTATACCTATATGATAATTATACCTTACATCTCACTATTATGAATTTAATACCAAAGAACTTTTTAGACTCCTCATCAATTATGTTATATTGTTTCTCTTTATGTATATAGCAGAACTACAAAGCTGAAGTCACTTGCTAGTAGAATATAGAAAATCTCGTGTTTAATATCAATTTAAACATAAAGACTGTTTATTAAAAGTACATAAAATTAAGACTTCTCATTTGTAATGGTTGATTTTTGAGGTATTATTATTTATATGACTTAAAAATGTTAATAATAAAATTATTAATTCTAATACCTAATTAAAATGCTTATTATTTATTCTGTCCTATCAAATTATTCTAACAGTGTGCCAAATGTTGTAAAAACATGTTTACAATCATACAGATCAAAGTGCTAAGATTAGATATTACTTCCTCTATACAAAACACTTTGTATCAATAACAATTAGATTGGAAGCAATTAATTAAATATATCAATACATATAATATATAATGAAACATTTGCATATTCATTCATTCATATTTAAATTAGGTTTTTAATTAATTTCATATTTATTTACATTAATGACAAAGCATTTATACAAATTTAATATCTTTCTTTATTCCCTATTAAAACTTATATATGTTTTTTTATTTAATCTATGGCTTCATTAACTAAAGATATGGTAAATTACAATCATCGACATATACTAATGGACATGCCTTAGAGATGAGAATTGTGGCACTCCGAAAGAAAGAGAGGAAACAAAGTTTCGGTCTGTCTTTATCTCTGTCAAATTTATATGCCGTGCTTGTCATGAAAACTGAGCGCCAATCATCTATGAGGAAAGAGATAGTGCTAAACCGAAAGCATAGGCCATCTCTCTCACTCTTTTCAAACCAAAAAAATACTACAGATTATACGAGTACGGCATGTCCATTAGTATATGTCGATGATTACAATTATATCAATTGTCAAAAATGATAGATAGTATTTTTTTATTTACATTTATGAAGCAGCCTCAGTGTTGGCATCCATGGACCTTCTCTGTGTCTGAAGAACAGCAGTTCCCCGGCACTGTTCACCATGATCTCGATGTGGTCATGACTAGAAATAACAAATTATTAAAAACTTAATATATTTCCGCATAAATAAAGATTATAATACCTCACAGGTCACATAATATAAAATAAGTACTTTTAAGTAACTAATTTAATTTATAACTTATTTTTAGGCTTAGTTTTGCAGTCAGCTGTGATTCAAGACTATGTTGTTAATAAATCTATATAAAATAGCTATGCTTTGTTTTGTATTAACCCTGAACCTATTTAAATGTCTCTTCGTTAAAACCTATGATTTATTCTTTCCTTATAATATACACTTTAAATTTCACGAAACTATTTCGAATATAGTACAGAGAGTCAAATAAATAACCAGAACTTATGACAAACACAAATTACTTTTAACAATAATATTTAATATTGTCGTTATAAAAATAATAAGGAACTAAAATTAATTACTATAGAGATAAAATAGTGTCATCAGTTCTTTGTTTTAACGTAATCAAGTAAGAGTATTCTGCATACAAAGTCCAAGCTGCGTCATGGAATAAGATGACCTCAAAGGCTCAATGACTATTTATTATCTAATCTTGTTATATTATTTTCATAGGATACACCGTGTCAAGGTAATCTAGTCTTTATATCATATAAAATACGATTCATATTTAATGTATATTAATTAACTTTATGCGCTTATGTACACCCACACTGTTCACTGTTAGTCATTTTGTTAGTATTGTCTATATTTAAACTAATTAAGTCCAAAAAGTTTATATTACATAATAAACTATAACAGATATTAATATAAGGACATCGTCGCATTTGTCCAAATATTTGTACGTAGTCCAAATAGCGCAAACACGACATCCACACTTGGCATATCAACAACACGTCTTTACGCGTTTTCGCTTATTTGTGTACGTGTATTATTTGTGCAAATATGTCAAATGAAGACGAATAAATCTTCCACACATGGTGTTATTTGGCCGAACACAACAATTAAATGACATAGTTATGTGTTACAATCGTGTAAAGGATTTAACCTTGAGAATTATATTACTTTTGTTCCGCTCTGATTGTCATACGCTTTCAACTAATTCACTTTCCGATCAATTAAGCCACACATTCAGCCCGTTTTAATTACATAAATAAACAATTAGATTGACTGTATATTACAACCGAGTAACATTTATGTTTAATGGATAAAATAATATATATTAGTCCTAGAACACTAAAGGCGATTCTAGGTCGTGACCCAAATGTGTTTTCATGAAGATTTAACAAATATGACCTTGAAATAGCTCCAAAAATGTAGATAAGTTTTGTATACATTCCACTTTCTTATTCTATAAAGAAATTTAATACCTATTAATCTGAAAATAGAGTTTGAATTTAAATAAAAAATAAGAAAAGTCCTACATGACGTCATTGGATTATATTAAAATAATTGTCCCAAAACTTAATCATGATTCGTATTAATTATAAAGGCAATTTCTAATAAACGAAATCTTCTATATATATAAAAATGTATTGCTGTTCCTTAGTCTCGCTAAAACTCGAGAACAGCTGAACGGATTTATCTTATCTTAGTCTTGAAATGTTCGTGGAGGTTCAGGGATGGTATAAAAGCTGAAAAAAATTGATTCACAACTGGGAAAACCATAAAAACAGCGCTTTTCTATTTCCCATACAAATGTTTTTTTGACATCAGATTTGACAACTAACTAATATATCAATCATTCTGTCGCACTTCAAAACACGGAGATTTATGGCTTACAGGTAAACTCCAAAAATATAAATAAAAAAACGTAATAGATATTTCTTGATTATAGGGCGATATGAAGTTCGCCAGGTCTTCTAGTAATATATATTAAATTTATTTCGAAATTTACGAATCACATTCTAAATTCGAATTTTGAATTTAAAAATTATAATTTACAGCCAGTAATACTTACCATTTGACAATTCTAAATGTATCCTTCTTGGGTAGGACTTGATCGATGTGGTTCTCTAAATGAGGGTATAGTTCCAACAGACGGGACCTGATGCCTTTCTGTACCGAGGATTTCAGCTGCTGGACGCCTGAAATGCTTTCCTTTTCATCAAATCTGAAAAAAAGAAAGGATCTCCATTATTCTGCCGGAATGTTACAAATGAGGTTTTATTAGAAGTGAGTTGTAGAATTAATAAAAAAAAGACAAAAAAAATGTAAATATATATTTATATACTTTAAATACACGAAATATAATTCTGTTTTGAAAAAATCATGTTTGTTATAACATTTTATATACTTCGACTTCAAAAGATTTATGATGAAAAGCCTTATCACAAATCTCGCAAATAATAGTTACAACATTTACGAATGAAATATCGGAAACGATCCTTTGTAGCAATCCCTGCTAATTTATGGTAAGCATAATATACTTTTTACTATCAAAGCGTATTAACCTATACCATTAACTAAAGAAATTCGTTTAGATATAATTCAACAATTAGCATTTGGCCGTCACGCAGCGACAACATGTACTATCTGTATTATTTTAGTACGACTATTATAATTAATTTTTTTTAAGCTTCGTTACTTTATTTTTAATAGGTCTCAGACTAAATGCGACGTGTATGAAATTACCTTCTAAGAATCACTTATCAAGAAAATGTATTAAATCACCGAAAGAAAAAATATATATTTCGTCATCATCAGCCTATCAGAGCCCACTGCTGAGCAAGCCTCTTCTCACATGGAGAAGGTTTGAGTATTAATCTCCACGTTTGTTCCAGACGGGTTGGTGATTTCAAACTTATAATTGTGAAATTATAAGTCCAGGTTTCCTCACGATGTTATAAATATATTATTTATATAAATAAATACCGTTAATGAGTTATAAACGATCAAATAAATTAAAGAATGACATAAAATTCATTTTAATATTTAATAATTAAACATGTATGTAGTGAATCTTTTATAATTTTCTTATAACAAGACCTATTGGTTAATACACGAGAACGTATTTTTTTGTTTTATAATAATCATTTATTTTATTTAAATAACTCTTTTGTCATGAAACTGTGTCAGTTCTATATATGTTCTTTGCACTTAAATAATAAAAAAAAACAGAATTCCCGCCTTTTTATATATTTTTTTAGATGAATACCGCGTAGTAGATTTATTGCTTTAGTGACATTAATTAATCTGTTGTTTATAATCATAATATACCTTTCATATTAAAGACATTTATAGTAATGTATTTAATAAATAAATTATATTATTTAGTTTGCGTGTATGGACTATGGACATAGTTTTAAGAACCGATAAAAATACGAGTTCACGCTAAACTGATTACACCAAGATAAAAATATAGGGGTGGCTATCAAAATATATAAGAAATAATTAAAAATATATATCATTAGATTACTATTCAAATTACATGATTATGTTAATCGGAAATCATTAAAAAAATACATAGACAGATGTACATATTTTATCTAACCAAGGTCATTAATTTAAGAATATCAATGAGAATACAGGTATGTGGCAATTAAATTAGTACAATAATTATAATAGATTTAAAGTTATGAATAAAAACGATTATAATGTATGGCAGCCCTATACATTTCGAAGCGGAGGTACCACGTGCTAGGTATCACGTGTTGAACACCACCCACGATAATGTAAATATACATATATATACATATATAAATACATTACATACAAGATAGGAATACAGTATAATCATTTGGGAGTAATACTATATAAATTTGTATATATAAAACATAGGATTATGATCTTTAACTAATATGAATCTTTAACTTTTGAACCCTAATAGTGTGATAAATACGAACGTTTGTTTGTTACTCTTGTAAGTAAAATCCACTGAATAGATTTGGATGAAACTTCACAATAATATAGCTTACATATCAGAATGAAACATAGGCTATAATTTATTTCGCAGTTCCGTGTAGTTCCCGTAGGATCAAGGCAAAACTATTATATTGTGTATTTCACGCGAAAGACTACAGATGTCGCTGGCAGTTGGTTATCATATTTGTTTTAACACACTACACACATTTCTTTACGAACGCAACCCCGATGTTGGCACAGAAGAAGTCGCGTGCAAATACTGGTATATAAAAGTAAATAAGTTCTAGTATTTATAACATTATAGAGCTTATTATAAAAGTATATTATCTTGTGAGGAAATACATTAACATTTGTAATCTTCTATATCTTCTATATATATAAAAATGGATTGCTGTTCCTTAGTCTCGCTAAAACTTGAGAACGGCTGAACGGATTTATCTTATCTTAGTCTTGGAATGTTCGTGGAGGTTCAGGGAAGGTACAAAAGCTGAAAAAAATTGATTCATTACTGGGAAAACCATAAAAACAGCCCTTTTCTATTTCCCATACAAACGTTTTTTTTGACATTAGATTTGACAACTAACTAATATGTCAATCATTCTGTTCGATTGAAACAGGAAAAACCCTGATTATTTATTGCCTCTAGGACGGAATAGAGTTCGCCCGGTCAGCTATACATATATTACTAATGATGAAATTAACGCGGACGAAGTCGCGGGCAAAAACTAGTATGTATATAAAAATGGATTGCTGTTCCTTAGTCTCGCTAAAACTCGAGAATGGATGAACCGATTTGGCTAATTTTAGTCTTGAAATACTCCTGGAAGTCCAGGGAAGGTTTAAAAGGTGAGAAAAATTGATTCATTACTGGGAAAACCATAAAAACAGCCCTTTTCTATTTCCCATACAAAAGTTTTTTTTGACATTAGATTTGACAACTAACAAATATGTCAATTCTGTTTGATTGAAACAGGAAAAACCTGATTATTTATGGCCTGTAAGACGGAATAGAGTTCGACTGGTCAGCTACACCTACATATACATATTACTCTTGACCAAACTAACGCGGACGAAGTCGCGGGCAAAAACTAGTGATATATATTTTTAGATAAATGTCACAATAACCTAATTATTATTAAAACTACTATATTTATTCGTTTTATTGATAATTAAATAATAAATTTAAAAAAATAAAAATAATTAAGAAGATAGCTTATATTAAAAAAATATATATAAAAAAAGTTTTTGAGGTCGAAAGACTTTATTAATTAATTATTATTCATTGGAGCCAAAAATACTATTCGTCATACACGTGACAAATATTTATCTTTCTTATCATAAAATAAATGATTAAAATTATCCTTAATTAGAAAATAAATTAATATAAATATTTTAAGAGAAATCAAGTTAGTGAAGTCGATTAAGAAAAAAGTACGTTTGCCAGTCATCTTGGATGTAATGGAAAAACCTTTGCCTGTAATTAAATAAGGAAGGAAAAAACAACATGTACATAATAAATATTTTAAATTACTCAACGTGTTATCAATATATCCTGTAAGGTCTTTCCATATAGTGAAATAAGAATGGAAATTAATATGAATGGCGTTTATTTGTTGTGTTCGGCCAAATAAGACCATATGTGGATGATTTATTCGCCTTCATTTGACATATTTGCACAAATAAGACACATACACAAATAAGCGAAAACGCGTAAAGACGTGTTGTTGACATGCCAAGTGTGGATGTTGTGTTTGCGCTATTTGGGTTACGTACAAATATTTGGACAAATGCGACGAATACGGTATGCCAAGTGAAGTGATACATACGTTTTGTTTTTATGGCGAGCATGTACGACCTTGGGACGTCCTTGTAGTAGATTATCTCCGAAAAGGAACTGATTATAACGGAACTTTAACTAGCAGATAAGACTATATGAATTTTTATTACGGGAACGATAAATAATACGCGGAAGATGTATTTACTTCCTTGTCATTATACAGGGTGACTGGTGAATTACTATCGATATTTGAGGACGTGATATTTGACGATCATATATGACAAGATAAAAATTAATATAACATAAATATTAATAAACTTCTAAGTAAAGTTAACCAAAAGTTATGTAATTAATTACGCATCGTGTGAACACCCTACAGATTAGGTATTAGGTACACACACACACAAACGCGCGCGGCGGCGTGTTGTTGTATCGGCACGCCGCCGCGCGCGTTCACACTTTGAACACTTGGAACGTGTACACACTTTATTTATTTATACGGAAATTTGGTCAAAAATTAAGTACCTATTTTTTTTACATAATTCGAATGAGAATCATGTACCGAGTATGCTCCTTAAATATTGATAGTAATTCACCAGTCACCCTGTATAATATCACTAGCTGATCCGTTAAACGTTGTTTTTCCATATAAAAAATAGGGGTTGGCGATAAAAAAGTGGTTAATTTGGGTTGTATGTAGTTTAAATGCTACATTATAAGATAATAAAAATATAAGGGTGAATAACCTTGATGACTTAGGGGTGTGAAAAATAGAGGTTGTCTGATTCTCAGAGCTACTCAATATGCTCACAAAATTTCATCAAAATCCTACCAGCCGTTTCGGAGGAGTATTGTGTCTAGCACCGCGCCCCAAGAATTTTATATTTAAGATATTGATATTTGTTATTTACTCACGTGATTTTTATCAGACAGATTTTGATATACCTTTTCTGTAATGTAATTCAAACAACAGTATGCCAACCACGTGCTTGCTTTATCACACTACATACGAAGCGTCAAAAGTTTCCATTAAATTACACTTTATAGTATTCACCTATTTGAAGAGAATTGCAAAACAAACGAACGCAGTAACAGGATGAAAACTTGTATTAAACATACTGAATAATTTAACATAACTACTTATAAGTAGTTAAAATAAATTATTGATAAATTTCCTTTTATTCTATACTAGCTTTCCGCCCGCAGCTTCGCCCGCGTCGAGTTCGGTTATATCGCGTTTCCAAGAGAACCTTTCAAAAGTCTGGGATAAAAACTATCCTATGTCCTTTCACAAGGTCAATTCTATATCTGTACCAAATTTCATTAAATTCAGTTCGGTGGTTTAGGCGTGAAAGTGTAACAGACATACAGACAGTTACTTTCGCATTTATAATATTAGTAGGGATAAACTACACGTGACGATGTTGGGATCGATATTAGGTAAAGTAGCAATCGATTAGGAGTGACCTTCGCTAAGGTAACAAGGTCGTTTGTGCCATAACTTCAAGGTCGCTTCAATATTTCGCTTTTGTTGGAAATATATATTTTCCAAGGGTATGCTTACCACGAGTTTGAATCTTCACTACATACGAAGCGTTTCACGTTTCTATATCAATAACGTACGTTAATATTAGGTTTAGGAATGAAAAACTTTAATAACTGCGTATATTATGATACAAACAAACTAGTACTAAGCACGCTGAATAGAATGCACATTTATTCAAATCACATATTTAGAAAATTATTTCGCAAAGTTATACGTTTTCTTCTTCTTCTTCTACCTTCCAATTTCCCAGCTTTAGCAAGGGTCTGCCTTACATGTTGTGAATAGTTTTGGCTAATTGTTTTTACCCTCTTTGGGAATGCATTAATCAGTGATGTTGAAATACTCTTAGAAAGTACATATGACTCGGAAAAATCACATTGGTTCTTGTCAGGGCCAGGATCGAACCCGCGCCCTCGTGCATGAGAGGCGGGCCTAGGCCACCACTAACTTTATACGTTGTATACATACAATAGGTATTGTGAATAATTATGCATTATGCTAACCCTTATTGATACCTAATGATAAACGCCGCGGGATAACAGTAGTATTAAATTAATATGATGTAATTTTCACATATTGTTATTTCATAAGAGCCTATTAGCCCAGTTAAATGTAACATGCCTTTGTATGCAACACGTACAACGATTTGATGTGGAAACGTTTGCATTACCATTCGATTGCTCCCTACTATGAGTTCTACAAAATAAATACCAACATTTTCCTCTCGTCTGCCCGTGATCACGGTTGCTGCAAAGTAACCGAAAGGTCGGGAGTATGTAGTTAAAAATAATGGAAACTGCGTAAATATTACATAGTCATATTTAAATGAATATTCGCGCAAGTCTTAATCTCATTAAATAAGTTTTTTAGTTTTTGTTTTATATACCTCTGTTAATAGTATAATGAAAATTTTAAACTCTATTCAATTCGACAGTAAAATTATTTGCGCTTACAAAAATTTTTGTTCAAGGCATTGATTTTTTTCACGGTATTTTAACTACATATTATTATTATTTTAAATTAACATCTATGGACTTATAAAATGAATCAGAATAAGCAAAGTAATTTTTATCCAAATATAATAAAAAGTACATATTTGTTGTTTTTCAAGTATTGATATTAGAGTGAAAATAACACTGACGTCCTCAGAAATTCTGGTCTTCATTTCATTAAAGTTTAAAATGTTATAAAAAAATCACTTTAAGCTAAGTTAAGCATAATATACTTTTATTAATATACGTAATTCGTAATATTTCCTGTTGTATGATGCTTTTGAAATTCATAATTCATGGAAAAACAAGGAGTTTAAGTTAAAAACAAATATATTTTAAAAGAAAAACAAAAAAATTAATAACGTGAATATTAAAACAGTACTTGCCATACATCCGTTAACCAACTACCGGCAAATTAAAGGGTCAGTGACCTCGTGGATAGTGCAAGAGACCGAATATCAAGGCGATCGAGTAAAGAGAAAATGTCACACAATTACCTACATGGTCTCTTATACTATATAATAGATACAACAATAAGATAAAGATTCAATTTTTTCATTTCTTAATCTCTTGTCCAAAAGCAACTCTACGGTTCTACCTCGTCATATATGATGATTAATAAATGTTAAAAAAATTAAGGCTGGTCTATATGTAAGTTCATTTAATGCAATAATTTAAAACTCTACTTCTCTCTAATTTAACTACATACAATATACAAACTGCGTTGTTTAAATTTATATTGTATTTTTTTGTGTTCTATGTGCTGGTAAAAATATAACTAGTCTCTAAAAAAATGTCATTACATATTACTTCGTGCTTTTTGTTGTCTGCACAGATTATATTATAATTTTAATAAAAAAAAAGTTGACATTGGCATAACATTCAACAATTCCAGTGTGAATGAAGCATAGCATAATAAAAAAAAAACTGCATCGAGCATATTCTAATAAGAATGCAACACAAAATAAAACAAAATCACTATTTAGAATCACATTATTTATAAGAAACTTTATTAATTTTCCAGTTAAATGCTAAACATATTATTTTACAAATAAATAGATAATTGCCTATTAAAATCTTCTTAAAATTTTGCTCGATCAATAACAACGAACAAGAAGAGAGTATCTTACTTATTCAGTTTTGAGAACAGAAATTTTATTCCAATATTATTTTTGAACGCTTTAATTTTTTTTCTAGTTTTTTAAACGAGCTTGATAAAAAAAATCCTTTTGGAGTCGTTTCGTAAAAACTCATCTTACGTGTAACTCAGCAATATTTATATTTATTTGTTATTGTGTTTATTTTTTAACTAACTGCAATGGTTTCGTTGCAATATCATATTTTAAATTTCATTTAATTTAACATTCACGTCACGAGAAATTTTGTATAGGCTTGACCTCTGATGAAATTATATACATATATATGTGTATGTATGTATGTATGTGTGTGTGTTTGTTTATATTAACATAACAAACAGGGACTTTATAAATAAAATAATTTTAATACATCACGACGAATTAGAGAACAAAATATAAATTATAACATATTATCTTTATGTAACGTATTGATATAAAACAAATATATTGAATTAACTCAGTTGCGACTAGATCTGTATATTTTTAATAATATAACTTTTCGTTTGTTTCAATTTAACCTTCAACTCTTCCGACTATAATATATATATGTATATATTTACAACAAGTGTTTATATGTGTTTGTGTGTGTGTCACACTTATGTAAATATTATATTACTTTATACTCATGTATCTGAAGTAATACATAAGTTGATAGTAACTTAGTTTATCAATAAATAACTATTAATTCTCCATATCTAGTTTAACGATTAACACTACTTCATTTCGTTACATGATAAAATACAAAACATCAGTCGTATATACTCTTTGAAATTCCTCAAATTAAATTAAATAAAATACACCAATAAAGTGTCACAATTATCCGAGAAGTTTTGATTTACTTATATTAAGTACTAACAAAAAATGTATCGTATGTATATTGTAGGTTAATTATTAACAAATTTATATTCTGTTGTTATAACATTATATAAGAGATCTGGGTCCAAAATTGACGCTGACATCAACCTTACCCTTAAAACATTTGATAGTACAAATTCCCTAGTGACGAGTAATTTATAAGCTATGTCATATAATATTATATTATACTAGCTGACCCGGCAAACGTTGTTTTGCCATATAAAAAAATGGTAATAAAAAAAGTAAAAATTTAGGGTTGCATGTATTTTACATGCTACATTATAAAACAATAAAAACAAAAAATTTCGTCGGAAAAAAAAATTAAGGTTGAAAAACCCTTACGACTTAGGGGTATGAAAAATAGATGTTGGCCGATTCTCAGACCTGTTCAATATGCTTACAAAATTTCATCAAAATCGATCCAGCCGTTTCGGAGGAGTTCTCTGTCTAACACCGCGACACGAGAATATTATATATTAGATATAACAATATACCAAAACAAAAATCCCGCTAAAGATTCTATTTTTAAGAACAGTAATGCCATAAAAATGTAACCGATTTAAAATCACATACCTACATTCAGTCACATAAATCGAAATATTCTTAAAATTTATATTAAATTTGTTTTCCATATACATATATGATTGACACACGTAATTTTCGTTTTAATATGTAAATTGCATAATATTAGAATACTAATTAGAGTTCAAGATTAAATCCTACCTACTAATATTATTATTGCGAAAGTTTGTATGTGTATGTTTGTTACTTCTTCACGCCCAAACGGCTGAACCGATTATGATAAAATTTTGTATACAGGAAGCTGACGTCCAGGAATAACATATAGGCTACTTTACATCCCGCAAATCCGCGGGTAACACCGGGAGGCGCAGCTAGTTATTAATAAACATAAGTAATAACTTCTCCCGTCAAAATATAATCGCCTAACGGGTATCCGATTTAAATTGTCACGTGCAGTCTGAAGCTTATAGTTTTTACGGCTTCCTTGTACTCCGTATAGAACATTCTAGAACCCTCGAAGGACTAGAACCCAATGCATAGTAATTATCGCGTCATCACATTCAAGTGACACTTGTAGTGTTTCTCTATTCATTGACGTATTAATTTTTATTTAATAACTTCCTCGTACGAAAGTATATGTTTAGAAATCCTTTAAAAAAACGTAATTGATTGTTTAAATAATATTTTTAATAGCAATGATTAATTATCACATAATGTGTAAACCCTTAATAATACGTTTAGAGTGTGTATGTCCTTCAAAATTACTTGGATTTCTTAGACTTATTAGTAATATTCATTTCTTTTTACGAAATTTCTGGAAACATTATTCATATTTTTATGATGGATTCCCCAATAAATAAATAAGTTTGTTAACAACATTAAAAGACTCTTCAGTAAGATTGTAATTCCTTGAATTATATCCAAGAAACAAATTTTAATCCAAACAATTTTTTATTTTTTTTTTAATTACTTTTAATTCATGTATACGAGTCATATTTTAAAATTAATTCTATAATTAAATTTGAATGAGAACCATATAGGTAATTATAATTAAACAATAAATTATATTTTTTCAACAAAATATCGAGAATGATTATACAATAATGTGTCTGAGTCATGAAAGTACTTTAGATTGCTTTTAAAACGTTTATTGTATTTTTTATTATTGTTTTCCGTATCACACGGAAAACTATTCGATTACTTTAACATATTTTTTATATATTTCCTCACGCCAATACATTTAATTTTGGTACATAAAACTTTTTGTTATGGAAAAAAACTAAACAATATACCATAAAGAATTTAAATATTAGTTTAAAATATCAATAATTTCATAATTTAACTAAGTAACAATTTCTAATAAGAAATTAAAATAATTATAATTATCTTAGTTTTTTCAGATCAGGGCATGAGACGCAATTTTAGGAAACGGATATGGGAAAAGATTAAAATAGACTCTCCTATCATAGACATCGAAATCGAGGTCGCTTCAAACGAGTATTGATATGTTATCTTAAGGTATTTCGAAATAGTATTGATAGTTTGCTGACTATTGAACAATATAAAGGGTTTTAAGAATGAAAAATGTTCAGTTTCTCTTAAATAAAAGCATCATAGTCTTTTCAATTAATCTTTATTGCATAATCATAATTTTAATCCCTTCAAACAAACAGCAAATATAATGAAACAATTAGAACTACAAAATACAAGTGAAATTACAAAAAAAAACAATAATTAACAAATAAACTTTGATGAAAATATTGTCTTTCTTAATCAGTAAGTCTTTTGGAACAATGAAGAGTGCTATGACATTAAGAATTAAAAAAAAATACAAGAAAAAAGTGCAAAAGTACAATTTATTTGATGTTATGAGCCCACAGACAATGATTTCCATCAATTATTTTATACTAATCCTTCAACATTCTAAATAATGTACCTATCCCATAGAGCTCAGATTTTTTTTTTAATATTTACAATTTTTTTTTCATTTTAATAAAATAGGTTTTATGAACACTTACAACAATTTAGAATATACTTTTTTTAAACTAATACAGACTGCATCAGGACTATTGAAATCAAAATATTTTATCCGTTGGAATGTTCTGCTTAAAATTCCAAAAGAATACAACTTAAATAGAAACTTTATTGAGATTCTAGAATTATGTTAGAAGTTATGAAAGTGAAATAAATAATATTTAATACTATAACAATAAGACAAACAACAAATTGAACTAGACGAGACTAAATATGAATTAACAATTGCTTTCATACAGACTGATTACAATATTTGAAAATTAAAAGACTTAAGGGTTTTTATTGTTTATATTTAAATAAATTTTAGAAAAAGTCATAGAATTATTACGAAATATGAATTGTTTATGTAGATTATGTAAGCAATTGTAGTGTGCAAATTAAGTACAATCTATAAAATATATATCAAAAATCTTAGTCCATAAGGTTGCAATAAACAAAACTCAGACTATTTCGTGCATGTATTGACTTGTGTTCCCCAAAACTGTCTACAAAGGATATACTATCATAAATGATGCGAAAACAAATTAAAAATAAGATTCAAACTTTATAAGTGGAATTAAATTTATTTATTAGTCTCATGTTAATGCTTCACGGCCACCAACCTGCCAGTTTTATAAAAAACTTAGAAAAATCGATTTAGTTAGTTACTCATTAAAAAAATATACAATGAAACTATTAAATGTTTGTAACCTACTTAAAGTTATCTATGGTCTACTATCACATTTGGTATCGGGGCTAGAAGGCAATGGATGAGGGAGGCATCGAGCACTCACCGACAGTTACACGGTACGATGCTAGTTCACTAATACCGTGATAATGAACAAACGCTGCCACAATCACAAGCACATGGAATATCTGATGAGATTGGAACCAGATGTCACATTTACCTGGGAACCAACGTTCAGGGACTCTAAGAGCATAGAACATAGCCCCCAATATATAGAGAAGACCCATTAAAACCAACCAGCCGAGCGATGCCTTACTAACTTGGCTGAACCAGCCCTCAGTGATACCATAATGTATAGCTGGCACTACACCAGAAAGACCAAAACCCATGAACACACCGGCTCGAAGGGGACGGAGGCGAGGCTCTGAGAATCTATCCCAAAGTGACACTATAATAGATAATATACCTAAAACAATCACCACGGACAAGTATATTATTTTAGGTCTGTAGTGACAGTAGAAACTGTAGTACAGCCAAGGAACAAATGAACCCATTATGAGCAGTGCTATGCCACAGTAGTCGAGCTTTGAGAACAGTTTACCAACCATTTCCGAGTGACAATACAGTGTGTGGTAGGCGAACGAAAAGCCGAGACATACTATAGCGCCAATGAAGAAAACACCGAAGATCATCTTCTCTTGCATTTGTATTTCGATAGAGGGCCGTGTTAGGAAATAAATGGCGACGCCGATGAACGCGACACAGCCGAGCAAGTGTGTCCAGATGTTACCAGTCTCGGTGTGTATACGGAAGATGGAAGCGAAGCAGGCACTAAAAGACGGCAGTGGAGGCCTGTGGCCTTTGTGTAGATAGTCGTTGTCTTGCAGCCAACGGGGCAGATGTCTGAAGTGACACACGTTCCACGACGCCTCCCAGACCTTACGAACGAATTCCTCCGCTTGCTCAGCCGCGTTGTGGGCCAGAGCGCCGAGATCGATTTCATCGGATAGCACGCCCGCTTTTAAAACTTCAGCCATTTCCGCGTCGAGTAAGTGTTGATCCTCCGGCGTGGAAGGCAGCGGGCATCCTTCTTCTTCCTCGGCGAGGACTTCGTCGAGTTCGTCGATATGAGAAGCGAGACTCTCGGCTTCTGGATCCCATCCCTGCCGTCTCCGAAGTCCATCAGACGACGCGCTGTGGGACCCCGTGTCAGAGTCCACTTCCCACATTTTGGACGCCTTCGTTACGCAATTATACGAATGTAATAACCATCCGCGGTAACGTCGTTCGTAAACAATCTTAGTAAAGCAGTCGAGTTTCACAAGAAATCCAGTTACGTCACGGAATAGAACCACGAATACACGAAACACAGAAAGTCTTTTGTTCTTTTATCTTTTCTAAAGTTGTGTTATAATCACGGATTGTAACTTTCAAAATCGACGGATAAAAAATTATAATATAATATAAAATGTAGCCACGTATCGAACAAACAACAATCAATTTAGAACAGCTGCAAGGAACTGTTAGATATTCGCCTGAAACCGTTCTCCAATAACCATGTCCATTTTCTAAATATATCTATCTCTTTCATACAAATGATAACATTATATTTCTCTTTCACTCTTCTGTAAAGATAGCTTTAGCTGCCAACTAGTGTTGTCCGTAACATTATATAATTAATTCCAAAACAATACTTTTTTGTATTTCGAAAGAGAAAAAATTTATGAGCAATAAGATTATAAGGTTCTATTACATACAACATTTCAATGTTTTTGTACGAAACTAATATTTTTAGGAAAACATCCAATTAACTCGGCAATTTTTGAAGAAACTATTTATGTAACTTTTATTTGAACTCAATAAAAATATTATATTGAAATGTAAAAAAAAAAAACAAATTGTAATGATTAAATTACAACCGCCTACATCACTAATTTTAATACAACGTCACCGAACTTTCGTAATTTTACTTACGTCTGATTGGTTGATAGAACATTACGTCAATAATTCATTTGACAAAGCATAAAGCCGTATAACCTAAAACAATATTATATCTAGTTTTCTTTGATACTCTTACGTACAAATTTATAGAAAAGAGCTGTACTTACTTTTTGAACATTATTTCGAAGTTGAATGCACTGAATTTACAAAACAATAACAGAGAATTATTGTATCTCAAAATATCACGACAGCCAAAGTTTGAACACAATTGTCAAAATACAACCTTCAAATTTAAGCCAATGGAAATTCGATTCCCTTTTACCTCTCATTCGTTGTATTATGAACGAATGACAAAAGGTATAGATAACCAATATTCAGCTAAAAGTAAAAAAAAATATATTATAGTTACAAATTCATAAAATATACGTTTTATAACTTTTAATATTTAAAATTAAAATAAACATAATAACTATATATATACAAAACTACAATTTTATTATTATATTCTTATATCCATGCAATATATAAAATTCTCAAAATTATCAAAAACCAAGAAAAAATTTGTTATATTATTTAAATTAAAAAACATAATAAATAATTTTTTAAAGTCTCGAAAGCTATTGTGTATAATTTTATTAAATTTTGGTGAAAATACTATTTCATAGATGTCATATCTGTCACTAACCTGTCAAAGTGAAAAGTCAAAGGGATCTATGTTTTGATTTGGTTACCGCATGGCTATTGTAAAAGAGTATCAATATTGTGTGAAAGCCACGATTAAAAACTGTACTGAAGAATTACAATAAAATGGCCAATTTACTAGAAGTATTAGTAACCTGTGACTCAAACAATACATTATGGACGTCTAGTATTTGGGATCCTAACACAGGTACGAATTTAATGACTTACAAAGGCGGTGGAACGTCTGAGAAAGGAACTCTAAATTTCATCGGCAAAGATTACATCGCTTCAGTCGAAAAAACCAAACCGATACTTCATGTATGGCCTTTAAATTCACACCAAACGGTACAAGGCATGCGGTTTATTCTTCCCGGAAAAGCTAGTGCATTGGCCATCTCGAACGATGGTAATTATTGCGTTGCTGGTATTGAAGACAAAATTTATCTCTGGCAAATAGCGTCTGGAAGTCTCTTGACTATAATTAACCGCCACTATCAGAAGGTGAATTTATTAAAATTTACCAGCGACAGTCGATTTTTTGTATCTGCAGCTGAGGATGGAATGGTGATGGTGTGGTCATTGGCAACTGTAGCAGCCAATGCTGAAGTGGAACTCGTCACTCAAGCTATAGCTGGTCAACATGATCCAGTATATATATTCTCCGATCATTCACTCCCCGTTATAGATATGTGTATAAGCAAATTAGGATTACACGGTAGATTATTCACGGTTTCAAGTGATAGGACTTGCAAAATCTATGACCTAACATCTGGTGAGATGCTATTAAATCTTGTTTTCGACGAACCGTTATCATCAATCACATTGGATGTTTTAGAACTTAACATATTCGTCGGAACGACTGAAGGGAAGATCTTTGAAATCGGTTTACAAAAACCACAAACCAACAGAGACGTTTTGGTCAACGGGAATGATACTAGTCAAATATTCTCTGGTCATAATAAAGCTGTTACATGCCTATCTGTTTCGTTGAATGGTGAAATTTTAATGTCTGGCGGTAACGATGAACAAGTAATACTGTGGCATATAAGAAGCAAACAACCAGTTAGGACAATAAAACATAAAGGATCGATAACAAATGCATTCTTCACACAAAATTTTCCAGCTATATATAATCAAGATTTTTCTCCGAAAATAGTCCTTCATAGTCTTGAGAGGAGTTTAGAAAATAACAGCGACGAAATCAATGAAGTGGAAGTGCTGATGAATGAAAATACAAACTTCTGGCCGCAGTACATTGAAAGTAATGCTGACGTTGAGCCCAAAGATTTGGAACTAGAAGTACGACAAAATGAAGAATTCTTAAAGAAGGAAATGGACAAAATTAAACTAATTAATGCCAACTTGTATACTTTGTCAGTCCAAAAAGTTCTTGATACTGTAATTGTGCAAAATAATAAAACACCTAAAAAGAAAAAGAAAAATAAAGATCAATAAAATACATATCTTTAAATTAAAACTTTGTTTAAGTAACCCCTCTCAAGATATATTCTTTTGTTACCTTTTTTTAACACACATATTTTTTTTTTTGAGGAAAAGTCACAAAACAATTGGTAACACTGCCTTACAATACTTGTTTAAATAACTGTCTAGTAAAAGGAAGAATTCAAATTTTCGAATTTTTAATATATCTCACCTTAATTTAGATAGGTATTACAAAATTTTATTATTGATCAATAAATAATTAAAATGTAAGACTTCTTATGATTTTTTTTCTATTTTCTTCTTGAGACGAAAGTAATGCGATATATGTTTTTACTCTAGTGACAACAAGTGAACAAAAACTTATTTAAATAGTATAAATCTATAACTATAGAAACTGTAAATATAGAATGGTAATTTATAAGGGTTTGTGGTGGATATGTTCCGGGGTGAAAAATTAAAAACACAAAATATATGTAAAAAAAATATAATAAGAAAATAAAATATATAAGAAAGAAATAAATAAAATATATAAGAAAATAAATTTGGTGAAGGTTTTGAACCTTTTGATTAATAATTAACAAATAACATCAAGCTTAGGCGATGATTCGAAGAATTTCGTTATTTTCTCTTGCTTGGCATTTTCTTTTGAATAGCTCCTTCAATTGACACTGATATTCAGTAGTTGCATTAGCAATTTGTTATTTGCCTCTTAAAAATAAGACTTCATCCCATAAACATATTATGTTCATAAAAAAGTTACAAAGCTCATTTGCCATTCTTAAACCTTCAGCACGTCAAAACATTGGCAGATTGTCTTTATTTTGATTTTTTAAAACGAGTGGATTTAACGATCTGTAGATCTCCAAATGCATTAGAACGTAACAGCAGTGTATTTCTATCCTTTGCTGTCTTAAATCCAGGAGCAGACTCTTCGCTTTTAAAAATTAAGGTTTTGTTTGGCATTTTCTTCCAAAACAGTGCAGTTTAGTCTGAATTAAATAATTATACTCATGTTTGTATCAGCTACTGGGTTTGCAAATTCTTCTGGATACCGTTCTGATACAAAAGTAACTCCTGATGCAATTTGTCCAGAAAATTTTAATCTCAAAAGTCTGTTTTTTTTACAATTTTTTTTATATAAAAGGTGGCAAACGAGCAGACGGCCCACTTGATGGTCAGTAGTGACCGCCGCCCACGGACATCCGCAACATGCGTTAGCAACCTTACTTGTGGAGGAAAAGGGAGGGGTGGGAATAAGGAAATACAAGGAAAGATTGTAAACAGGGATCGGGCAACCGGCTGTCTCACTCATAAGACGAACCGCAGTCATTACTGACTACTTCACGCCGATCTTCTGTGAGAGGGTGGTACTTCACCGGTTGAGCGTGCCCATGTTCGAGCTGTAGTAACTAAACTACAGATAGTCTCTACCACCTATAGGTAGTCGGTACAAAAGATATTACTTTGGACACCTATTGGAATTTTGTATGACCTTTTACCGTAATTTTTTTAGGTTTTTGTTATTTTTATACAACAAGTCATAAAAGATAGTCATTTGATTTAATTACAGTGTTTTTAGGTATGGATACTACTATTATGTTACACTTCATAAAAAAAATGGAAAACCTTTTTTGATCGACAATTCTACCGTATAATATTTTTATAGTTTGATAAAAAAATATCAATATTGATCATTGTTTTACCTAAATATGTAGTTAAATAAAAAGCATATATGTAAATATGTTTTCCATTTAAATTAAAGTATTAATGGATAATAGGATGGTACATGGAGTTTTAGAAATAGAAACTATTTGAATAATCCTTTTTGACGCAAGTTTTGTTTTTTAATCTTTGACAGTTAGCATCATTCGAAAACGTCACCTGCGTCATCGCATCGTTCGACTTGTATTTTAATTTCAGTTTGAAACACTCCCATTATATATTTACTATTTGTATAGTTTTCGAGTATCCAATGCCGAAGTTATCATAGATATTTTTTTCTAATTCGCTTGATATGTTTTTATGACGATATATTAAAGAGGTGAATATAATATATATTTGAATTGTAAAAATAAACGTTGCGATAGGTTTGCGTCACAAACAAAACATTTTTTGTGTACGGTTATATTCACAGTCCAGGCGAAATGTCGAAGGCCGCGCTCATTCCAGAATGTAAAAAGGATATAGGTGGTGTGAAAGAAGATATATGTGTACCAGCTAATGAGAAAAAGGAGGGAGCAATTAGTTTATACAGAAGACTTCTGCGTTTGGATACGTTTAGCAAGAGGAATACTTTAGACAGCCCAACAGAAACAGAACCACAAGCGACTTACTATGGTGTTTATATACCGTGTGAAATCAAAAAAGGACCCGATGAAGGTATGACATGCATAAAAAATTGCAATTATTTGTTCCTCATAAAATATTAGAAAAATTTCGCTAATATACAAATTTTAACACATATATAATTTGATGCAAATGATACAAAAACAGAGTAAGGTCATAAATAAAGTCTTAAATGCTTATCAATTTTTACTATCAACTGATAAATTTAAATGTAGGTCAATGTAATGCTAAATGTTTATTTTTTGCCATCACTAATCAACCTCACGAATACTAGAATAGACTTTAGAGTATACAAATTGTATTTATAAAGTTTGTTTTATATCCTCAGAAACAATACATGTTTACACTGACAAATTGGAAGCGTTGGAGCTTTTCCGACGGTACAAATCAGCTAGATTCAAAGCCTTTAGGAACAGACAGGACGCTGTTTCATTTGCTCTCAGAGGAGCTGAGCCAATCGACAATCATGAGAGTAATGGGAATTGTAAGTATAATTAATATAAAAAACCTTTGAAGAAGAAATTCCTATGATACATTTAGTTTTAGTTTAAAAAGAAATATATTAAGCATCTTAAATATGATATGTAGGCTCGATTGTGCTTACATATATCATTGCTGAACCATCTCTAATGGCATGAAGTAGCAATAACAATATTAACATAGCATTTTTTTAATAGTTACTAAATTTTTGAGTCTATGTTGCTTAATTTTGCATATATAAACAAATAAATTTAATTTAAAATTATAATATATGTATTAAAATCAATCAATATAAATATATTATTATATACAGTGATGAACCAAATACCATTTCTGAATGTATTATACATGCCATAAATAAATTACATAACATATATACATATATATAAGTATATGTATATTTTATATGGCCGTTGCTACCTCCCTGCCATATTTATTTATAATGTTGAACCTTGAAGACTTTCCAATATAATATTAATATTATTATTATATGTAACATAGCTACTACGAACCATATAGCTTAATAGATAAGCCTTAATTAAATATTGTTGTTAGTTTAGTATAATATGTACATAAAGAGTATGTATATATATTAATATTTAGATGATCATAAAAAAATATTTATCCATATATTTATATATATATATATATATTTATATATATATATATGTCAGTAATAATATGAACATATCTCGAATCACTTGTGAAACAAACTAACATACAAGACAGGTGACTTATTGTGTACTATTGATAGCATCGACCGAACGAAAACAAAGCTCGCAACAAGAGGTCATTGAACCGGCGCGAATTTAAGATATAAACATCTGACCCGCATTCACTTATCTACTATTGATTGAATTATATATCTGTGTTTATATTTTTTTCATTTATATACATACATTACATTTAATTCATAAATTGTAATAAAAAAATTAAAATCGTATGCTATAGTTTATATAAGAAATTTCTAATTTAATATCAATGAAAAAAAGTTGTTTATAATTTTACATTTCGGAATTAAAATTCTTAGTAATTTTTTTACAGTATTATTTTAATAAAATTGTTTATCACTACGTATAAACAATAAGAAGCTTAATTATATATTTATTTCGTTTATGCAGTTCATTAATGATTCAGCATAATTAATATTATTTCAATAATCTAAATCACTGATAGAAAACAAGAGCCTATTCATAAGAAGAAATTAAAAATAATACATCAGGAACATTAGACTTATTTGTTCTATATTTAAAAACTAGCTGCGCCCCGCGGTGTTACCCGCGGATTTCCGTGATTTCTGGGATGTAAAGTAGCCTATGTGTTATTCCTGGACGTCAGCTTCGTGTATACAAAATTTTATCAAAATCGGTTCCGGTGTTTACGCGTGAAGAAGTAAAAAACATATACACACACTCACAAACTTTCGCAATTAAAATATTAATAGGATATATTTTTCACATTTCAGCGATTATGGGGGAGAAGCCTTACCCATTTAAAGCACCATCGCCCCAAGATATGGTTACATTAAGAAAGGCCATAGAAGCTGGTAAAGTCACGGTGGTTAGAGATAGGATATGGGATAATCCGAGATACCTCGTCAGCAGTGGAAGTACTCCGGCTATAGTACAGGTTATTTATACATATATACATTACTAGCTGCGCCCCGCGGTGTTACCCGCGGATTTCCGGGATGTAAAGTAGCCTATGTGTTATTCCTGGACGTCAGCTTCCTGTATACAAAATTGTATCAAAATCGGTTCAGCCGTTTGAGCGTGAAGAAGTAACAAACATCCACACACACTCACAAACTCGCAATTATAATATTATTAGGATAAGAAAATTCCATTTAATCTGTTATTGGGTATTAATACTGGCAGTATTCAATATATATATCTCTGGTTTTAAATTATTTTTAATTTAAACAAAGAACTCAATATGAAAACTATTGTGTACTAGCTTTCCGCCCGCGTTGAGTTCGCTTATATCGTGTTCCAAGAGAACCTTTCAAATGTATGGGATAAAAACTGTCCTATGTTCTTTCTCAATGCTAACTCTATATCTATACCAAATTTCATTAAAATCAGTTCATTGGTTTAGGCGTGAAAGCGTAACAGACGGACAGACAGAGTTACTATCGCATTTATAATATTAGTAGGGATGTCTATTCAGCCAGCACCTTATTATTTGATGTACTTTCCCAAATACTTCACATTAAAACCTACTTATAACTTTTTACACACATACATTTCATTGAATACATAATTTTATCATGTTGCTACATGTAAAATATTTACTGATATTGCATTTTTGTTTGTTAATATTATTTCTAGGAGGGTTCCCGCTACAATGCTCTTCATATAGCTGCAAAGGCACTGAATGCTGAAATATGTAACCTCATATTAACAACAGTTGGCAACCCTGCCTTTGTACAGACTTTGTATGGAATGGAAACAGACTATGAGTCTTGTAAGGTAAAGTATTAACACTCACTCAAACTAAATATAGTATATTTATACAGGGTGACTGGTGAATTACTATCGATATTTGACGATCATATATGACAAAATAAAAATTAATATAACATAAATATTAATAAACTTCTAAGTAAAGTTAACCAAAAGTTATGTAATTAATTACGCATCGTGTGAACACCCTACAGATTAGGTATACACACACACTCACACAGACGCGGCGGCGGCGTAGTGTTGTATCAGCACGCCGCCGCACGCGTCCACACTTGGAACACTTGGAACGTGTACACACTTTATTTATTTATACGGAAATTTGGTCAAAAATTAAGTACCTATTTTTTTTTACATAATTCGAATGAGAATCATGTACCGAGTATTCTCCTTAAATATTGATAGTAATTCACCAGTCTCCCTGTATATGTGATGGTTAACTTTACATTTAATATATGTGCATTATATAATAAATACACCAATTTAAATATACTTCTGAGTAATCATTAACATAAGCTTAAAATTAATTTGCTGTTTTATAATTTCTTCAAGGATTTTTTAAAATCAATTGTAAATTGTAATTATTTATTATACGAGACTAATGATTTTAAAATATTTCATACCTTAGTTAGATGTACTTAAAATTTGTGACATTTAATTATTGTAAATATGGAAATATCTGTAACATTACCGGCTTAGTTTGTTTAACAATATTACGTGAAATATTTTCAGGAATTCGCAACAATCCTTCTAGACAGATATCTAAACACTCCAGACAAGGCTATGAACGAGACCCCTTTACACTTTGCTGCGAAATTTGGTGGTGAAGAAGTTGTGGATGTACTAACATCATTTCCACAATGCAACAAAATGGCCAAAAACAAATATGGGGAAATGGCGAAAGATGTAAGGAAAAAACTTAATATATAGAAGTACTAGCTGCGCCCCGCGATTTCCGGGATGTAAAGTAGCCTATGTATTATTCCTGGAAGTCAGCTTCCTGTATACAAAATTTTATCAAAATCGATTCAGCCGTTTGAGCATGAATAAGTAACAAACATACACACACACTCACAAACTTTCGCAATTATAATAGTAGGATTTAAATTGTGTAAAAACTGTAAGATTTAAAGCGTATGAAAAATATTACGTTAACAAAAGCAAGTACACAATAGAGTTATTAATAAAGGCTTTGGGCCGCATAGTCCCAGTGGTAACAGATAGAAACTCTGCTCAAGTCAAAATTTTAGGTTTGTTCCTTAATATTAATTTAAATATTTAATTCAGTGGTTTTGAAAAATAAACAAGCCCCTCCTTCTCATTAAAATTAGGTTTTTATTATGATGTAGAACTTCATCTTTTTTTTTGCCGGCGACCCCCTGAATAAGTCATCGCGACCCCCCCTAAGGGTCGCGACCCACAGTTTGAAAAACACTGCCTTAGATAAATAATGGAATATTACCTATGTAACTTTAGTTTATCCTTAATTTAAATCTGTAGTTTCAAAATAATACATACTATAGAGAAAATTAAGCCTAAGCATAAAAGTATATAATACCATATTTATTGCAGTCAGTGTAAACATAAAGTTAAACAGTTTTTGTCCTCGGCTTCATCCGCTTTGATTTTGAAAATGAATTCGTAAAAAAAATAATACGCATGAAAATATTTGATAAATATATTGTAGCGCCATCTGTGTTGTGTTACGCTACTTATCCGAAAGTAGTCTTATGATCTGATTTCGAAAAATTTTAATTTGTTGAAACTTATACACTATTGCCATATATATATTTACATATTAAATACTATATGCCCAAGCTTTATTATTGCAAAGTTACATGGAAATGTCAGTATATTTTATATACAAAAGCAACAAATATTATTCTATCGATATACACTATAGATCAAATGAAATTAATATAACAATATTTGTATTTCCAAAGATCATCTGTAACCGTTGTAACTCAAAAACATCAGCATCAAGGATTGCGTCTCTATTAGAGGACCGATACTACGTGCCGGTGTTACAGACAGAAGACGGCAGCGGAGCACCCGCTATAGGCAGACCCTTCACACCTAAAGAACCCCCTGTAAGTAAACAAAAGATAATAATTAATTATTATCATTCATATATTTTGTTTTCAGTCAATGGTTACCCAGTTCGATCCTGGCAAGTACCAATGTGATTTTTACCGAGTCATTTGTACTTTTTAATAGTATTTAGACATCATTGACAGATGAAGGAAAACATCGTGAGGAAACCTGAACTTATAATTTAATATTATAAGTTTGAAATCACCAACCCGTCTTGAGCAAGTGTGATTAATGCTCAAATCTTCTCCATGTGAGAAGAGGCTTTTGCTCAGCAGTGGGCTCTGATAGGCTGATGACGAATGTATTTTTATACAGTTCATTCGTAGAGTTTCTTAAAATGTATTAAAATTCAATTACCAATAACTAAACAAATCTGATATATGATTTGAAACAAAATTATTATTTTTCGGACATACTACGCGTTTATGATTGTGAGAATGATTTTCATCTCATTTACCCGTGATCACGGTTGCTTAAAAGTTTCAAAAACGTCGGGAGTATGTAGTTTAAAATAATAAAATAAGCGTAGTAATCTAAGAAGGATAATTGGGATTTTGAAAAAAAAAAGAATTGATTTTTTTATGTATTTTAAAACTTTATTATTAACTAGTAGCTTTTGCCGCGACTTCGTCTGCGTGGAATAGTGACTTCCGGCAGATTTTCGGTTCTTCCCACATAGTTCCTGTTCTTGCGGGGTTTTCGGAATGGTCGAATTCCCGTAGAATTTTCAGGATAAAACCTGTTTTTTTTAATTCACAATGAAGTACTCTTAACCAACAACATATTTATTTGTTTATTTGAACAAAGATTAATATTATTATGTTGATACAACTTAAACAAATTATTTCGACCAAATTAGGTACCATAAAAACGGTTTTTATGAGTTAATCTTAAAAGATAGACATATACTGTCCAGGACTGTTTTTTAGATCATTAAAAGAGCTATTATTCTTTCATACATATTTTTTGTGTATCTTGAACCGTTTTCACGGCGCACGCAACGGAAGGCTTCAAAGATGAAATAATTTCTCCCGTTTTTTACACATTTACCACTATATCTTTGCTCCTATTGGTCGTAGCATGATGTTACATAGCCCACAGCCTTCCTCGATAACTGGACTATCCAACACAAAAAGAATTATTCAATTCGAACCAGTAGTTTTGGAGATTAGCGCTTTCAAACAAACAAACAAACAAACTCTTCAGCTTTATAATATTAGTATAGATTATATTGATTTTTAATGCAAAAAACTTGATTAAATTTTTTTTTAAATTAATTATAAACAAATAAAAATTGATAAAATTCAAAAACAAATCACGTGACTGTAAACGCGCCATGATTGGTCGCCATGCTTGTGACGTCATAATGTTAAAGCAATTTCAAAATAGTACAGTGTTTATGGCTATTATCTTTGACTTGATAAAAATATCTCAAATTTATTAGTGAAAAATGATTTGAAAAGTTTATTTCGACTAACTATGTGTGATAAAGGATTTATAAAAGCAAAATCGGATAATATTCCTGATGTTGATATATTTATGATAACTATTTTTTTAAAAAATGACGTTCGGTTTAATTCTGCTGAAGTTCGAGGTGCTAACAGCTAAGGCATCAAGGTAATTCTGTTAAAAAAAAGACTATTTTAAATGAAAATAAGTATTCTTATTCTCTATTAAATATAATTAATAATTATTTCATTAATTGTAGAGCATCACGTGAGAGTTACGGTGATAAAGCTATAGGTTATGTTAAACTTAATCGTAAGAATGGTATTTGTGTTTTAAAAGGACGTGTGTGTCCAGAACACCGAGTTCGGAGTAAAGCTTACTCAGTTACTCTAACTAAAGGTTATGGTTTGGAGCCCAGGTAAAAAAATTAATTACTGAACTATACTTATTCGATTTATACACTTAGATAAATAATAATTAATAACAATATTATTATGAATATTTACATCGAAATGATCTTCACAACAAAAAAAAAATGATTTTGTTTTTGAATAATCTCGGTGCACTGCTTGAAACCATTTCTTTCGACGTTTTTCTTGTGGAACATTTAAAAACATTTTTTCAGGAGTTGTTTTTGTAGTATTTGTACATAATGGTACAAAACAAGAGCGATAACTTTTGAGTTTTGACATTTTTGATTATTTAACAGTGCCAACAGAATTTACTAGATAAAAATCAAAACACTGTACTAATTATTATATCTCTGTATGCTACAATGAGCATAAACTAACATTGTGACGTCACACACGCTCGGGTTTATTCGGGAGCTGTCGGTGTATCTTCGGTACTGAATTTAAAATTTAATTTTTATTTTGAAATAACTTTTTAATTATTGCAAAAAAAAGAAATAAAAATAGTTTTGTTATCAAACTTATACAGGGTGACTGGTGAATTACTATCAATATTTAAGGAGAATACTCGGTACATGATTCTCATTCGAATTATGTAAAAAAAAATAGGCACTTAATTTTTGACAAAATTTCCGTATAAATAAATAAAGTGTGTACACGTTCCAAGTGTTCAAGTGTGGACGCGTACGGCGGCGTGCTGACACAACACCACGACACGACACGCGTATGTGTGAGTGTCAGTGTATACCTAATCTGTAGGGTGTTCACACGATGCGTAATTAATTACATAACTTTTGGTTAACTTTACTTAGAAGTTTATTAATATTTATGTTATATTAATTTTTATTTTGTCATATATGATCGTCAAATATCACGTCCTCAAATATCGATAGTAATTCACCAGTCACCCTGTATATGATCTTTCCATTTATCACAAAAAAAAAATTATTCAAAAACCCAATTTGATTTAGGATTTATAATTTTATTAAGACTTTTTAGTCTTACATACTTGTGTCATAATATATGACTACAATACAATATTAATATATATTAATGCATATTTTTCAATATCACATGAACAAATCCAAATAGATAGTAATTTCTTAAGGCCGTTATTTATCATATTAGGTGATGGTAAAGCTACAAAGAAATATTTATTACACCTACATCCAATGACCCTTAAAACTATATGTACTTATATAAATCCCTAATATTAATATAATGTGTATTAACACACTACCAAAGGTTATGTAGGAATAAAAGCTCAATTGCGTTTCTCTGTGAAAGAAATGTTTTATTATAATAATCAAAAGTTACAAAACACTGTAGTTCCATAAAAGTAGTTATTATAAATATTACAAACTTGTGAAAGAAACAACATTTAAAGCTATTAACTTATTCCTTATTTAATTAATAAGTGTTGTTAAACAAGAAACAATTATTTCACCATGTGTTCTTAAAAAGTAATCCTAGTAGTGACAGCAGCGACCCTCATGACATATAAGCTGCGTTCAAAAACTAAAACTAAATGAAGATTAATATATGACCTTCATTTACATTAATATAATTATATAAAATCCACTTTCATATTGCTGCAGGATTTGAACCCGGATCCCCTATCTCCGAGATACGAAATCTTCGCGTTCGCTGGACCCATGGACCCTCAGTCAGCTGAAGGATTCAGGAGACGGTGGAAGACTCCGCCGCGGGGAGGGTTCAGACTTAAAGATATGAGCAAGGGTCTGGAAACAGTTGGCAGGTGAGAAATATTATGATGTGACCAGTCTAACGTGATATATGGAAAGAAAATATATATTTACATTTAGTCAGGGGTGACCTACTGGTTAAAGGGCCCGCCTCTCGTTGCCGAGGGCGCGGGTTCGATCCTGGCCCGGGCAAGTACCAATGTGATTTTTCCGAGTCATATGTACTTTCTAAGAGTATTTAGACATCACTGATTAATGTTGATTCCCAAAAGAGGGTTGATGTCAGGCAGGCGGCCAGTCGTAAAACAAATAGCCAAAACTATTTACAACATGTAAGGCAGACCCTGACTATAGCTGGAAAATTGCCAGGTAGAAGAAGAAATATATATTAACATTAATGGTTTCATAAAAAATGCTAACAATAGACCGAGAAATATAATATACTCACCTCAATGGTTACATACAAATTTATTAACACGCTATCTTATTTATATTACTAATGACGAAATTAACGCTGACGAAGTCGTGGGCAAAAACTAGTTTAATATATATTTAAAATTTAAAAAATAATAATATAAATTTATTAATTTCAGAACGCTGGCTGAGGAAATGCAAATAGGATGGAAGGAGTACTGGGCGTTCCTAGATACATTCACTGACTTGAGGTCTAAAGAGGGGTTGGATTTATTAGAGAGTTACTTGAAGACCAAATACGAAACAGCTTACTCGTTGGCCTACAACGACAGTCTCAACACTAACAACGAACTGTCCATGTCTAGAATAAGTCTAGGGAACCTATCACACAACAGTCACGTGGACTCAGTTCTCAGCCCTATATCAGAACTGTGTGTGGCCATGAAAACATGCAGGATTACTGACGAGGCCACTAATTGGCGGAGATGTGACAGAATAAGGCGCGTGGCCCCACCCAGGACACACATCAACGGAGAGTCCCCTCAACCGATCAATCAAAGGGTCAGCCAGCTGCTGTGCATCGAACGAACGTGTCAAGTGTTCGCGAAAAGAATAGCCGACGCGTTGATCTTCTCATTGACAGCGGAACCGGAAGTCGCCGGTGAATCATTGAAATCGGAAGCGAAACATTTGCAGCACACGATACACACGTACATGGGAGACGAGAGGTTCCAGGAGATAAACTTTGCTTTGATACATTCAAGGCTGGCGCAGCTCGTTGTGTACAACTTGAAACAGAAGACGAAGGACGAAGACGATTTGAACAGTCTTAAAGAAGTGCTCAGTGATATGCGATGCGACGATGATATATATAGTTCAGACGGTGAGAAGAAAGCTATAACATACAGAAACAATAGAAGCAAAGATAGGCAGGTGACAGACGGACACGTGAAGTGTGTAGCCGGCTTTATATGTGACGAACTAGCGGATATGAATACTAAACAACCAGCTGGCTCGGATATTGAGTGTGGAGATATATGGAAAATGGCGGCGCAGTGTACGTGTAGCTGGCAGATAGACGTGTTTGAGAGGAGCGGGAAGAGGAACTCTTGGAGGAAAAACAGAACTAGTTTGTCAACCAGCCCCAAGAATGACAGTTATATACGGAGACTGACTTACGACTATGATATAGGTAACTAAGACTAATTATAACTAGTATTTGTATCTATAGTATATATACAGGGTGACTGGTGAATTACTATCGATATTTGAGGACGTGATATTTGACGATCATATATGACAAAATAAAAATTAATATAACATAAATATTAATAAACTTCTGAGTAAAGTTAACCAAAAGTTATGTAATTAATTACGCATCGTGTGAACACCCTACAGATTAGGTATACACACACACAACACACATACGCACGTCGCCGCACGCGTCCACACTTGGAACACTTGGAACGTGTCCACACTTTATTTATTTATACAGAAATTTGGTCAAAAATTAAGTACCTATTTTTTTTACATAATTCGAATGAGAATCATGTACCGGGTATTCTCCTTAAATATTGATAGTAATTCACCAGTCACCCTGTATAATACACTGTCTCACGTACCCCACTAGAGGGGGTGGCATGCCCTGGGCAGTCTCACGACTAGCGCGAAGCAGAACGGGGACGTGCGCCTAAGCTTTAGTCGTGGGTAGTAGTGAGCCAGTGACTAGTTATTCTTACACAGAGAACCAATAGGGTTGTACGCTATGTATAATATTTTAGTGATGTATATTATGTGGATTATCTAGAAAAGTAGTAATACGATCTGATATTAATATAAGAAATGTTCTTAATCTATTACTATAACAATATCATTTATAAGAAACACTTAAAATTAAATCTCACAATCTGAATTTTATCTGTTTCTTTATCTTATATATGTATTTTATTGATATATTAATCATATGAACTTTAATTGTGACCAGGTGACGGCAAACTTCAGAACAGTGAAGTACAAAAACCGTTAAGCGTGAACTCCCCGGCCGGTGATAATCTATACACATTGGATGTAGCCAAGTGCCAAGTTGTAGAGGCTGAGGTTTGTGGAATGTTGTTATATAAAACTTAAAAAAATAAAGAAAGAAGAAAAATAATATTTTCATAAAATGCGAATGGAATTTTTAACTAATAATTTACGTTATTATTTTATTATTATTAATCATGTCACGATAGCTCAGTTGACAAAGCGATAGAAACCTTTTATCACAATTCCCGTTAGAATATCGTGTGTTTACAACACAATTAATATGATACAATCTTTGATTGTATCATATTAATTCAGTTCTCGTAAATATTCGAACGTACAGACGAAGCAATTAAGTATAATTTTGAGTATCATAAACAAAGTTATTATATTATAATGTTAAATTAAGAATACTTGAAATGATATTATAGATTCCTTTCTTCAAGGATATGTCTTGGCAGCGACCAAACCTAGTATAATTTATTCATTAACATAATACAATGAATATAAATAACTATTTTTATTTGTATACATTCAGATATCGGACGATGAATCGGTCGCTTCCTGTCAATCGGATTCAGACGCGTATGAGACAGCTGAGAACGATTCAGACGATGACATGCAGGACGCGAGCGATAGAGCGGTCACTGAACCGTTTATTTACGGGTTAGTAATATCATATCATAGATCATATCATATCATAGCATATCATGTCATATCACAGCATATATTGTTTATAAAGAAAAATATTGAAATCAAACAAAGTACAATTGGACATGTAAAATATAACGAACTTTATTACAAGTGGAGAGAATATTTTTAAACCATTTTTTGTTTTTTAGAAAACTTAATTCTGATTATCTTTATGATAAGTTTTTATTATGGTTAACATTCTAGTATTATATAGATTTAAAAAGCTAGAACTTAACCTGGTGTAATTCAGTTTTTTGTATAACAAAATATAATATTATAAAGAAATATAACAAACATGATTTGACGTTGTTTTAAATTATTTCTGTAATAATTTAGTCGTTTATTAAGTTATATCATAAATTTTGAAATACAACCGTTTAAATGCAATAAAATGTTGTTTTTTAATTAAGTAATTATTATTTTCAGCGAGGAACCTTCAAAGATGGACAGGCTCGTGTATGACGCGATCTCTTCGTGTGAGATTACAGCAGAGGAATATCCAAACGTGTATCGTTGGAGACACTGTGTGGCGCTCTATACACGAGCAGAGAGAGAGAGGTACGAACATATAATGAGAAGTAAGATGTACACGAGTTTTATTCATTTAAATGAAACTAATATGTTTTGGATTATACTACGTGAATTTATTTTTGTAAAAAACTACATATTCATACGTTTCGGCTACTTTTCAGCAACTGTGATCACAAGCAGGCGAGATGTAAGGGAGGATGTAGTGTTTTACAAAACTAAAGTCGCGTAGTATAATCAGAAAATATTAGTTTCATTTAGGTGAGAACAGATGGCGCTGAATATAATAAATAACTTGTATGACAACATCTTTGGCAAATAATATAATTATACCAAAACTAATAAGGTTTTAGTTTTGGAATTGAAAAGAAATATTTAAGGATACAATTATCTTGTATCATTACTGTTGTCTAGATATTTTATTCAGTTGTTTTAAGAAGAGTGCATATGTTTCAAAATTTTTTAAACGAGAATTTAACGGTGAACGTTTAATAAATAAAAATTTTATATTCCATTTAAGTAATAATGCGAATATTAAATATGGTAACTTTCATTATATGATAGTATTTTTGTCTAATTATAAATAATTATATTATAGTTGGCGAGCCACAACGAATTTAGACGAATCAGTGTCATCTATGTCTTGGACTGTGGGGGAATCGCCGCGGACTAGCAGACCACGGTGTAGTACACCGCATAAGGATAGAGATTTACGAGATATAAGAGATTTAAGAGATATAAGAGATTCAAGAGACTCGCACGCCGATAAGACTCTACCGTTACAGGTGATGCTTGATTTTATTGACTATATTAGGACAATGAACTTGTAAGACATAATAAATTTTATAAACCTCCTTATATACATCGTCAACTGTCTTATATACAATTTGTAGTAGCAATTTAATTTAGTTAGATTAGGTTGTTATCGTTATTATAAAACTTTTTAGACAATGCTGTGAATACCTGTAATAGGTGTACATTAGGGTGGAGCACAAATGTATGGCGAAAATTTTTTTTTTATATTTAGGTTTCTAAGTGTAAGGGATTTATGCCATATGTAAAAACATAAAAGTATGCCAATTTTCATAAGAATTGAAAATTGTTTTCTACCTCCGAAACAGCATTTAAAATTTTGAAATTCTTGAAAATACTACTCCTTTTCTCATATCTATATTTAGTAGAAATTAAAGGTAAATAGGCGAAAAGAAATACACAATGTAATGATCATACAAGTAGTAATGTAATGAATGCAAAAAAATTAAAGTTACATAAAAAACATACATTTTGAAACACCTTTAATTTGGCTTAAAATGACGCTTTGTATCGAATTTAGGCATTTTGTCTCTTGATTCCAATTTTACCCTTATGGCACCTAGTCGCGATTTCTTAGTACATTGCGAAATACCTGCTTCTGTTGTAACCTTCACGGCTCGTTCTACTGCCCGCGTATGACACGGCAGACGCAAAAATGTTATCTGATTCTCACCACCAGACTGAACAACAATATTAAATATTATCTGTGTTGACAACGTTTTAAGAAGTGGTGGTTCAGTTATCTCTTTTTGCCAGTCTATCATGTCGACATAGTTAGAAGCATTAAAATTAATTTTTGGTACATCAAAAAGCCTTAGACCATGTGCAGTACTGCTACGAGCCTTTAAAATACGCCGGGCAACCAGCTCACGAATGTGTTTTCGTTCATCAGTTATCATAGCTAGTAACAAATTTTCAGCATGTGCGAAATAACCATTCCTTTGAATTACAGTATCTACTATGGATTTCAAATTTTCTGGCAAGTACCGTTTTTTCCATCAAAGTATACATCTTCCATCAAAGTATAGTGCAGAAATATCTCTGAGGCATACTTGTTTCACTAACTCCTGTCTGGTCTTGTTTCTTTCTCTTCGTAACTTACTTCTGTCTATAACTTCTACCTCGGACCCCATGTCATGTAATACTGATGACACAATCGCAGCAGCAGCCCTGTCAGATACTCCGTATCTATCACATGTTTTTGATACAGTAGGTAAATTAATGCAGGACACTTTTTTCCTTTTCCTTAGAGGAATGACAGCTTTAGTATTTCTGGCAGATGATTCGTTTATTGTAAGCTCATCGCTATTGGAAGAAAGTGAAGAGGTATTGACGTCTAAATTAAAAGGCAACGTATTTACACTAGAAGAGTTATTGGAGCAAAGTTTTCGTTTTAACTTCCGTTCCTGATTTATTAGATTTTTTTTGGTAGTGACAACATCAACTCCGCCAATTATAATTTTACGAGCCGTCCTTTGATCAATTAAAAAGGCTTGTTCCCGTTTTGGGACCTTTTTTCTCTAGGACAGGTGCAATAGTTAAAATCCTTGCATTTGCAAGCCGATATATCAAAAAGTAACTTTTTATTTTGTATAAAACTTTCCATCGTTTGCTGAGCATTTTTTGCTATCTACTTCAATAGATTTTTTCGTTTCTCGTGATACGGTTTTAACATCTGAACAATCCTGGTACTGGTAACTATTGGCAAAGATGTCGCTTGCCAAATACTTTCGATTTCTGGTACGATTTTATCAGCAATTTCTGAAAATCTGGGCTCTTTTTTGCTTGTCTTCATAATGTGCCGCGTCCATTCGTAATGTTTAACAACATCTTCATAAGTTGATAACACGTTTTTCTTTAACTCACAACATTCACCAAATATTGGGCATTTAGAAGTACTGCGTATTTTTTCCATGTTTATTAACAAATAATATTTTAAGGTTATGTTGTTAAAATAATTGCGCGCAACAGTTCACCTCGAAAGACAATAGTGCACTGCCTTAGTCTAATTAACTGATTGGCACCGCTCCCTATCCGTGTTGTTACTATTGTACGTTGTTTTTTATATTTTATTATTATAAAAGAGTATATTAGCAATATATTAAGATAATAAAGAGATAAAATATATCAAGATGTATTGTAAATATAATTTCATCAACTCCTGTCTAAAATCCACTTTTTATAAAAGTTTAATGACCTTTCGGAGGTACTTATACTTTTCTTTTTAAAATAATATTTTACTGGTGCATGTTTGAGCGTATAAAGCATAAACTTTTGCTACTTAGAATTACGAAATGTGAAAAAAAAATTTTCGCTCCACCCTAGTGTACATATGAAGACCAATACTTTTGACTGTATTTTTTATGTAAATGTTACATATGTGCACTGTTGGTGTTCCTAAATAAAAAAATAATAAATAAACTGTCAACAATAGATGAAGTAATTAATGACATCAGTAATATTTATAAATATAGTAATAGTAGTAACATAAATTTTCTTTAAATGCTCACTTTAAAGTACATTTATGAGTCAAAAACTAGAGATGCTTATTTTATAGTGTGTGCATACTTGTAGTAATGATGTAGCTAGCATGTGTGTTCAATATATTATAGTTTAATATATAATTGTATACAGGGTGACTGGTGAATTACTATAAATATTTAAGGAGAATACTCGGTACATGATTCTCATTCGAATTATGTAAAAAAAAAAATAGGTACTTAATTTTTGACCAAATTTCCGTATAAATAAATAAAGTGTTGACACGTTCCAAGTGTTCTAAGTGTGGACGCGTGCGGCGGCGTGCTGATACAACAACACGCCGCCGCGCGCGAGTGTGTGTGTGAGAGTGTATACCTAATCTGTAGGGTGTTCATACGATGCGTAATTAATTACATAACTTTTGGTTAACTTTACTTAGAAGTTTATTAATATTTATGTTATATTAATTTTTATTCTGTCATATATGATCGTCAAATATCACGTCCTCAAATATCGATAGTAATTCACCAGTCACCCTGTATAATATATATATATGTATTATTATTTTGTCAGGTTTCAAACTGGCTGCGAGTGACCGGACCGAACTCTCCTCGCTCGGCCTTAGCGTCGAAGAACGTCAACCAAAACGTCAGCTTCGGATTCTGAATACATTAATAAATAAAAAACAGCTAAAATATAACATATTGATGATAAACATAACGAACATACAATATATAACATAAGCTGTGACTGTTATAAGACAAATAATATTTTTTTATTAGGAAAATGTCATGTCATTGTTGAAATTATCATGTGACCGAACCATGACTTGGTTGAAATACACGTTACGAAATAGATATAAACAATGATTGTGAGAAAATTTTTGTATATTAATATAACTAGCGGTCACTGAACACTACTGATAGTATGTTGTGATAGTAAATTTAACGCGTCTGACGTGATTAACGAATTAATAGTAGTTCGCTAGATTAAGGCTGTAATAATATACACAGACATTTATATATATAATATATATTAAACAGATTCAGAGTAACGATGGAATTTATAATCTCTGTTTTATAAGTCGATTATTTAATTTATTTGTATTGTTTACCCGTATTGTCATTACTTGCATTTCAAATACAATTCCATTACTAATTCAATGTTCATTTTAGCATTTATCTTTATTATTATTATAGTCGAATGTCGCACTGTTCTTTAATTATAATGTTTGTACTTTTATAATGATAAATTGATGTAAATAATTGTACGTGTTTTTTTTTTTGTTATATTTTATTTCGATTAAACTATATTATTGTATGATGACTGGGTTATGTTTTCTTTATGAGTCCCAGAATTTATCGTCCTCGGAAGTTTTTGGGAGTGATATAGGAGAATTGTTTCCATTGTCGGACGTGATGTTATAGTTGTCGACGTCTGCTGAAAAATCGTCTAAATATTCGTCGGAATCTTTAGCGATTTCGCTGATAGATTCTTCTTTTCCTTTCGATAATTCCAAGTCAATATCTATACTTGATAATATTTTATCCGAGTCACAAGTATTCACATTTTTCTGTATGTCTAATGATAATCCTCTAGAATTACTTCTAGAAGATTCCATATCTTTTGGACCGGTGTGTTTGGGGCTAACTATAACACTTATAGGATATTTCTGTTCGCCGTCCAAATCTCTATTGTCAACTGAACTTTCTATTTCTACAAGGAATTCATGATTTTCAGGAACGATTACATTTTTCTGTTTGTTTTCGATTTCCACGAGTAATAGATTGTTTTTGTGCTCGTTTTCTTCTATTTCGTTATAATTTTTGATATTATTCTCGGTTATTTTACTTTTTATATTGTTTTCAATAAAATCTGTCGGTTCGTCTATGTTTGTAATTTTTTTCGGAGATTTAATTTCAATAGCGTGTGGTTCCGAGACTTTATCAATGAGTTTCGGTTCAAGAGACAGACTTACATCATTAATTGGAGATTTGTTATAATCATTTTGGTGCTTTATTTTTGGGTAAATGTCTATTTTCCTTGGAGATGTTGGTGTATGTATATTTTCTTTGGGAGATATTTCTTTATTATCATCTGTTTTGTATTTATTTTCATTGTTACATCTATTATCAATTATTTGTTCGGCATTTTGTTTATTTAGAGAAGTCTTTCTATCTTTTTCTAAGTCCATTATCGTGTCATTCGTCATAAGATTATTATTAATAACGTCTCGTGTAAGTAGTCTATCATTTTTGTTCTTGTATACGCGGGATTTTTCGCTTACTTCGCTCATTTCCGGATCCGATATTTCCGCAACACGTATACTATTGCTATCCTTGTTTAGTTTATCGTCGTCTCTGTCTATCTGATAGTATTTCCTGAACTCCGTCATTGGCGTTTCCAAGTAGTTGACATCTCGCTTATTGGAAAAACATTTGGGGATCGGGTTAACGTTTTCTAGAACTGAATTCTTATTATTAAACCGCAGTCGACTCAGATCGAATTTCGTGTTGTATTCTTTGAGATACTTGTCGAAATCTTTTTTCATTGATTCCGATGTTTCGTTTATATCTTTTTTGTTGTTTTGCCTTCCGTATATTCCGTAAGATTTAATTTTTACATCTGAAATGAAAAATATAAAATATAAATATTCGTGTAAATAATTGTTAATAATTATACTTTAATAATTCTTTATAGCTCTATTTAACGTGTAAGCAAAGTTCCTTCTCTACAGAAAATATTGGCTGTAATGAAAACTTATTACTTAAGAAAAGAAATCCATCGAAACGAGATCATTTTTGTCAACACATATATCTTTCTATTGTTCGTCATTACAATAGTTTCTTGCCCCACCTGTGTCCTCTGCAACCTGTAAGCCCCGCCCCCCGTGGCCCCGCCCCTCTCTCCCTCTCATCTCCTGTCTCTTTCTATAGTTCTGGTAACTCTTCTCCACAGCCTCTGCTTCTATTTCTAGTTTCCTCAGTCGTAACTTCGCCTCTCTCAGTGTGGATGTGGGACTCTTCTCGCGTATATCCGGTTGAGGTGGATTTGGTTTCGCTGTGCTGCTGTTGTTATTTTATATGGGTTAGTATATTTATAAGGAGAATAAAAAGAATATGTATACACAATTTTTTTGACAAACTACAACTACTACTGTTCATAAGCAATGCCAATACGAGACAATGTTACTGTTAAATTATATAAATATTAACTAAGTAAATAAAGAAAAGTCAGCTGGTTAGTAATCACTTGCGATGACCCCGTTATCCAAACATGTTGAAAGGAGGGGTATTCTTTGATCAAACCATACATTTTGTAGGACAATTTTTTTTCCAATAATTTAGATAATTATCGTAAGATTTAACATAAATAAATCCTGTTAGTAATAAATTTTGGAAAATTAACAAATCAACATATTTAATCGAGAATTATCGCGGAAAAAGTTGCTTCTCACGGAAAATTAGCTCGTACTAAAGAGATTTACTAAATCAAGTGCAAAAAAGAGTACTTATTTCCTACTAGATTTACTAGATTAGTACATACTATACAACTAATTTTTCCGTATTCCAATACACTTATCTACTAACTTCCTCAATCTCTCCTTCGCTTCCCTTAACATTGACTTAGGACTTTTCTCTCTCGATTTGCTCGGCTCTGGAAATGTATGGTAAGTCGCTCTCGATGGTAACTCACTGAAAATATACACATATATAATTAATATATCTTCTCACATATTCTAAAGTATAGATAATTTAAATAATATTGATTAAGAATTGTTAAAGAAGTATCCTTGATAGGTTAAAATGTTGGTATAATATGGACAAAAAATTAGGTCTAAAATATGAGTAGTTCAAAGGTTATTAATGAATCACATATCCCTACTAATATTATAAATGCGGAAGTCACTCTGTCTGTTACGCTTTCACGCCTAAACCACAGAACTGATTTTAATGAAATTTGGTACAGAGATAGAATTGACCTTGAAAAAGAACATAGGATAGTTTTTAGCCCAGACTTTTGAAAGGTTCTCTTGGAAACACGATATAACTGAACTCCAGACGGGCGAAACTGCGGGCGGAAAGCTAGTTGTCTAGAACAATATAATACTCACCCGTATTGTTGATATACAATATCTCTCTCAGGACGAATACCTGAAGTTACTTCGAGGGAATCTCTTCTTTTGTTTGCTGTTAACAATATAATATGTAGTAATGTTTAAATGGTATATATATTTATTATTAGTATTAATTACTATGAATCAATAATATAATTGTTTATACTAACACTCGCTGATATTAGACACGTGACGAGGACGCCACGGGTCCGACACGACACTGGAATCAAAATTAATAAGCGTTATGGAAATAATATTGTAATAGAAGCTTCATTATATACTAGCTGTTGCCAGCGGTTTTGATCGCATATGGAAGATATTTTCAGGTTTTCAGTAAATTCAAACTAATGTGCTAATGGTAAAGAATTTGGAAAACCAGCCTTTAAGCAGCCTGTAATTGGATAACAATTTTTCTAAATTTTCTCATTTTTGATTTAGTCAAAAATAACGTAAGTAGCTCCTTACTTAGAAGTGTATAATTGATATTTAGGAATGAAATTTTTGTCAAATTCATCGAAAAATCAAATAAGTCGACCCAAACAGATTGACAACAATATTTTAAAAATCGCATTTTCAGTGTAAGTGTCGTTTATTTCATATTAATTAAGAACGTTTAATTTAAAGTTATTAACAAAGAACAGACACTTTATTATTTGTATATCTGATTAAATAAAGACGTATAATTATATTTTTTTGTAACGTTATATATATTATATCTATCCGCTGGAAGATATTTTTCCACACACTATTAACCGCGAACCAGTCATTACAGTATCAGACTTATCATATTAAAATGTTTATACAATTTACCGTCGTTCCTCAACTGTAAATCGACGAGACAACACTCCACTGGGACTCACATCCATTCTGAAACATATACTTTACGTATATTATACTACATATTACTAGAAGACCCGGCGAACTTCGTATCGCCCTATAATCAATAAATATCTGTTACGTTTCTTTATTTATATTTTTGGAGTTTACCTATTATTAAAGCCATAAATCTGCTTGTTTTGAAGTGCGACAGAATGATTGACATATTAGTTAGTAGTCAAATCTAATGTCAAAAAAAGGTTTGTATCAACAACTACTAATAAATTAAAAATTAATCAAAAAAACAACAAAAAATTGTGAATCGAAACCATTCCCAGATCCCCTTGAACACATAAAAAATTTCATCAGAATCAGTCCAGTTGTTTGAGAGAAGTTCAGTGGCATACACACTCACAGAAGAATTATATATATAAAGATATTATAGTGTGTGTACGTTTGAGAGAGAGAGAGTGTGTGTGTGTGTGTGTGTGTGTGTCTCACCGAGGCCCTGCAGACGAGTCAGGCACACTAGGCGCGGTCCTAGGTCTGAAGGGAGCGGCCAGAGCTCGCTCGAGGCGATCCCTTTCATTAACCAACGCTTGTATGTAATCTCGTTGCTTGAAAAAAATAAATATAATATAAACATTTATTATAACTTTCAAGCGTACATAACTATTAGATAGTTAATCGATTAATCTAGTGTGGGTGATCTGTGTCGAAAATATATAATAATGTCTTATATTAGTTATTTTTTATTATTAAACTAGCTTCTCTCGCGACTCCGTCTGCGTGCACATCATCATTCTCTGCTACGGCCACTAAATTAGAACTGCACTTCATTTTTTTTTTGGGATCGAAATCGTAATTGTTGCATAAATAACTTAGAAATACTCTTTGCAAGTAAGTCTGATCTTCGAAATTACCTGTCTAGCAAAATTTTTCAATCTATTATTCTCTTGTCTCAGTTCCTCCACATCCGGGCCCCTCACATCTCCCAGTTCCTCGCAATCCCGTGTCTGATCCCGGTTATCCCGTCCCCGGGATTCGCTCCTCTTCCTAACACTTATTCGACAATCGTTCCGGGATTCCTCGGTGTCAACGACCTCGCTGGACGAAGATCTTTCGCTTACATTATAATTGTTTTCGTAATTCGTCTGAAAATTAAAAAATGTATCATTTAATTGTTCATCATTTTCATTCAAGGAAAATTTATACGATAATAGACTTTTGTGTTTGTCTTTAATATCTCTTTATATATATAATTCTTCTGTGCGTGTGTATGTCACTGAACTTCTCTCAAACGACTGGACCGATTTTTATTAAATTTTTTGTGTGTTCAAGGGGATCTGGGATTTTTTTAGATTCACAATTTTGTCCGCTGGACAATGTTTTTTTACTTAATTTTTAATTTATTAGTAGTTGTTGATACAAACGTTTTTTTTTGACATTAGATTTGACAACTAACTAATATGTCAATCATTCTGTCGCACTTCAAACCACGGAGATTTATGGCTTTAATAGGTAAACTCCAAAATATAAATAAAAAAACCTAACAGATATTTCTTGATTATAGGGCGTTAAGAAGTTCGTCGGGTCTTCTAGAATATATACAGGGTGACTGGTGAATTACTATCAATATTTAAGGAGCATACTCGGTACATGATTTTCATTCGAATTATGTAAAAAAAATAGGTACTTAATTTTTGACCAAATTTCCGTATAAATAAATAAAGTGTGTACACGTTCCAAGTGTTCCAAGTGTGGACGCGTGCGGCGGCGTGCTGATACAACACTACGCCGCCGCCGCGTCTGTGTGAGTGTGTGTGTATACCTAATCTGTAGGGTGTTCATACGATGCGTAATTAATTACATAACTTTTGGTTAACTTTACTTAGAAGTTTATTAATATTTATGTTATATTAATTTTTATTTTGTCATATATGATCGACAAATATCACGTCCTCAAATATCGATAGTAATTCACCAGTCACCCTGTATATATACTAGCTACGCCCCGCGGTGTTACCCGCGGATTTCTGGGATGTAAAGTAGCCTATATGTTATACCTGGACGTCAGCTTCCTGTATACAAAATTTTATCAAAATCGGTTCAGCCGTTCGAGCGTGAAGAAGTAACAAACATACACACAAACTTTCGCAATTATATTAGTAGGATATGAGGGTCATTGACCTGCGGGTAGTTAACAGTTTTCTGTATCTTCAGATCATTCACCAGCTGTTTCGTTCTACTCCAGTCGTTGTTACCAATCTCATTATTATACACGGTCCCTCTGTCCGTGTTTGTTCCCCTCTCTGTCACACATCTCCTGTCTCTCTCACTCTCCATACATTTCCTCGCCTCCTCATTCTCCATCTCTTTCCTTTGTTCGTTGATGCTGTCTCTCTCTCTCTTAATGTTCTCCAGATGTTCTTCTAGTACAACCAGTTCGTGTGATATCTGTTGTCTCATTTCCTCGCCGCGTTTCTTCAGAGCGTTTTCAGCTTCTTCTAGTTGGGTTTTCAAACTGCTCTCCTGTAATTAATTGCTAGTCTTTATTTTAATTAATTCGATATCATTAATATATATTGCCGTTAGCTTTAAATCTTTTTAGTGTTGTAATTCATATAAGTCAATCGTTGCCGAGAGTGTGGGTTCGATTCTGGCCCGGGCAGTACCAATGTGATTTTTCAGAGTCATTTGTACTTTCTAAGAATATTTAGACATCACTGATTAATGCTGATTCCCAAAAGAGGGTCGATGTCAGGCAGGCGGCTAGTCGTAAAAACAATTAGCCAAAACTATTTCACAACATGTAAGGCAGACCCTGGCTATAGAAGAAGTGTTGTAATTCATATTGTTTATGATATAATTTATTTTTAGGAGTACATAGATTGAAATTCCACAAATATTTTGATAAGCAGTCGATAGCTCTGTTTTTTGGTCCAATCCAAGGAAATGTATGTATAGCAGAAATGGCTATCATATTCCTGATGGGCCAATATTACATGAACCCTGCCTCTATCCCTAGTACCTCCTTGCAAAGGGTCAAGTATCATTGGTTACCTTCTGTGTAAGTCTGTCGTTCTGTTCCCTTACAGCCGTCATAGCCCGTGTGAGGTTGTCATGTTGTTCCCTCAAACTCCTCGCCAGTCCCCATAGAAAACGTTTTTTTCGCTGAATAGCTTCAGATAATGCGGTTTCGCGCTCTTGAAATGATCTCTCCATCTGTGTATGGAAATATATATATATAACTAGCTTTCCGCCCGCAGCTTCGCCCGCGTCGAGTTCGGTTATATCGCGTTTCCTACAACCTTTCAAAGTCTGGGATAAATACTATCCTATGTTCTTTCTCAAGGTCAACTCTATGTCTGTACCAAATTTCATTAAAATCAGTTCAGTGGTTTAAGCGTGAAAGCGTAACAGACAGACAGACAGAGTTACTTTCACATTTATAATATTAAGTAGGGATTAACTTATTGACACTAGAAGGCACCAAAAATTAAACTGAGTCTAATAAAAAATACATAGATTAAATCATATCACCTTTTCCTTATAGCTTTGCATCTGAAGCGCGTGGCTCGCTATAGAATGTTTAAGTTTTTTCTGTTGTTCCTGTTTAACCATTTCCATTTCAGTTTCATAAACTGTTTTAAGCTCTTGGAACATCTAAAAACAATTAAAAAATATGGCAAAATTGTATAATACGACGAAACATCAAGAATATATAATAATCTAAACAAATAGAGAGAAAATTAATTATACATTTTCTATCAACAATTATATTGAGATGTAAGATCACCTCATCTATTAAATTCTGCTCCAAAACACTGACATTACTCATAAAAGTCTCGACATTAACTGTCTTTATATTATCTTTCTTTGCATTCTGTAATAAAATGATGTTATTACCATAAAAATTACTATTTACTTATATTAAAAACATTATATACACCTATATATTTTAATGAATTCATGATGAAAATACTTCAGACGGGTAAGGGATTAAAATATATAATATAAAAAGTTTACTAACAATTTTCATGTTTTTAAAATTGTGATCCTAGAACTGTTCAGTTTCAAGCAAATAAAAAAAACATGTTTTCATTTCATATGATGAAAGAAAATTCTAGAAATATGTTATAATGAAACATATTAACATCACTTCCATTATGATATTATATTAAATGATAAATTAAGACTCTTATAATGTATACAGGGTGACTGGTGAATTACTATCGATATTTGAGGACGTGATATTTGACGATCATATATGACAAAATAAAAATTAATATAACATTAATATTAATAAACTTCTAAGTAAAGTTAACCAAAAGTTATGTAATTAATTACGCATCGTATGAACACCCTACAGATTAGGTATACACTGACACTCACACATACGCGTGTCGTGACGTGGTGTTGTATCAGCACGCCCCTGCACGCGTCCACACTTGAACACTTGGAACGTGTCAACACTTTATTTATTTATACGGAAATTTTGTCAAAAATTAAGTGCCTATTTTTTTTACATAATTCGAATGAGAATCATGTACCGAGTATTCTCCTTAAATATTGATAGTAATTCACCAGTCACCCTGTATATACATATATATATATATATATATATTGTATATAACTTCTTCACCTTGGCAGCCTTTGCTTTCTTCCACTTATATTTCTCTTTAAGCCGAGCGACTCTGTACTGACAGGCCTTGCAGAACACATAATGCTTACATTTATGACTTAAACGACTTGGTTCATCCACAGTATCGGAACTTTGAACAGAACTATGATCTGATATAGCTGAAACAAATAAATTATATATTGTATTAAATACTTGTTATTTTCAAGTCATATAATATATTTAATAATTCATATAGTCTTAATATATTCTATTTTTCATACAAATCTTACCTCCATGATACAATGACACACATTTAAGAATACAATACAACAACGGTCGCTTTTCATTTTTATACATTTCCACAATCTTCAGAGCATGCTCTGAGCTACATTTCAGACCTGCAAAATTGTGATTTTACTCTGTATATTAGTTTCTATACAATAATAGTGATTTATATGTAAGTTTAAATAAAAATTCACCTATACAATTAAGGACAGACCAAATATCTCCATCATCAAACCTCAAATTGGATACTTTTGACTCAGTCTCAGGATTTAGAAGATTTTTTGTAAAGTTAAACACCATATTTGCTAATGGAACCTCTGATATGAATACAGATATAGTATAGTTGAATTCCTATAAATTTAAGTATAACAATAAATTTAGTATTGAGTGAAATAAAAACTAAAAAAGGGATATAAACGCCGCCTTTGTAAACAACAATTCTGGATGTAAAATAACTATGTAATTTTTCTTACTGTGCAATAAAGAGTATATATAAAATTCAAAAAATCATAATTACCATGGTCAATAAATATTCAATAATTAATATATTCAAAGCTTGAAATGGAAGCTCCAATCGTTGAGCGAAATTCTTTTGGCAAACTGGGAGATCACCTGAAAAAGAAATTCATTAAATTAAATATAAATAAAAAAGAAAAATTACATTTATTAACAGACATTTTTATTGAACTATGTCTAACCTGTCTCAGCACTTTTCAGAATATTTATAATATGCCCCCGTAAATAGGCTCGCAAATCATTTATTATACCATTTTTATCAAAGAGTTCATATATAAACTTTTGAAAATTATCGGACGACTGATTTGAGTCTTGAATACCGAAACCTTCTACAGGATCAAAAGTCTCTTCAGCTTCAGTACAATCCATATTTATTATAATAAATTCATAATATAAAGTCTTTTCTGGTTTTTATTCTTTTCTTTAGTTGAATTTTTTAAAATTTAAAATCACGAAGAATTTCAAAGTTCCCCAACAATTTTCGTATGACATATCTTTGTTGTCAGTTCCGGTTGCCATTGGCACCACAGAAAATATGGTTCGTTATTTTTAGGATTAAAATATAAATTAATGAAAATAATAATAATAATAATAATTTAATAATTTTTCTTAATAATATTGAAATATATTTTTTTTTACTTATAAACATTATTCAATATAACTTCACATAATATTTATTACTTCCATAATCTACCAATATTTCATCTGTCACTTCAACAGTCCCTGTGGCGCAGAGGATAGCGCGTTGGACTTCTAATCCAAAGGTCGTGGGTTCGATCCCCACCAGGGATGACTAAATTTATTTTTGTTTTGTTTGATTGGATTTGTTACTCTGAAATAAGTAAAAAAGATACAAAGTGAATTATAGAAGCCTTTTCGTTTTTCTCTTGGGAATCCATTGTATTCTATTAAAACATAATTAAATAAATGTATAGAAAAAAAACATATTTCCACTTATTTCTTCACAGATTCACGGGAATGAGAATAAAACAAAAAATTATAATATCTTTAACAAGTATGTGTAACGTTCTTACTTTTTTTCAATAAATTGTGCCTATAACAAATTATGTTGGTATTATTTTTTTGTTCAATATTCATAATAATCTTAACTTCGAGAGCTTAATCACTTAATATATTCAAAGGGATAATGGTAGATAATGTTATTGCCCTAATATAATTTAAATTAAGTATATAAGAAAATAATATTTCTATATATTATGAGACTTTTAACAATTTAAAGCAATATCTCTTAGTTTTGAAAAAAATAATAAGTACTTTTATTAAAGGACAAGCTAAACTTGTTACATTTAATTCTTGTAAAGGATACGGGTATTTCACATAATTATTACCTACATAAAAATTTGCTTAAATGTTATAAGTAGGTACCAACAACTGTTCCTTTATCACAAATATGCATTGTCTAACTACATTGCCGTTTAATGTACAAACGTGCTTTTTGAATGTGTCGCTCAATTAAATAATTGGAAACTTTCCGTATAAAGTTTGACGATGCAAATTTGTCCTAAAAGCACTGTATTTCGAAGAAAGGAACGAAGATTTAATGAATGTGTTTTTTAGCCTCGAAGTGAATAACTTAAAATAACTACCAAAAGTTATAGGTTCCGACTTCTGATCATTAAATCGTCTTATGCTTAAATGAAACTAAGTTTCTCGGATACAAAGCGTTTTTTATTATTTTATATCCATATAATACCGACGTTTCAGTTCTTTTATATAGCAACCGCAGTCACAGGAAAACGGGATCAAAGTCTTCATTTCGTTATAATGTCACTTTTATCTCATAATAATAGCTCATTCCTGTAAAAATCGCGGTCAATGACGAATATTTATATAATATCCCAGAATAAATATTTGTAAATATTAATTACCATTTCAAAAAAAATCAAGTATAAAACAATATTGTATATGTGTAAATATTGGATTGACATCGAAGTAAACAATATAATTATTTTTAAAGTCTTTAACTATGTATAATTGTCATAAATTTGTATGAATCAAATGTTGGATCAGAAAATGCTTATGGTTTTTTCTTATATTATTCACATTTTTTCTATTAACTATTTCTTTGAAAATCTTCACACATACGTCAATTGTCAAGTGTCATTTTCACAAAATCTGTTTCACATGAAAACATAATCATCAATTAGCAAATACCTAATAGGTATGTGGTTCACTGACAATATTTTGATAACGAAACTATTAAGTTTTATATAAATTCCAGAATCGCCTTTAATACGTTTTAAATACCTCTACAATATGAGACGGCGGGCAGGAGTTGGTGCTATTCAAAAACAGAGACTTGAGCAGGAGAAGTATAGAGAAAAAGGTTCCGAAATCCAGGAGAACCAATTTCAACAGATGTCCAAGCAATTAGATGTTTTCAGAGAAAACTTGGAAGAATTTGCCTCTAAACATAAGAATGAAATTAAGAAAAACGCTCAGTTTAGGCGTCAATTTCAAGAAATGTGTGCTGCAATCGGCGTTGACCCATTGGCCTCTGGGAAAGGATTCTGGTCAGTTTTAGGTGTGGTATTTATTTGTTATAGGTATTTTTAACAATAATTATACGACAGTCTAGTTAGTTCATTTATTCCCTTGTTTACCTTTACTTTACCCATCTCAACCTTATTAGAAATCTTAGCTTTGTTTATAAGTTAATTATCATCATACCTAACATTATTATATCATCCAATTCTTACAAAAACATAAAATAATTATATTCCATTAATCAAATATAATACAAAAGTAAATACCACTTTTTCCAGGCATTGGTGATTTTTACTATGAGCTTGGTGTGCAAATAGTTGAGGTGTGTCTCGCTACGAATTATAAAAATGGTGGTCTTATAACGTTGGATGAATTAAGAAGTAGATTGATAGCCGCTAGAGGCAGAGCGAAGAAACATCAGGATATTACTAATGAAGATCTTCTTGCGGCTGTTAAAAAGCTTAAGATATTTGGCAATGGGTTAGTAAATTGGATATTATTGAAATAAAACGAATATTTCAAATTATTTTTAACAACATAATCAAAATGTTTCATTTACTTTGCATCAATCATGATCATGCACAGATGAGATGAGAATGTCTGTCATTCAGACATCTAAATATTAAGTTTTATTTTGATAAATACCCAAAATCTTAGATCACAAAGGTTGTTATTCATACTTAATCAATAGAGAATGTTATTTTTATAATTTTTGAATTTCAATATTTTTCCAAAATTAAAGAGCAATTTTCTAAAGAAAATAACATAATAGGATAAGAAATTATTACCTTACAAAAAGAACATTTATATGTAAAGGAATAAGGATGTCAAAATTCTTATTTTTCATACTGTAAGTCATGAAAAGAATTAAAGATTTCAAATTTTATATATTACAGTTTTACAGTTGTATCAGTTGGTAAAGGGAGGTGGTTAGTACAATCTATACCAGGAGAACTGAATTTAGATCAAACATTAGTACTTCAAAAGGCTAGTGCTCTCGGTAAAGCTTGGATTTCTAAATCAGTACTCATCAATGATCTGGGGTAAGTCAATTTTATACTAATTTTTAAACTTTTGACATACTTATTATTCAATAAAACTATACCAAATTTGTCATGTATGTATTGTACTAAGTAGCTAATTGAATGACCGAAATTAATATATTAAATTAATTTACCTACAATTTGACATCATATTATTTTAATGATACATAGCAATTGTAACTCATACATAATAGGTGAGTATATAAAAGTATTGTTCTATTCTTTGTTTTTGTCATGAAAATATTATGAAATTAATTTAAAAACCCTTCAAATAATTTCCTATGAAAAAAAAAACAGTTGAAATTTACAATAAATTACATTTATAATTTTCTTTCCAGTTGGAATGAAACAAGAGCTCTGAATGCTTTGAATCATATGGTTAAAGAAGGTTTGGCTTGGATTGACACTCAACATTACTGTGAAATTTTATATTGGTTTCCGAGTATGTTCAATGAATGTGTTACAGCATCATAATTATATAGAATTGTTAATATATTGAGATCTATATATATGTAATAGATATGAAATTGTATATAATACGAGTAATAAAGGTCTTTGTTAATATTGTAAATATATTTATTAATTCAACTAAACTAATATTGCACAATATTTCAACTTCCGTCACTCATACTGGGAGAGCTAATTTGTGGTATATTCAATTGTAACTTCAATTCTTTGTTTTCCCGTTGTAGTGAACACAATCTCTGTTTTAATTTCTCCGTCATATCTATGTATGATTCTTTCCACCTGAAAAAGAATTGTTATATGGCATTAATTAATTCGTATTAACTAGTTAGTAATGTGTTAGTTTTCATCCAAATCATTGTACACTTGAGAATTTATTTGCTAGATTTAATAAAGGACTAAACATGTGTCTGGCTATATATGTAACTTAGCTGTTTTAAACCTGTATGAAGTGCTAATATATGTTTATTCAAATTATAATTTCAATCATATTAACTCAAACACTGGATGATAAAAGTATTGATAAACATTGAAAAATAAAAATGAAATAAAAAAAAAACTAATGGATTTTTATAACTTTAGTTTGTATAATAAATAGTGAAGTAAAATCAGTCTTATATTTTAAACAAATATATCAAAAAATGCCAAGGTAGTAATTTTTATTTGATTGACTAGTTATTTTTCAGGAGTATATTCTATTGTTTTTTTTTATTCTATCTGATATAGGTATTTTGTATTATATGAGTACCATATCTCATTTAATTGTTCTAATTTAATATTTTGTATGTGGGGATTGACAAAATGCTCTTTATATTGAAAAAATATGAGTTTCGATAGATTTAGGTAAAATACTAATAGCCATAGTTTTGTTATAGTAAAGTTTGTATTCATACTTACTTCTTATTGAGTTCCATTTGGTTTTCCAGGTGTTTGTTCAATTCCATTAGCTCTTCCTCTTTAGTTGAAACCATTCTGAAAGTGAATGGAAAAATTATGGTCAAACTCAACTTATGTATGAAAATATATAATTAACTTTATTGAGTAAAGCGAGTTAAACGCTATACTAGCGATTTAGGTCATTCGTCCACGGAGATGTTCTTGGCAAACAAATGTCTTGAATCGAGGTTTTTTGGTTCGTTAGCCCAGTTTTATAGGGTGGATTTTATCACAAAAAAATTTATTGAACCACCAATTTGATTAATAGACCAAGAAACGGAACCTATGCCCAAAAAACCGCAAAGGTCGCTTCACTCAATATGTACCGAGAACTTTTTCGTTCGAATCGAAAAAAATATATGTGAAAGTACATGTCTCAGTAAGGAATCTTTTTAGTTATATATAATAAACATACTTTTGATTCAACTCAGTCCTCGAAGATAACATAGACTGCAGCTTCGTTATCATTTCATGTGATTCGTTCAATGATTTTTGAAGATGATCTACTTGGAGCCTGGAAATACAATACTTACACTCTACTTACATAAAATTTAATTTTATTAAACTCAATACTAAGTGAACATTAAAATAATGCAATAATAATAATAGAAAAACGACAGTCAAGTTTAATATATGTTGCAATAATAAGAAATGAGTATTCAGCCATCAAAATATTTATTTTATTTTGACAATGAGCTTAATTAAATATAATAGAATTTCTATGAACCCAGATAGTAGTTAGAATTAATATTGATTTTTACTTAAGTTCCTCTATCTGTGTTTTCATCAGATTTTCCTCCCATTCCCATCGTTTCCTCTCCCTAGTGTGAACATCCTGTATTCTCTGTATATCTAACACGAGACATTGTTTCTCACACACAACCTGTATATTACGTCTCTCCGAACACACCTACAATTTTACGACTTGTAGGTATAAAGCGTTTCATATGGTTGAGCTTATAAATAATATTAGCAATGATAAGTAATGTAATAATTTGATATATATTTTACATTATATTTGTATTATTGGTATATATAGAGTCAATTATTTTTGTTTTTGGATAAAATTGGAATAACTAACACAGTTGAAGGGGTCCTTCATGGACCCATATAAAGTTCACATTTATATATGTATAAACTTATAAAGTGACAATTTTAGTTATTTTGTGTAATATATGTATTAGTTAATAAATTAATTGATTTACCAGTTCCTGAAACATTGCCTCCAATCTCTGTTCAGCCAGAGCGAGTTTTGGATCTACTGAGCTCATATCATTTTGTTGTTGTTTCATATAATTTTCATTACTAGTTTGCAACACTTTATTTTCCCTGTTAAAATATAATGAGAGGGGATAATGCAGAGATATTTAGATAGATTCTAATGAATAATAGTTTTGTGGATTGTTTTGAAACATTATAAAACAAAACTAATCCGTGATTACGGTTGATGTAAAGTAGCCGAAACGTCGGGAGTATGTAGCTTTATACAAAAAAAAGCCGCATAGTATTATCCGAAAAATATTAATTTAATCTAAATGAATAAAAGTAGCGAAAATCTTGGATCTCATTATTATTAAAACTACTTAAAGAGCAATGTATATAAATATTTTACAATTTGATCATTATATAATTTGTAGGAAAATTGTTGATAAATCTGTTATATTGAAGAAACTTTTACATACATTTAATAATGAGAAATATTGCAAGATATCATTAATGAAAATTATAATTCATAGAATTTTTATATCACCTCATTGTTTTGTTTAACAAAAGTCCCTTTTCAACTAGCTCTGCGTCCAAATTCCTTATATGTTGCAGCATGTCTGACACTTTTTCATTATAATTTTGTTTTAATTCATCTAATTCCTTTCTATAATTTGCTTCTGCCTTTCTTTCTATGTGACATATAGTCTGTTTAAGACTATTTAGTTCTTCTGAAATATTAAAATTAAGTTAATATTGATCTGATTTGTATATTTTTCTACATTTTGATATCAAACCTGTGATTTCGGCGATTTTTTTATATGCTTCATTCTTTTGGGTTGTCACTACATCAAACAGTTGTAAGGCTTCTGCAACCTTAGAAAGATCGATTTTAAACTTTATGTTTATAATTTTAAGGTTGAATATCATTATTATTTTACTCTACCTTAGTTTTAGCCTCTGCCTCTTTTTTGATTTTATCAACACATTCTTTTTGACTCAAAAGTAATTGTTCTTTGATATCGTCCCTACTCTTTCTCTCAGTTGTTAAACTTATTTTATATTCATCTAAAGATTTCTTTAAATTATCCACTTCTATTTCTAGTGCATTACATTTTTCTTTATAGTGTATTATATCTTTTTCTTTATCTTTTAATTCCTTTTCTACGTGATTTAGTTCTGAGTGTATTTTTTTGTATTTCGTCTCCAATTCTACGTAATCTGATAGCGCTGTGTCAAGTTTATATTCCAAATCTCTTTTGTCGTTTGAATTCTTTAATTATTAAAACCGAAATGGTATATATTATTAAAATAGTCACATTAAATATTAATATAAAGATTTTTTTTTAACTACCTGTTTTCCATGACCGTCATCATAGTTTTGATACGCTTTCAGTTCAACATCCAAAGCATCGATGGTCTTCTGAGATGTCTGCCAAAGAACATGTAAAGAATCTCGTTCCTGAAATAAATAAAATTAAATTTTATTGGCATATTATAAAAATTCTCGACGTATTTTCTTAGATGAAAATTACTGCTAGCCGTAATTATCGTATTCTCACTTTAGAATAGTTAAATTAATTGTAATTAAGTAATTCGAGGTTTAAAAGTGGATTCGTAATTTTAGTTTACATTTTTACTGACATTCACATAATTTATCAAAAATTCGCAATTTATTTTGCCCTAACCTATTCTGATCGTTATGAAAATAAGCCGTTAATATCACCTTGGTAAGTAAATTGACTTGTTTCTTTAATTCCTCTAGTTCTTCCCTCTGATCATTGTCCAAAGATTGTTGTGCAAATTGCAGCTTCTCTTTCAATAACACTCCCACTTGTTGGGATAACTTTTGATTATCGGCGATTAAATTTTTTATTTCTTGATCTACTAGTGTTTGATTTTGCTGAAAAATTTATACCCAAGTTACAGACACGGTAGAAATGTATTGTAGTACATTAAAGCTTTAGGTGGTTCTTTACTCTGTGAAATTCGACTTCGGCTTGGAGTGCTTTTAGATTAGAATTATGTCTTTCGTCCATTGCATTATTTATAAATTTAATATACTATTTTTGCTGTAACTTTATACTACTTATGTATAAATCTTTGTATTTTTCAATGTAAAGCAATATATGCGGTTTCATTGTTTACATTTCGCGCGTCTATGTATCAAAATAGTTGCTAGGTAACAAGCATTACGTTCCCTTTCATTTCTGACTAATATTTCTTTAACTTTATTTTTATGTTTCAAAATTATGTTTATATATTAAATATTAATTTTCGTACTTAATAACAATTTTTATGTGTATTATATTTGACAATTTTAAAAATAGTATTTAGCGTAAAACCTTATCATTGGAACATAATATTATGAATTTGTTATCAGATTTGACAGATCAATATTTGCCAAATTGCTTTGGAATGTATCTCGGGATTTCTCATTATTTTCACTATAGAAAAATGTAAATTCTGTGTTAAATATCATTTAAACAATAAGATTGGAAATACATAATGACTAGGTAATGTTTAACATAAAGATAAAAAAATAATCTCCCTAATATTAATTAGTTTCGACCGGTATATTTATGTGCAGTCTTATATATTTTATAGCCTTTATATTGATATCAGAGATGATCAATGGCCATTAGTGTATGATGACAACTATAATGTTTCTTTTTGTGGCTTTGAAAAGTTTCATGTCTTCGATGCAAAGAAGTGGCGTAACATAGTACAGGTATCTTTCTATAACAGCCTCTATATCATATTTTTTTAGGAAATTTGTTTAGTTTTTATTGCTTTATTTCAGTATCTCATAGACGGTGAGTTTATAACACGGGAATGTCTTGTGAAGCCAAATGAAGCTAAAGAGAATGAGCTCTTATTGGTACATACAAAAAAGTACCTTAAATCATTAAAAGTAAGTTTTGACTTGGGTCTAATTAATTATTAAAAACTACTGAAAAATTTTACCATTACATAGCCAATAATCATGAACTCAAAAAATTATTTGTAATCTATTATATGTAATTATGTTTTAACTTAATTGCTATGTTGAGTTCATACTTGCACTAAAATTCTTGTTAAACATATATAGAATGAAAAATTCCTTGATATAAGCAGGATTTGAATCTGCGAGGGCTGGAATATCATATTTTTAGTTGCTTTTACCAATAATCCTCCTGTAGTTTCAATTTTCAATTTAATTTTTGAACTAAAATTTTCAGTGGAGTGGCAAAGTTGCAATGATAGCAGAAGTACCAGTAATAGCTTGTGTACCCAATATATTAGTTCAAAAGGCCTATTTGAAACCTATGAGGTAATTTAAAAAGTATATATCTTAAAAATGTCTTATAATTTTATGCATACACATTATCTGTTAAATGCTTAATAAACCATGGTTATAATTTATTCTACTTTTAAAATATATTTTTTTAATTGTATGTTTGAAAATATATATCATAGAGTTGAACAATTATTCAACCATTTTAATATTTTTTTAATGTCAGTTTTAATCCTCCTTATATTATAAATATGATAATATAGAAAACTGACTAGAGATATATATGTTTTTTCTTTGAGATTTTCAGCACTGTAATTAACAGACTCAGATTAGGTGTATTTCTATTTTGGGCATAATATTGACAATAAATCTTAAAGAGGTTTAATAGGTTACATAATTACCATGTCATTTTTTGCTTAGTTTGGTATATAATAATTATATACAATTATTCTAGATTACAAACGGGTGGTACAATCTTAGCTGGTAAGTTGGCTTTAGAGCGAGGCTGGGCGATCAATATAGGTGGGGGATTCCATCATTGTAGTGCAGGAAAAGGAGGTGGATTTTGTGCATATGCAGACATAACACTGCTTATCAAGAACTTAGTATTGCATAGAGGAGTTCAGAACACTATGATTGTTGATTTAGATGCGCATCAGGTATGAATACTGAAGATATACTTATTTATATATATATATATATATATTTGTTTATTATTAATAATAATTTAAAAGATATACCTAACTTTAACTCTTTACTTCTAATGGCTTTAAAAGTTGTCTAGTTATAATTTATACTTAGTCTTTGATTTTTATGATTATTATTATTATTTAATTAAATTATATTTCTTCAGGGTAATGGCTACGAACGTGATTTCTTGGGTGTTCCGGAGGTTTATATAATGGATATGTATAACAGACACATCTACCCAAGAGATGAGGAAGCCAAAAGGGCCATCAGAAGGAAGATAGAACTCGGCAACAAGGTTGATGACCTGGAATATATGATCAAGTTGAGGAAGTTAGTATATTTCTATTCTTTTATTAATATTTTGTTGTATTTGTGCCAAAATAATACTTAATTTGTACCACTAGCGCCCTCTAGTTTAGTAATATTAACTATAGTCATTTTGCTGCTAAGTCGATAACAAATAGAATATATTTTTAGTCTGTGATGAGCACTTAAATCGTTCTATTTTTATTTTATTCATATTTAATTTTGTGTATTTGAAAGAAGGTTTTTATGTAAATCTGTGTCTAATATGATATGAAATGAATAACAAATTAGTTCTCATAATTTTATATTCTGTTAGAAACATTGGATATTTACATTATTATAAGATTATAGATTCAAAGATTTTTGTATTAAATCAAAATAAAAGGACGTGATTAACGGTTTATAATAAATTTTGGACTATATATAGAATAAGTATTCAAAAACACCTACCGCCATCTATTAACAGAAGAAATAATCTGAGAAAACTGACTTTTTTTCTATTACTGTTTCGAATATTTGAACTTATTATTTTGATGCAATTGAATGTGGTAGGTACATGTCAGCCCCCATTCCAGATACAGTGATAATATTAATGATTTTTTATCTACATATATGTCTTAGGTAAAATATATGTGCTTCTAAAGTTGCAATGAAAACCATCAAGTAGTTTCTGAGTATAAGAGTAACAAATATCTACACATACATTATATTTTTATGTATATTGTTCTAGAAATCTAAGGGAAGCTTTAAAGGAATTCAAACCAGATATCTTGGTGTATAACGCTGGCACTGATATACTAGACTCAGATCCCTTAGGACATATGAGGATCAGTGATGTTGTGAGTATATAAAGGGTGACTGGTGAATTACTATCGATATTTGAGGACGTGATATTTGACGATCATATATGACAGAATAAAAATTAATATAATATAAATATTAATAAACTTCTAAGTAAAGTTAACCAAAAGTTATGTAATTAATTACGCATCGTGTGAACACCCTACAGATTAGGTTTACACACACACACACACTCGCGCGCGGCGGCGTGTTGTTGTATCAGCACGCCGCCGCACGCGTCCACACTTGGAACACTTGGAACGTGTACACACTTTATTTATTTATACGGAAATTTGAATAATGTCTAAAGTCTAGTCAATTTACTTGATTTATTTTAGTTTTTTTTAATTTCTTTGTTTTCATATAATTACATTTAAAAATTGTTATATATAAATATATTATTGTATAAGTATATATTTTATTTGGTATATTATAATTTTGTATATGCATTATGAATTCAAGCTTTGAATCATTTTATTCTGCAAGAGATGGTGATGACGACATCTCTTTTCTAAGTGCTGATGATAATTTTCAGTTACTAGGAGATTTGCTGTCTAATGAACTCTCACATTTTCGTAAGAATTTAAATATTTGTCACATCAATGCGCAAAGTGTTCCAAGTCATTTTTCCGATCTCTATTCTACATTTAACCAGGCATCCATTCACGCTGTTCTTATTTCCGAGTCCTGGTTAAAACCTTCTCTTCATTCTACTTCTTTTTCTATACCTAATTACATCTTAATCAGGAATGATCGAATCGGAAAAACTGGTGGGGGTGTTGCAATATATTTAAAAAGTCACATCCCTTACAAACTTATTTGTCAATCATCTTCCCAGTATAACGCATCTTCTGAATATTTATTCATCGAGATAGATGTGGGCACCAAGATAGCCCTTGGAGTGGTCTATTGTCCCCCCAATATCAATTATTTTTCTTCTCTTGAGTCCCTCTTCGAGAATCTGATGCCTAAGTACACTAATCTTATTGTAATGGGGGATATCAACACCTGTCTGATCAAGAGTAATTATCGGTCGTCTAGGCTCAGATTTATACTAGACTCCTTTAACCTTCAGGTTTTACCGCTCACTGCAACACACCACCCGATCGATGGTCCCGATAGTCTCTTAGACTTAATTATAACGTCTAAAGGTGACTTGGTCTCTAAATTTGGTCAGTTATCAGCGCCGGAATTCTCTCACCACGATCTAATATTCGCTTCCTTTAAATTCAGATCACCTAAGCCCAAACCCAAGATGATGCTGCTGCGAAGCTACCGTTCTCTAGATCTCGATAGGTTATTGGACGATGCTACTCTTATTCCGTGGACGCAGATAGAGGAGTTGTCGTCAATTGACGAAAAGTTGCATTTTCTGTGGTCTAAACTAATGGAATTATTCGACCGACACTCGCCTCTACGCCTTGTTAAAATAAAAAATTCTTCAAACCTTTGGTTTAACGACGATTTAAGAAAAGCGAGAGCCAAGAGGGATAAAGCCTTTCGTAAGTATAAGAGGGACCGTTCTGCTCTCAACTGGTCAGCATATAAAGCTGCAAGGAATCGCTGCAATCAGTTGTGTAGGAAGCTCAAACGCCGATATTTCTTTGACAAAATACGTGGATCTTCTCCCGAGGAAGCTTTAAAATTTTTAAATACCCTCGGTATCGGCAAGTCTCAACCTTACTCTGACCAATCTCAATTGGATTTAAACAATCTCAATCTTCACTTCTCTTCACCTCCAGTCCTCGACTTACAAACTAAACTTTCAACGCTTTCTGAAATACATGGCTTGCCTAGAATCACTTCTCCATCCTTTCAATTTTCTCCTATTACTGAAAATGATGTTAAGAAAACCATTCTTTCGATCAAATCTAAGGCGGTTGGTTGCGATGGTATAAGTCGAGTTATGATTACCCTTATCCTCAACTTTCTAATTCCCCCCATAACTCATATCGTAAACTTCTCCTTTACCACGAGTACATTTCCTGAGATGTGGCGCAAGGCTTTTGTTCTCCCACTCCCTAAAATATCAAATCCTTCGCTACCCTCTCATTTTCGTCCTATAACAATTCTCCCCTTTTTATCCAAAATCCTGGAGTCCATTGCACACCAACAAATCTCTTGCTACCTTCATAAATGCGACTTATTCAATCCACTCCAATCGGGCTTTCGCCTAGGTCACAGCACAACAACAGCATTGTTAAAGGTCACGGACGATATTCGTATTGCCATGGAAAACCAGCAACTCACAGTGCTCGTGCTAATCGACTTTAGCAATGCTTTCAATGCAGTAGACCATGATCTCCTTCTTGCATTTCTTTCCCATGCTAACTTGTCAGACTCTACCGTTGAATGGTTTTCTTCTTATCTCCGAGGACGTCGGCAATCCACACGCATCGGTCAGCTACAATCTGATTGGTGCGACGTGAGTGCCGGCGTTCCTCAAGGCGGCATATTATCTCCTCTGTTATTTTCTGTTTTTATAAACGCCATCACTAAAATTTTAACTTCGCACTACCATCTGTATGCCGATGACTTGCAGCTCTACGAACACTCTACTGTCAATGATCTTGCCGCGGCTATTAGCTCCCTGAATGATAATCTCCACCGCATTTCTCTTTGGTCCGCTAAATATGGTATCACTGTCAATCCCTCCAAGTGTCAAGCCATCATTATAGGCAGCGGGAGACAGTTAGCGAAGCTAGATGTTCCGACTCTGCCCAGCCTACGATATAATAATATACCAATAGAGTTCAGCAGTAGTGTTAAAGACCTCGGCATTATCATTGACAGTAAACTCAGTTGGGGGGAACATATTAAAGAAGTTTCTCGCAGGTTTTATGCCACTATGCATTCCATGATGCGTTTAAAAAATTTTTTGCCCATGGAAACTAAAATCCAGCTGGCTTCTACCCTCTTGGTTCCAATTATTGACTACGGTGACTCCTGTTACTTAGACCTGTCGGAAGATCACCTTCAAAAACTTAATCGTCTTCTAAACAACGGCATTCGCTTCATCTTTAGTTTACGCAAGTTCGACCACGTTTCTCGTTTTAGGAAGCAGTTACACTGGCTTCCTATACGGGAACGTAGGTATACTAGGATTCTATGTCTTCTCTACTCTATTCTTACCGACCCTAATGCTCCCACCTATCTATCCTCTAAATTTTCTCTTCTCTCCTCTACTCATAATAAGCCCCTACGATCCTCTCAATCCCTTACCCTTTTCATACCTCCCCATAAATCTGGCTTTGTTTCCAACTCCTTCTCTTTAGTCGCAGCCCGGCTTTGGAACACTTTGCCTGACTCTATTCGTAGAGCCCCTTCGCGCGATTCTTTCAAGCGTCAAGTGAAAGAATTTTATCTGTCGTCTGTCAACACTATGTGATGTCTTTTCTTCTGTACTATTGTCATTATTGGATTCATATATATATGTATATATTTGTGTATATATGTTAAATATTTATGTACTTGTATATGTATTTGTTTGTGCATATTTATGTATATTATGTATATGTATATGTATATGTATATGTATATGTATATGTATATGTATATGTATGTATTTTATATCATGTATATATTTTTAATGTTTCTTTAACTTCTGTGCACACCCTACTTACTTCTATCCTACACTTTCTGGGTTGGCTGGCAGAAAATGCTGTAATAGCGTTAAGTCCGCCCTTTGTACACCTCTGTTTGTGCAATAAAGAATAATAAAAAAAAAAAAAAAAAAATAATTCGAATGAGAATCATGTACCGAGTATGCTCCTTAAATATTGATAGTAATTCACCAGTCACCCTGTATACATGAAATTTATCCAATTTTAGAGTTTTTTTATATGTATTTATATTCATAGTTGGCAATTTCAGTAGTTTTTTGATAGTTTGTGTTACCAGGCTTTTATATATAAATTTATGTGTTTAATAAAATGTTAATAAAAGTCAGTGGTGGCCTAGTGGTTAAAGGGCCCGCCTCTCGTTGCCATGCGGATTCAAACCTGGCAAGTACCAATGTGATTTTTCGGAGTCATATTATGTATTTTCTAAGAGTATTTAGACATCACTGACATACGGTGAAGGAAAACATCGTGAGGAAACCTGGACTTATAATTTATAATTATAAGTTTAAAATCACCAACCCGTTTTGAGCAAGCGTGGTGATTAATGCTCAAACCTTCTCCACGTGAGAAAGAGGCCTTTGCTCAGCAGTGGGCTCTGATAGGCTGTTGATGATGACGAAAATATTAAGTTCATATCCTTTGAAAATTTAATTCTATTGTCATAATATCCTTTACATTATTCTGTACTGTATTTGTATTTTATATTTGATATTAATTATCATCCTAAAAGTTTTACCATAGGATTATATTTAATTAAATAGTAATATATATGTAATGTAAATGATAAAATATTCCAGGGTATAATAAAACGTGATGAATTCGTGTTCGAGATCTGCAAGGAACAAGATATTCCAGTAGTCATGTTAACTAGCGGTGGTTATTTAAGAAGAACGGCCAAAATTATAGCAGACTCTATAATGAACCTCAAGAATAAAGGCCTCATTGGATGTACGAGGAACCAAAAGTATTAGATTAGGTTCAGTTTTCTCTATACATTTGTATATGGAGTGATAGCTCAGTGCGACAAGTGGCGGCGTTATAAAGGTTCGAATACAGTTAGTAGATTTTCATGAAATATCAAATTATATCTAGTTACTTATTTTTTTATGTAAACGTTATACTGATGTATTGTTTTTATTTGATTTTTTTTTATTGTTATTTTTTATTATGATTATACATTTGTTATTTTTTATAACGATTTGTTTTATTAAGTTTATTACTTAAATTAAATCCCATGCACATTTAGTGTTTCTAAATATGTTTTTATTTTTATATAACAGATTTTTTTCACAGTGTATTGCTATAATATATATTATTTGACTTAATTCAAATATGTTTTGTATTACAAGGTATCGAATGCCAATACAAATTTTTGTCATCATAGTACATTAGTTGTATTATAAACTAATGTATTCTATTGTGTAGGTACGTTATTTTATTGTGTACTTTTAAAAATTAGATCATTTATGATTGTGAAGTATAAAGGTGCTAGTGAATTTCCCTTTATTAAATCTTATCTCAGAGTGCCAAAAAATTAAGCCTCTACTGAAAAAAGTTGTATCTGAAAATTTATTAGGTAGAAAGTTAGTTACGCTTAACTTAATTTTCACGTGCCAAGTTTTTATTTATATACGTGTACAGAAAAAAAACTTCAAACATGCGTGTTTTAAATTGTGATATCAATAGGAATTAAATTCCAAATAAAACTATTTATTTTTCTCTTAACATTTGTTTTATTTCATAACTTTAAATACAATTTATTACAAAAAAAATTGATGAATAAACCAAACATAACTTTTCGAATAATTGAACATGTATTGTAGTTAGTAGTATAGTAGTAGTATTATCTAGTAGTAGTATTGAACTGCGCGTAGTAGTCGTCAGTAGGCGTGTTATTATAAACTACTTCCTTGAAGTACTTTTCTTTCTCCTTCTGTTGTAGCGCCATTAGTTGGTTTTCTTCCATCAACTGTCTCGCTATATCTCTGAAATATTAATATTTTCATTTTTCATGTATATCTATGATGTGATCTAATCTAATCTCTGTCATCTATACTAATAAATTAAATTGAATTGTCTCTTATCACTATATGTATATGAAAGTATTTACAATAGCGTATAAAACCTCACTAAATAATTAACTCGTATCTCAAAGATTTTATATAGGGGATGACAAATCCGCAGAAACTAACTAGTGTATGAAATAGATTAGGTAACTTGGATTACAAATAATTAATAAACTTTGCTCATAAAAGGATTAGTTATAAATTAAAGGAAATATATTTTGTTGTATCAAACTCGAATGAAATTATACTTGATTCATTAAGTCCTTTTATATAATTTCGGCCATTTTGGTTTGTAAGATTGAAATAACTTGTCTTCATAATATTATAGTAATAAAATTGATACTAAGAAACATAAAATCCAAAATACCCCTTGCAGTTAGCTTTTAATACTGACACAAATGAGATTTGAAGTTGCGATTTCCAGAATAAAGATTTTCAGTCTCTGTAAGAATTAAGCTATCGTGATATCATTAAAAGGAAGGAAAACATCGTGAGGAAACCTGGACTTATAGTTTCACAATTATAAGTTTGAAATCACCAATCCGTCTCGAGCAAGCGTGGTGATTAATGCTCAAACCTTCTCCATGTGAGAAGAGGCCTTTGCTCAACAGTGGGCTCTGATAGGTTGATGATGATGATATCATGAACTAACCTTCTCTTCCTTTGATCTTCTATATCAAGTCTCGCCACTTCTCTCTGTATTGATTTAGCCAGAGCCTGCCACTCAGCCTCCATTTTTTCCTCTCCTTCTCGTTTTGCCTTTTAGATAAAAATAACATGTCTATTAAGGAAATTGTAGAACTAAGATTTATATTGTCACGCACAGTCAAATTCTATTTTTGTCCTTTATATTTCTGCACAAAATGTAACTAAATAAAGTAAAACCTTCCATAGTATAAATATAATAGTTACCTTAGCAGCAGCCATTTGTTCCTTCTGTGCTGCGTAGAACTTTTTCAATTCTTCCTGGTTCATACCTTTATACATGAAACCGATTGCTCTGAAATTTACAACTAGAGTCGATTACGGATTTCATTTATTAAAGTTAGCTTAAAGATAAAAATTAAACAAAATACTCGTTGTAATCCGAATAATATTGGTTTCATTTAAACACAGTGATTATTTCAAACCTATTCTTTCCAAGGGCGCTCTTCGCTACATCTGGGTTTTCAGTCAACATATCTGATGTCAGATTATTGTACATCTCGGCCGCGTTGTCTGCTTCCTCCTGTTCCTTCATGATCTGCTCCAATTGTTTCTTCTCAGCTGCCTGGAAATAGCATGAGCAGAGACTATAAGCATTCACAAATCTTCTTCTTCTTGGCAATTTCCCAGCTTTAGCCAGGGTCTGCCTTACATGTTGTGAATAGTTTTTGGCTAATTGTTTTTACGACTGGCCGCCGTAGACATCAACCCTCTTTGGGAATGCATTAATCAGTGATGTCTAAATATTCTTAGAAGTTACATATGACTCGTAAAAATCACATTGGTACTTGTCAGGGCCAGGATCGAACCCGCGCCCCCGGGTATGAAAGGTGGGCCTTTTAACCACTAGGCCACCACTGACTTAAGCATTCTCAAAGTAACATCGTAAATATATTTGCGGTTTATTTTCTTAGATATGTTATATGCAATACATGGTGTCGGTATTTTTTGCAATGGTTATGATTTATGGTCTATGAGCAATGATCCTTCGTAAGGTTTTAGTGCTGAGTAAATTTTGATATCAATTTGTTGATTCTTGTGATTTCGACGTTGTGTTCAAGAAGATAATGTTCTTTCTTGACCGTTTTTTGATACGACAGGAACTTTATTATTTATTAATTTAAAATTTATTAACTCAGTATTAAAGTTTGTATTAGCATACTACATACGAAGACTGCCTATTCTTGATTTTTATCGTTATAAATTCAACAATGTGCGAAGATTTATAAATGAAATACCTACTACTTTTTAAGTCGCTATCAAAGACGCAATGCTAACAGTCCAACGCAATGAAACTGCTAAGATTCCATATGTGTAGCGAGGCCAACTTAGACTTGTGAAAAAAGAGTTATAACATAACATATCATATATCATACCAATGCTTCATTGTATCTCAAGTTGGCTTGACCTAATCTGTATCGACATTCCCGTTCCAACTTGTCCAATTCACCAGCACGAGCGTCTCTTGCTTTGATTGCCATCTGAAAAAAATATTAGTAGGACCGATTGTATTAAAATTATCAGGCTGTTTTCTTAAGGATACTTCTTGGCGGAAACCTATCCAATACTATTTTCAATATGTAACTGGTAAGTGTTTAGTTATCATTCCACCGGTAGGGGTGTCGAAAATAAAGCTTTGACGATGAATGAATTTTACTAGAAAAATCTCATATTATTACAATACTTTTAAGATGTAAATATTTGAAGAAATATTTGCTATAATATGAGAATGTAAATAATAATATAAGACTCAGAATCACATTAAGTTATTACGTATTATTCAAGCTTTTTCAATGTACCATATAAGCAGCTTCCGCCTTATTTCTCTCTTCCTCCGCAGCCTTTCTTTCCTGTACTTGTTGCTCCAGCCAAGCGTTCTTTTGAGCTGCCATCATCTTCTTTCTCTCCTCAAATTCAAGATCCTCTCCTTCAAATCTGAAATAAATACATTAGAAACTGTCACTTCTATTATATAATGAAAATGTTTTACGAAAAAAGTTATAGCTTATGACAAAATTATGAGTTATAATTATACAGTGTGAAAAGAATTGTAGTTTATATGCCTATTTGTAGACTTGTATGGAATACAATGTTGAAATTTTCGAACCGTAAACAACAATTAATTATGCGAAAAAATATTGTCGTACTTTAATGAATGCAAGTCACGGCTCTTGAGAGAGAACTAGTACTTCTCTTTAACTTAATCCAAAAGTCTATCATGTATTAGTATCAAAAAAGTGACAACATTGTGGAATTAAATCAATTATAAACTTACCAGGTGACGGTATCAAGGAACTGATAAGTGCGAGGATTCAAGCCCTAATAGTTCCGAAAAAACGGTGAAAAAAAAAACATTTTTGTTACATGGTACTATTCTTAAACATTTATTTTATTCCTTTTTTTATATTCGTCATTATAGCGGCAATATTTTCATGTTAGTGAAAATATTAACGGTTTAAGATACAGCCTGGTGGAGTGACACCAGAGACATAGTAAGATGGTTCCGTACAAAATCTACCATTTGTGTACGGAACCATGAAAAACCAATACCTACTTCTGTGCACTAGATAATCCAACAGGCTCTCCATCGGAAGCCCGCGGCGGGAGCTGCATCTTCAATACATTGGGATTGTTCAGGTCGAACTCTCTAGTATCTTCCTTTCTTTGATACTTCTGACGAAACTCGTCTATCTCCACGCCTATACGACGACGCTCCTGTACGAAAACACTACCATCTTGTATTGTTTGGAAGAAACTTGGTATTAATCATTAATATACATTATTATGGTTGGTTTTAATTTGGTCTTTATTCGTGCAAAGGCCTGCACTTTGCAAAGTATATTCTGCCAGTGTCGTGTAATACATTATCATTACTATAATTTTTTTAATTTCTACATTCGCATCTACGTGTAGAAGATTGCTAATTACGAGTATGTCTAAGAGAGTCATTGTTGATGTAATCGAAACGTTGGGAAAATATAATGATAAAATCGCGTACTACATATGTATACCCATAAAATATAGTTTCATGTTAGATCACTGTTAACAGTGATAAAGAAGTTTTCTATTAATATCTGATCAAATATCTTTTATGTGAATTCAATACTTTTTTATACTACACAAGTTGATTAGGATCTATATTTTTTTTGATTAAGATTGTTAGAGCTTGAATCTCAAGTTTAACCAACTTAAAAAATGGTTATTAAATATAAATGTGTCATACTTCTTTCTCCCTAGCCTCGAGTACTACAGCGAGGTTACTGTCTTTAATCATCTGTTGCGCAAACGCCAGGTTTTTTCGTTCTTGTTCCTGACGTTCAGCTTTCTTCTCAGCCACCTGACGCTCCAGGAATGGTAGATCCACCTGGAAACATTTACGAAAAAGTATTTTGAATATCAGTACAAAAGTAAAAAACATGTTAAAGGTTTTTTAATAAAAAATAACAAAATAAGTAGAGAAAACACATTAAATTAAGAGAAGTCTACACTAAAGTTCTCGTATTTGTGGAATTTTGTTATGAAAATTATAGTTATTACTAAACTATTAATGAATAAATCTTTCAGAATATTCACTTACACCAATCTTTCTGTTTCTTGCATTGAATATGCGTGATCTTCTCTCTAACTCGCATTGTCTTCTTCTTTCTCTATTTTGAGCTTCCTTCCTATCCTGAGCGTTCGCTATTTGCAATTTCAACATTTTCAGGGCCTCTGAAAACCTTCCCGATTGAGTAAACTATACAAAATGTATAAAAAATTAGGAAACATGTAATGTAATGATTTAACAACGCTTATTGTCATGGCAACGTAGAACACGTTATAAGTGGTGACACATAAATAAGGGTTTTTGAAAAATTTAACAGCAAACTCCCGAATAACATATATTCATTTTATATAAAGTAGTAAAATATATTTAATTTTGTACCAGTTTCATGTAGATGTCTATTGCCTTTAAAATAGTAAATTAAAGAAAAGTTCTTTATATTTATTTTTCAAAGCTTTCTCTAAGATTTATAACATGTTATTTTTGGAAAAAAAGGTCACTATACCAGAAAAAAACCTATTTAATCTTTGCTTCAGAACCTTCAAATGACAAAAATAAGGTTAGCAAAGCCTCTTTACTATTTTAATATTGTATGTCATAAAAGTTAATATTATGCAGTATGCTCTACATTATTTTCGTTTTAATTTTTCGGTACATTTTTATATTTAAGTAGATATTTTTAATAAAGTCTACCTAAAAACCGTTATTTTTTAGTACTGGCAACATTGAAACGCACAATGTGCGTCGTTACTACAACGCGCGTATCGTAATTCGTAGTACAGTAGTACGGGCTTGAACACGGTTATAGTTGTCATTCGCATTCGGTCGTTTGAAGGAACAACATTGTGACGCGCGTAAATAAGATCGTTATTGTGATACAGATATAGTGATTGAAATATAATCGTAGTGTTATGTGAATATGACAAGTGTATTGAAAAAGTCAAGAGGCACGAAAGGTAAATCTGAATCGATGCAAGAGGACTTGCCGTCTAGATGGATCGCCAGAGGATTGAAGGAAGATGCCGGGAAACTCATAAAATACATCGATGATAATGTTATCGGAAAAGAAAATTCGTTCTGCGGACCCTTCGGCAGGAGAAAAGGTATGTATTTATAATAAAAATACAAATCCTTGAGCTGTTTCTTAATAATTAAATAGTTATACAAGTATTCAACGTCTGTTTATCTTTAAAAAATATAAACAATCACATAAAGATAATTGTAAAAACGTATACAGATGATAATCATGTGAAAAAATACGCAAGAGCAGACATTATAACACATTTAATCCGTATATTATATGAGTAATAGATAAAAATGGCCGTTATTTAATATGTGTTATATATATTGTTGAAAAACAGCTGCAGTAACGTTAAATGTTATTGTTCTAAGCGGTTCTCAGTCGCGGAAGCACGTTTATGTATCGAGGTCTGGCGTTGATGTCATTAGTCGTTTAGCAATTCTATAAATACGTACAAAAATTAACATAACATCTAAAAAATATATAGCGAATGTTTAGTTCAAATATAATATCATTTTGAATTAACATAACGGGTTCTATATTCACGTATGTTTTTATAGAAATAACAAAAAAGGTTTGCCCCACATAATAAACAGTCCTAAAACATGCAATATAAACCAATTACATATTTAGACCATGTGTGTAAGGGTTGATAGAAAAGTTTTATAAATACCATATCTCATAGATAAAAACGAAATGATATATATGAATTATATAAAACTCTTTGACTGAATTTTATCTTAAATAAGAACAAGTAAAAATAAATTTTTGATGGAAAATGATAAGATAAGAGATTTCAAATATATTTAAACAAAACCGGATGAATTTTGTTTTATTTTCAATAATTAAATATTATTTGAAGTATGTAGTGTAGATTAATAATAAATTTTAACTGTATTACACATCCTTATAAATGGCGGGATTTAAGTAATGTGTTTGTGACTGCCATTAAAAAAAAATGTCGACAAACGTCATGACGGCCTTCGAGATATTTGATGATCGATTACTGATATATTGATATAAATGTTTATTTTTGTCATGGGAATAATGTCTTAAAGAATATTTTTAACAAATTGATTCGTTATTTCAATATATTATTAAACTTGTTGAATAGATCAATTATTTATAATACGGTACACTCGCTCATCTGACTCCCGTTGTTGGGTTTTTTCCTTGCCTCGAGAAAAAACTGGTGAAAGGCGCAAGAACAGGTTCTATGGCTCGGGACGATCCTGGAGGGTTGAAACAATTATCACCCATAGCAATTCGTAATAAATGTCAAAATTCTGTGACTTATGGCGTACAGTTATTAAGGGTTTCTTTTCTTTTTTTTTTGGTAATTTTCGTAGACACGCATGTCGAAATTTTTCGGCTTTCATTTTTTTTCATAGAAACCTCTTTAGTGTATTTCGTGTTATTTTTGGTATATGTCATTCCAGCCTGTTATTGGCGTTGCGTGTTTGCTTGTTTGCACGTCGAGAGGATGTAAGTCTCATATTACGTTATAATTACTAAACATATTGTAAAAGGAAGTCGTGTTTGTACAGCAATGTTGATAGTAATTGTAATAGTACTGTTTGTTGAAGCTATGTCTAATTAAGAAAAAAACTTGTTTGAATTTTAATCTTTGGAATAAATTTAAACCAATATTCTTGTTATTAAGAAGATCAAGTTTTTTGTATAATTTTCAAACATATGACAGTCGTATCGTAATAAAATATTTGTTCTTATGAGCCAACACCATTCAAGGTCATGGCCCGCATCTGTTTTGTTTTATCGTAATCTGTTCAGCCTATATAGGATTATGAAAACTATTTAGTTGGGTTATTAATTTTGTATCTCTTTTGTTAAATAATTTTGTATGAAAGTGCCAAATATTCAAAAGGTAAAAGAATCTGAATTAACGATTTTCTTTTTATAAATAGGTTTGTGTTTATTTCCAGTGTTGCCACATTTTTGTTTTTTTGTACTTTATTCCTATGTTTGGTTGTATATCTGTTTTATATAAATTAATATATTAATTATTTATCATTGAAACTTACGAAAAATATAAATATTAATCAATTCAACGATCGCCCATACTGACAGCCAGTTATTTGTATAACAATACACGTCGGATATTCGCGCCATTTTCACGTCAGCCATTTTGATATATGTATTTAAAAACGAGTTCTGACACAGGCATATTATTACAAGTATTGCAATTGAAAATAATTGTCACTTTATTATGTACTAGCTTTCCGCCCGCAGCTTCGCCCGTTTGGACTTCGGTTATATCGTGTTTCCAAGAGAACCTTTCGAAAGACTGGGATAAAAACTATCCTATGTTCTTTGTCAAGGTCAACTCTATCTCTGTACCAAATTTCATTAAAATCAGTTCAGTGGTTTAGGCGTGAAACCGTAACAGACAGACAAACAGACAGACAGAGTTACTTTCGCATTTATAATATTAGTAGGGATTTTATGTCAGTTTCAATCCTTTTTTATCCTAAGAAGAGATACCTTGTTTAATAGTTTTATTTGTAAGGTACGTTTTTGTACTACTAATTTACTTCAAATGTAATGTAAAGTGTTATAAATTATGTTGAAATATTATTGGTAAATTATAATTTCGTATATTTATAAGGCTTATATATTACAATTTAATACGAATTTGAAATAGTAATGAAAATAATTTAAACCAATTCATTGGATTACAGCCAACGATTTGTACAATACTGTAATTTAATAGAAATAAACTTATCCTCAAGGAGTATTTAAGTACTATATTAATAATTTCCTTCATTTGTTATTTTTACACCTGTTCTGAGTCTTTAACTTTCTGAGGGGTGAATTAATACGCAAATAGAGTAAGGAAAGTAACTCAAGGTCTAAATAACTAATAAGTTTAAATTGAAATAAATAATATTATGGAATGAATACCGCAGATTTTATGTGTAAAGCCTTAAGTTATATTTAATACTAATTAATGCTCTCAAAACTTTGAGTCACCAAAATTTAATTGGCCAAGTTATTGGAGGACGAAATATTTGATATAGTCTTACAATTGAATTTATCAATATCTAACATAACTTTAAAAGCTATAAAAATGTTTATAATAATTATATAATATAGAAATTATTTTTAATTTTAACTATAATACACTCACACATACATATTATGTAGTATACTATAGTGTATAGACACAATATATTATGTATCTATGTTTGAAGTATAGCCACAGGTTCGTATCGCGTGTTCTGGACTGACTGTCAATACATTTAACGTTAGTGTCATGTACACATAAAATTTGTATGAGACATAATAATTGGTATACAATATGTTTATTATTTATTTAATACATTATCTTTAAACTCCAGCGTTTGTTCATACGTTTTAGATGTGTATAGAACCTCTTTTGTGTATATATGAGCGAAATATAATTTTAAATTGTATATTTTTGTTCAAACATATTATATATATGTATAAAGATATACATATATGTATAAAGATTTATACAGTTTTCTCTGGTGTTGAAGTTAAAGTCGCCATAAGATATAAGATTATGAACTATGTATTACCTTGAACAATTTTGAAAACCGTTTGGATATATTTCCGATGATATAAAAATATAAATTACTAGCTTTCCGCCCGCAGCTTTGCCCGCGTGGAGTTCGGTTATATCGCGTTTGTAAGAGAAACTTTAAAAAGTCTGGGATAAAACTATCCTGTTTTTTGTCAAGGTCAACTCTATATCTGTACCAAATTTCATTAAAATCAGTTCAGTGGTTTGGGCTGAAAGCGTAACAGACAGACAAACAGACAGACAGAGTTACTTTCGCATTTATAATATTAGTAGGGATACTTCTTCAATTATACTAGATAAGTAAAAAGTCAAGTAAATAAGTAAAATGAAAAAGTAAATTTACTGAATCCTATATTTAAAAAATGCGCTTATTCGTTGTTTTTGTTCGTAAATGTAAACAAATGTATGTAAACAGTAACATGATATATCGTTAAAAATTAACCTTGTTATAAGGTCAACAAACTAAGATTGTAGTCCTACTTAAAATATATATACAAGTATTGAATTATAAGTACTTATATAATATGGTACAGGATTTTAACTTATATACTTATTACATAATAAATAATTAGTATATAATATTTATTTGTTCTTAATATATAATTATGTATTGATCAAAAATAACGAAAATGTATGTCTTTTGTTTTGATTTGTAAGTTTTTCTTAATTGTGTTAGAGAATGTTTGCTAGTTGCATTAGGTAAAGAGAATTAAGAGAGCAATAGATTAGTATCTAGTATGGTGTGAGCCTGTTATGAGAAGAGATAGAACAAATAGAGAAGAGAAGAGAATGTAGTTACATACAAGAGTAGAGGAAGATGAAGGATGATGTACAGTAGAGAAATACGTACTGAGAACATGAGGATCTTGGAAATGAGGAGATTTGATTTAAATACGGTACAGAAAATATTCAGTTTATCTTGATAATAAGTTCCAAAGAAATGTTTCTTTATAATATATCAAAAATATATATAAGTTTTATACTGTATACTATTTATTTATTTAATATATGTATGTTGTATTCCTTTCGACAATTTATCGTGTAGCTCGTGATATAATGTCGTGAATATGAAATGTATGAGAATTTTTATAAAAAAAATGACAAATAGTTTTGTCTGGTCTCATTTTACGTTAACGAAAAATTCTCCACAAATTTCCCAACTTTTCCTTATTAAACAGAGGATTTAGTGGTCTTTATAATGATTTTTCTTTTTCTCACAGTAAGTCATTGTCAAATCTCAATTTCTTTGTTTTAATCTTATTGATTTTGTTGGGGATTAGAATCGCTATTTTTCCCAATTCCCAGCAACATCGTTTCATTTCCACCAACATACCTTATTCTTTGTTGATAAAGATTTTGATAAATCTGCTGTATTTTATGATCTATGATTTTTTCATGGTTTCAAGTAACTTTCGTAATAAATGTTGTGTCGTTCCATACATTATATATCTTTTAAACTTATTACAGGAGAAAATGAAATATAATATCATATGTATTTTGATAATTATTTATGGAGCCAGATTCATTTAAATTTTATATAACTTGTTTTATATAACAATAACATTTTATACGCTGATTAATATTTTTTTCTCATGTTATTTAATTAAATTATTGTTATCAGTGGTATATGCGACATCTGCTCAATAACATTATAATAAACTGATAAGAGATAGTTACTGGTCCATATTATATAATAAATATATAACAATTTTCTGTCTCTATCGGATATAATATATTAGAAAGAAAAAGCATATTCAGCGTTTAACTATTTAAAAGTATTAAATTTCTTACGTTAAAATAATAATACGTATATATAATATAATTTTAATATCTTGTTTTAGATTACAATGATTTGTGGCTTACGATGTTATGTATTTTGTACAAGAACATTATAGTGTAAATTAATAAAAGGTATAATAATTATCAGCCTATCGGAGCCCACTGCTGAGCAAAGGCCTCTCCTCACATGGAGAAGGTTTGAGCTTTAATCACCACGTTTGGTCAAAACGGATTGGTGATTACAAACTTATAATTTTAAATTATAAGTCCAGGTTTCCTCACGATGTTTTCCTTCACAGTCTGTCAGTGGTGTCTAAATACTCTTAGAAAGTACATATGACTTGGAAAAGTCACATTGATACTTGCCCGGATCGAACCCGCGCCCTTATGCATGATAGGCGGGCCTTTTAACTACGACGAAGTCAATAAAAAAGATCTATTGAAAATTAAAAAATATTACTTCGTCAAAATAAACACATGTTAGTATCAATGTAGCTTATATAATGAGAAACGAGTAATGCTTGGTATGCAGTGACAATTTAAACTTGGATTAAGCATACCTCTTCAGCTAAAAGACAAAATACTAGATTTTTTTTTTAAGATTACTATTGTTTTAACACATGAGTGTTATACTTATGTTATTCGTTACACTCATACTCACTCATGCTCACTCACTCCCAGTTTACCGTGATTAGGGGAGCGGGGGGCCAGTTGTTACAGGGGTAAGAAGTTACACGCATTTTTTTCCGGGATTTTCAACTCTTTGATAGACGTAAGTGGACTCATTTGTTTTCTTATAACATCGTGCGTTGCAAAAAAACAATCAGGGACGCGCCAAGCGGCTAACTGTTAGGTTGTGTGCATGTGTCTTGATTTCCATCAAGTTCGTAACAAAATCTTTTACGAAATTTTTGATTCCTGCTGTCTATATTTGTTATTCTCTAAATTCTTTTCGCCTCGAACGTTCATAATGTATCGAGTTTTAATTTGTAATAGCGTTTTATTCTGCTATTGATATCCATTAATGGCGGCTTTAATTTTAATTAAAAAACACACCATGGGGCAGGTTGTTACAGTTTTTCGGGGTAGGTTGTTACATGTAACAACTTGCCTCAGATCTTGTATTACCGTTCATCTCATTGACT